CTAGATCGACCATTCTGCACAGAAGATTAAATTTGAAGAACGATCGATCCAATGTTTGAATGACTTTCTGCATACACGATAATCTGTTTTTACTAATCTATTGAATTCTGCTGAGTTTATTTCCCTTTTATACAAAAAAAAACTACACACAAAAGTATATAACTACTACAAGCATTTCCAGAGTAAATCATAGATGGAAAACGAACGGTACGAAGAAAAGCTGAGATGATGGGGCGACGAAACATCAGCAGTGTTTGATTAATTAAGTTACAATCTACACCAAACAAAACTGTCAAATAATGACCGACTAATAGTTTCAAGCCAAATCTGTCTGACAATAGGTATTTTTTTAAGTGCATAAAGTTAATAAATGTAAAATGCAAAATAGGGGAGAATAAACGGAGATTACTGAGCACTAGTTTCACAACAGCAATAATAAGTGTAAATTAAGGTTCATCGGAATCCAACGGTGAAAAAAAATGTTTCAAACGTTACTGTGCAGGTGCTAAATTATCAAACCTATGTTTTGAAAATTCTGAATTTTGAAAACACATTAACGTTTAGAAAATCCGCAAAATGGACAGAACAATGTCTCTGACAACACTAAGAGTACAATGTGCGGTTGCATCATGTGACAAGATTTATTAACGCATATTGTGCAACCTGAAACTTACTAATTAATTTATCATGATCTCTAACGGTGATTAATGTGATCACTATGTAAGCCACAAATAAGTGTGTTACTAAATTTAAACTCGAGGACGGTCACATTTTGCCTTTGTGACTGCCCATTGTCAGAAACACACTTTGTAGTATTTTTCATCAAGTGCCTGAAAAGCGCCATTACATTATGGGAATAAGTGAAAACCTCCCGGACTGGTTGATAGAGTTATGGTGCTCACCGTGTACACAGTTTCAAATTATGAACAACGAACAGCTTTATTACTTCCGTAGCAACGTTTTAGAGACTTTTTCACGATATTCAAAGACCAGGGCCGTAGCCCATCAGATGGAAGGGGAGGGTCGTTTTTATAAGTGGACCTTTTCACCATAAGGCGGACCATTTATTTTTTGTAAAACACAGTTGATTACGCAATGAAATACACAATCACGAAGGAAAAGTGCAACTGCTGCCAAAGACATTCCCTTAAAAATCTCCATTGCTAATCACACTTGCACGGAGCTAAGGTCCATGTTGACACCAATTCCAAACAATTTTCGCAGTCCTTGCCTAAATCTCTTGTACTTTATCCCGTATATGACGGGGTTGATGCAGGAGTTGACTGCGACCAGGCTGACAGATATGATGTACGACAAACTAGTGAAGTCGAGAGGCCAGCCAAGGTTGAAGAGAAAGAATATGACCTGATTCGGCGCCCAGCAGACAAAATACGAGATCGTGACGATTAAGAGTGTCTTGAAGGTGTTCCTGCCGGCGCGCAAAAGGGATCCTCCCTGGGTCTCCACGCGAGCAGGAAGAGGTTCCGTCCCTGCCCCAGTCCCTGATGCGGCCGCTAGTGGCTGTAGCATTCCGACGCGCTTAGCATTTCTCACTAATACGTAAGTGATGCTGATGTAGGCAGAAAACATCAGAAGCACAGGGACGAAGAACTTTAAGCAGATGAACAACACGCCGATCGGACGGGTTCTGGAGGAGGATTCGAAGAAGCATCTTCCGTCGACGAAGTCCTGCACGACGGCGATGTAGACTCCTTGCTCTGCGATCCCGACAACCCAGGAACCGACGGTCAAAATGATGACCAGACGACGGGTGAAAAAACGGGTGTGCCTGAACGGGTACACGATGGCGAAGAACCGCTCCATGGTCACTGAGAGCAGGTTGAGGGTGGAGGCACTGAACGCTCCCCAAAGAAACAGGTTCCCGATCCAAATCCGGCAGAGAATCCAACCGGCCGGAGTGTTGGGCAGAGGGTCCGGTACGGGGATGTTGCTGGCGAGGAGCAGCACGACAGAGCCGAAGAGATCCACGGCAGCTTGGTTGAAGATCAGGGCGTTGGTCAGGCTGTGCATGAAGGGAACCTTGTAGATGACGATGCAGACGAGACTGTTACCAAAGATACCAAGCAGCCCAACGATGGTCTTGACCACGCGGAGGAACAATATACTCTCCATGATGACAACATGAAATTAATCGTCATCAAAATGGTGTTTGCCGTTCGTGAATATCAGTCGCACATTGGTGTCGGTTTTTACACTTATGTACGAAGCGTCTTTCTTCAGTTTTCAAGAGTGCAAATCTTCTGTTAGAGTGTTTGATGCGCTACGTTATGTTTACAATATAAGTGCTACCTCCTCCAACGTTGCAGTCAAGCCACGCGCCTGGCACACAATAAAATTGACACGTCTGACAAGCGCAATAATAATCACAGCGCCCTTTGTTAGGCCCCGCTGGCAAAATTGGATGCTTATTACGTCTTTGCGCATCGGTTGTCTTGCGGAAAGAGGTTAGCAGCAATCACAGCAGCAGGAACCACGGTCATCTACCAAAATAACTCAAAATCAATCACGAGAATTGACTTCTTTATATTACAGGCTTTCAGGACTTACAGTGTCTTTCAAATCAGAATATCAAAAGATAACAAAAAACGAGAACGGTATTTTGTAACGATTGTTATGTCGCATGCCTTGTTTGTAGGTGTTAATAATTATCGAGAATGGTATCTTTAGGGAGATATTCCCATAGACTTGCGCACAAATAAAAAGCAAGAATTACCTCCCCGTAACGGCCCCCATTTCGAAATGCTTTTCCCCCTCACATTTTATAATTACACTATCTTCGACCTCAGTAATCATGTTAAGCACTTTCCGTCACTAAAACTCCTTCTTGAAATGGTCCTTGAAACATTAAAGAGAAAGTCAAATGTCACCCTATATCTTTGCCAATGTCTCCCTATAATGTCAAACAAAAGTGTCTCCCTGAGGTATATTTTACTGTTGTAATTCTGATTCTAAAAGATGCAGTGAGTGGAAAGAAATTGGGGAAGAAAAAACAACTTGAGTATTTTTTGTTATTCAAATTAAAATATTCAATTGATTCCATTTCATTGTAACGGCATCCTCCGTGGGATCATGGGCGTCGCAAGGATTTTTTCCAGAGGGGGGGGCGAAACTCTCAAAATCCTTCTACTTTCTGTAGCATATTCTCAATTTATCAATTTTTCGAGGTATTGCGGGGGACATTTACCCACCCCACCCCCATTGACACCCCTGCGGACACCCATTAACAGCAATATGATTTTTTTCTCTTCAATCTTGGCTGCCCCCCCCCCCCCCCCATCGCGACGCACATGCTTGGGATGTAGGACGGGAGAGTTTTTGATCACAATTATAATCGTCACGCGCCCTCTAGGGGGCGCCATGCCACCTTCACACAGCCACCAGGGACGTTGTTACATTGTTATTTTTTTAAAGGCCTCACCGTAAAGGCCAGTTCATACTTCATGCGAATGCGATGCGAACGTATTCGTCGGAGTTGAAATGTGTTCAACTTTGCAGTGCGAAAACTCCCCAGACGACACAAATTCGCGTTCGCTTACGCTTTCCCGCCGACTTTCAAGCGGCCTTTACAAAATTAATGGATACCTGAGGGAGACACCTTGCGTTTAATTATTATACATTAGGAAGACACTACTCATTGGGGAGACATTTCAATGGCAAAGTAGGCCCACTGCGGCGTGTAGTGTGACAATTAATGCACGTTAGGTTTTAGTTGACGTGGTGCAGACCATCGTAAGTAGCGGACGTCAGTGTGAGCGCGTTACAATTGCGCCATTTCACCTAACACAAGTCGATTCTCGTCAATTATAATCGTTTACGTATAGCGGAATCAAGGGCCTTTTTTGATCGACGAACCAAAGTGCGGGACAATTGGTTCTGCTCTCTTATAATTTGGAACAGATCAGGTCCAATCGATGAAAGCATTTGGGTGTCGCGTTGCCCCCACAGTGAATACTTCCCAATGAACTTAACACGTGAGAGAGGTGATTGAAATTGACGTGGGGGATTGTGCATGGGTGCAGAGCAAATCATTTATGTACTTGGTGGATAAAAAACACAACCAAAGCTAAGACAGTTGGCCACAAAGCTACCATAATTAATGTCACACTCATAACAACAAGAGGTCAAAATTGACAGAAATACAATCAAACTTGCCACCAGGTGGATTAAGCTGTAGTAAGATTGGGGTTACGGTCCCCTTTTCCGTTACTGTGAATCTGTGAAGCAATATCAAGTTATCCAACTATTATTCTGCCTCTTACATTCAATATTTAATGTTTCCTTCAAAGTGACGGGGCAATAAAATTCGTCTTTACCAATTGGCTTTAATCTCAGTTATACTGGACACAACACGCACTCAACAAAGATTTTGTCACTTGAAGTAAATCTGATGAAAGATGCACAACGTTAGGTACCCCGAAAAGAATCATATTAATCAAATAAAGGTCGGGCAGGTTATACGCCCTTACGCCGAACATCTTGTAATTGTTTGGAAAACATGGTTATTTTGACTGTCAACGAGTGCGCCAATAAGTGAAATGATAAAAACAATACCCACCTTAAACTGTTAAATAAATAGTATACTCAGTGCAGTCCGAGAGTTTGCGAGAAAATTAGAGATTTCACGTGCGTGGGACTCGAACCCATGACCTACTGCTTTATGGTGCAGACGACTTTCATTCGACCGCCGAGTTTTGCCAGGATCGGATGGGTGGTTCTGATATAGCAGGAGTTACTGTAATCAAACACTACTCCCTCTCATAGCGGGTACATTTTCTCGCGAGATCTTGGAGAGCAGTGCTCGTGACGTGAAATAACGTCGATCTAGGTCATATAATATCCACTTATAATGAACAATTTACATCTGCACGACGTAAACATTCCATCATGCATAATAGTGGATGAACAGATTTAGTTTTTACAATTGATATTCAGACGATGCCCCCAAAATGTCATTCTTAGACTACATTCTACATTGATAATCACACAATTATGGAGGTGAGGTCAACATTGACACCCAGACCGAACAGTTTTCGCAGTCCTTGCCTAAACCTCTTGTACTTTATCCCGTATATGACGGGGTTGATGCAGGAGTTGACTGCGACCAGGCTGACAGATATGATGTACGACACGCTCGTGAAGTCGAGAGGCCAGCCAAGATTGAAGAGAAAGAATATGATGGAGTTTGGCGCCCAGCAAATAAAATACGAGATGGTGACGATTAAGAGAGTCTTGAAGGTGTTCCTGCCGGCGCGCAAAAGGGATCCTCCTTGGCTCTCGACGCGATGAGGTACCGGTCCCGTCTCTGCCTCGGTTCCTGATGCGGTTGCGACATGTGGTTGCACTCCGACGCGTTTGGCACTTCTCACCAGTACGTAAATAATGGCGATGTAAGCAAGAAACATCAGGAACACGGGAACGAAGAACTGCAAGATAATGAACACGGTGCCGATCGGACGGGTTCTGGAGGAGGATTCGAAGAAGCATCTTCCGTCGACGAAGTCCTGCACGACGGCGATGTAGACTCCTTGCTCTGCGATCCCGACAACCCAGGAACCAACGGTCAAAATGATGACCAGACGACGGGTGAAAAAACGGGTGTGCCTGAACGGGAACACGATGGCGAAGAACCGCTCCATGGTCACTGAGAGCAGGTTGAGGGTGGAGGCACTGAACGCTCCCCAAAGAAACAGGTTCCCGATCCAAATCCGGCAGAGAATCCAACCGGCCGGAGTGTTGGGCAGAGGGTCCGGTACGGGGATGTTGCTGGCGAGGAGCAGCACGACAGAGCCGAAGAGATCCACGGCAGCTTGGTTGAAGATCAGGGCGTTGGTCAGGCTGTGCATGAAGGGAACCTTGTAGATGACGACGCAGACGAGACTGTTACCAAAGATACCAAGCAGCCCAACGATGGTCTTGACCACGCGGAGGAACAGGATACTCTCCATGACAACAGAAAATCGTCCGTCTTTAAAGATGGTCTTTTTGGAAATCCGATGATGGGCTCTTCTATAATCACGTAGTTGCGACTGGCGAATAAGTCAGAAGTCAACACTATCGTTTCGATCACACAGTCTTTTCCCCCTTCTGAATGGGTAGACTGTTTGTTCTGAACAGGCGGTTATTTCGGACTGCAATCTTTTCCGATTCACGCACCTAAATGATTTCGTGACGGTTGGTTCCCGCTTAAATACTGCTTGAAATGGGGAGATAATCCCTACGGATAACAAAATTACATTACATGTCTCGACAACTGTTTGAAATTCAATTTCGGCGGGTTTTTTTTCTCCACCGTAAAAATGAAGTAAGAATCGGACTTTCGTTGTGGCATTAACTGCCAATCACATGCCAATCATCACAAATTACTGGACGATACGCGAGGTTACTCATACCATGAATTCTTTTTTTTCTTTTCATTTTTCTCTTGAAATTGCGTTTTCGGACGAAGTTTTACTGTATCGTCAGCCTGACGTGTTCGCGGATTGCCAGCAAGACCTTAATTGTTTTTTCAATTTGTCAATTTGAGCTGATGAATTTTTATATTATCTGACACACTATACCTGATGTTACCGAAGAAGGACATCTCGAAGAGCCAAGTAAATTGAAACTCCGCAAGGTCACACGGGAGCCGCAAGGCAATAAATTCGATATTGTCCGTGTAATGGGCTTCTCGTAATTGTGAAACTTGAAGCTGATCTGAATTATTTTGTCACAATCATAGGTTTTTGGTGCAAAATTATATGGACACTGTATACAAGGTGAGTAAAAAAAAAACTAAACTCAAGTGTTGGGACCATTTTGTTTTAGTGAAGTTCGGCATTTAGCCCTTTCAAAATCTAGGGTATGAAAGCCCAATTCATTAGCTTTTTTTTAGTAGCCTAAACAAATTATTCAAAACACTCATGTCCTTTCAAGTGTTAAATACAAACACCGTTTTAATTTTCTGTTCACGGATCACAAAAAATGGTAACAGACTGTTCTTCCACAAAAAAAAGAAAACAAATCACATAGGGATGTGTGTGAATTGTTCTCGTATTGCTGAAAGAACACTTTCAGCAAACAGTTTTCGTCTGCAGTCCATTGCATGATTGTCGCATTTACAATTTATTTTCGTCGTGTATTTCCTTTTGCCAATTGATTGTTTTGTTTGTTTATTTTGCGTAAAATTATAATGAATTTGTTGTCTATCATTCGTTTTGTTTGTTAACTAATTCGTTACTGTTAACTGCAGTTGTTTGATTTTTTTTCTCCATTATTTATTTGATCAGCTGATTCAACTGTTTATTTATATAGATGTTTTCGATTATGTTTTTACTCATACCTTAATGCATTTTGATCTTTGACCAGATGCATGAGTTATTCATTGATGGCTTCGGAAGATGCCTCCATAATTGCCCATTAATGTATTGTTCTTTCTTTCTTATCTATAAGATGTACATGTAACTTGTAACATTGTTTTATACAAGTTGTGGCATTATGAAAATACATGTTGATTGAATTGAATAACATGTTTATCTCTCGAATCATGAATGGGTTAAAGGTGTTTACATATATACTGTTTAATAAGGGGCAAATAACAGGAAAAATATGCTTAAATGTTTGGGCATGACGTCACATGTCACGCGGTCTATAGAAGTCTTTACACACACACAAAATGTTATCGGAAATTTAAAAATCATTAAAATCCAATATCCAAAATCAAGCTAACTTTAGCGTCATTATCTGCTCCGAATTTTTATGATAACTTTTATTCCTGCCTACCTCGTGTGTTGAACGGGAAATTAGCTCCAATGTGGTAATTTCAAATAAGAATTGAAAACGAGGCTCTACGTGCTAAGCCATTATATGAGTTGAGGACTCTTTCTTTAATCTTCTCAACAAAAGCCCGAGCAATGAGCGTTGCAGACCAGTAAATAGACTGCCATAGTCCTCCGTGATAATTACGCACACTTCCCAAAATTATGACAAATACTCACAACTCTCCAAGGTGTTCAAGACACACATCAAATTAAAGCTTATTTCATAATCTTTCATTTTCCAATTAATTTTTGCGGGGTAAACCGATTAACTTTGGAAGAAAAAAATCCATCCAAAGATGATTACCCCTAAATTTAAAGCAGTCCTGAAGCCCATCGCCATTTTGAAAATGGACGCCTACGCTACATTGCAAATGAGAGCCACTTTAGGGCCTAATTTCATCCAAATTTCAGAGAAATACGAGTTCGCAGTCCTTTGCACGGCTTCCAACCTTTTTTTTTTTTTAACAAGTCCTCAAGTTCACGGCCCTCAAAATGCTCTAATAACGGAGAATTTGGAGGGCATGCAAATCGTGATTTGGCCGGCATAGGCAATTTCGGACCTATTTACAGGTCTGCACCCTGTGGCCCTCGGCAAGCTTCAGTGCCAATGTGACGTCATGCCGGTTGCCGAACAACCAAACATTTAAGCATCTTCAGCATGTTATTTGGCCCATATTAAACATTTTATGTAAACACCTTTAAACCATTCATATTTCAAGAGATATACATGTTATTCAATTCAATCAACATTTATTTCCATAATGCCACAACTTTTATGGAGTGCTGTGGCCTCGTGGTTAGGGGCATTGGATTCGTGGTCTGTGGGTAAAGCTGTAGGTTGTGGGTTCAAGTCCAGCCTAGGGTCATGGTGCGTGTGCCCTTGAGCAAGGCACTTTGTCACTTATTGCTTCTCTCCACCCAGGAGCAAATGGGTACCTGTGAGGGCAGAGATGGTTATTGTGAGTGAATTAGCTTCCTTGCAACTAACAGGCTGCATCGAACTGTATACTCCCCAGGGAGCTGAGATGGTATTTGGAATGTTTCATGGGCCCAATGAGCAGCGCCTTGGGCACCAGTCCTGGTGGATACGTGCGCTTTATAAATACCCGCTATTATTATTAATTTGAAATGGTGGCGCTATTGCATCTGAGAGAGAAAAAAACACCGTTTATGTACCTCAAGTATCTTGTTGTCGATGAATGATACGGCGTGACGAGATTTGACAGGCGCGTTGGAGTAAGATAGACGGGTGCGGCAGGTGCGCCACCGGATAACATTACTTCCCCTTCAGACCGCGCGCAATAACTGCGGATTAAACGGCACTCGTGCGTGACGTAACAGAATGAAAGACATGGGATTGAGTGAAATGTGGAATTAATTTTGCTTTTGACAACTAACACGACATATTTTTGACGGAGGCGGGGGAAGTGTCACATTGCAGGAAGGTGAACGTTTTCAAAAGTTATTAAACATGTTTTTTTCCACTTCTTTTTCTTTCTATTTCTTTTATTTAAAATAAACAACTTTTTTTTCCGTTGAAGGGAATATACTCGCGGGGACACTGTCAAACTAAAGCCAGCTTGACAAATTTGGCGAACCTTTTGCCGCCGCGCCACTCATCTCTTAAAAGAGTACGGTACATTGAACATTGGGTTTAATCGTTCTTCACGCTCTCTTCTGCATCGGCAGCGCGTATCTAATAAGAGACAATGGAGGTGGACACGACCCTCTTGAATGGGGTGGTAAAACGAATGTTTTATCTTGTTTGCGACTTTGACTGACCAACTGAGTGCCCCCTCCAGAAGGTGAGGACCCCAAGTGCCCCCTCCCCCATCAAAGCGGGTGCTTCAGCAAAGTTGTTGGGAAAAGTCAGGCTCGTTTTTCAGTATGAGAAACTTTGATTAACAAAACAAGTGATGAAAATGAAAAGAAATGCGTGAAGAGAAGATGACTTGTCCATGCAAATAGTTATTAATATCATAAAATAAAACATTCCGTCGACGTAAACAGCGGCCTGGAATTAATGATGTGCAAACCCGACCCGAAACCGAAACCGACCCGACCCGAAACCGACTTCGGGTCGGGTCGGGTCGGTTTGTTCATCTTTATCGGGTCGGGTCGGTTTGTTCATCTTTTCAGTCGGGTCGGGTCGGTTTCGGTTTTGCATTTACATTTTCGGGTCGGGTTGGGTCGGTTTAGCCATCTTTTGAAGAAAAAAACCCAAAATAAACCGAAATAAACCGAAATAATTCGAAATAAACCGGTTTTACCGTATTTTTTGTCGGGTCGGGTCGGGTCGGTTTGAGGGAGTTAAGATCGGTTTCGGTTCGGATTCGGTTTATATCTTTAATGTTTCGGGTCGGTTTGGCCTGGTCGACCCGACCCGATGCACATCATTACCTGGAATGCATCAGCGAGGACGTTTTGATCAGGATGATTATCGAGATCGCTTCATGCACGCTCTCGATGGCGTATCCGGTTCGTTAGTGTGACGTCAGTTCAGTTTAAACCACACCTACTGCCCATTGTAGCATTGGAACATTGATCTCCATATATGGTTATCAATGCATTGGAACCATTGGAACCGGAAGTTGACGCAACTTGAATGTTTATCCGATGGGCGCTATAGTAATAAATTATTCAGTGGTGCGCGCGCGAGTATGACGTTTTTACTAAAGGGTGCGTTCGTTTAGCTCAGCCGGGTCGACACGGATAAAGGCAGACGGTTCAGCCACGACCGCTGGGCTAAGCGAACGCTCAACAGCGGGCCATCACGGTCCTCACGTAGCCACTGATAAAATGTCTGTTTCCGATTGGGTCTTAGTTTTAGATTTACTGCATTTTAGTCAATTGCAAAACTCAAAAAAGTTGGGCTGAAATTATAGCCTGAAAAGTCACAATGAACTCAATAAATGATTACCTCTAAACTTCAAATACAGTCAACTTTTAAGTCCACTTCAGATTTCCGCTGTCCGGCCGCCATATTTGTCCGTTTCTAGGGAATGAACAACGCATGCGTGACGCACTTCCACCAGTGACTCTGCTCCACGAGCAGCGTCTGTGGTGGCTGACAGTGTTGTAAGACTCGAGTCCAACTCGAGTCACATTTTTCGTGACTCGGACTCGACTCGAGTCACATTGGAAAATGACTCGGACTCGGACTCGGACTCGACAATGATGACTTGGACTCGACGTTGGTGACTCGTGACTGGAGTCACGTATTTACATTAAAACAAAACGCATAACGTTACGTATCTGTGCGGCGAACGTAGCATTCTTTTATACTTACTCCATAGACAAAACACGGCGCCGCGGAAAATCGTATCCAGGGGCCAAACATGTACACACACAAGGTACACACGTATAAAGTACACTGGGATTTACTTGAACAATTATTATTTAAAACATTTTGACTAGTTTGGTGAACAACTAAGAACAAGTGACTCTTGACTCGGACTCGGACTCGAGGCTTGTGACTCGAGACTCGAGACTCGGACTCGGACTCGACACTGATGGATGACCCGGGGTGAGCCCCGAGAATGACGTCAGAGCTAATCGAACGGCACGGACCCTTGTCGACTCCGGTGAGCTAAACGAACGTACCCCCAAAAGAACCGGATAGTGGAATTCGGCGAAGATTTTACTGCGTTGGAGTCACGCTCACGCCCTCGCTGCATGCGTTCTTAAAGACGAAGCGCGCGCGCATTTTGATATTCCTATTGGTCGAAGGAGCCCGGAGTGCGTGCATATTACCTGAGCGCGTCTCGCGAGAGCCTGATGCCACCGCAGAAAATGGTTAAAACGGCCGGATTTTTAATGGCCTTACAGTATATCAGAACAGTTTCTTTCTCTGTGATAAGACCGACTTCATCATTATTGTGTGTGCCCTGATTTCGGGAGTCACTAAGTCTTTCACTCCGCGGAGCCTCACCCTGCTAAGGTGGAATGGTGTGGCGTTAGATGGCAACATAGGCAACACGATTGTGGTTACCATTGCAGCGCATTTAGCGTTGCCTATTTCGCCATTGTACCCAACAAATCGATCTCGTCAAATTACTACAAACACAGTTATACCAAAGGCGTAGCACACCTGCGGTGAAACATTAATGCATCCGTATATTAGTGCAGGGTATGAAGTGTTACTTTCTTTCCGATTACGTCTCCTAATATTTTGGACAGACGATCGCAGTTGATCGATGAAAAAAGACAGGGGCAAAAAAAATGGACTAAAGGTGGACCTGACATTCGATCGATTGAAATGAATTTCAGCTCGAGAAAAGGAACCTCAGGGGTGCGACTGTGTGAGACTATAAGGGTGGTACAGAGTGAGTGAATGACACCAGCATCTTAATCTGTAGTCTGCTATCGAATAGAGATGGTAATCCAATCTCACAGCACGGATGTGGATGTCTCTCTGCGTAAAAAAACTTTGACCTGGACATTTTCGCTACACTTCTGCGGCGCCGCAGAATAAAGGACGGTCACCATTGGATGTTAGTTTTGTAAATTATTGAGGAGCTCTGCAGAATTGTCATGCCTAGACTTCGTTGGTCGGTGACGGCTGGCAGATTGGTTTGTTGTCTTTCCGTATAAACGAAGGATGACGCTTGTAAGAGACCCATATCAGACAGGAGTTTAAGACTGGAGTGGATGCGGAGTTCTCCGGATCGTCTACACAACCGTTAGTGATTTGTTTTCCCAACGGAGTTTGAACGGCACTGCGTAAAGAGAGATGGATTCAAGGTGTGACACTATGTGGAACTACACGCTTGATCCGACTGGTGCACTGATAGAGCTCTACTCGAAATTTGACACGGTCGCCATCGGCATCCTGATGCCGCTCCTGATGTTCTTCGGAATCATCGGCAACCTTGCTTTCTTACTGATGCTATGCCGTGTGCCGAAAATGCGCTCCTTGACCAACTTCTACCTGGCCAACCTCGCCATATCCGACATCGCCTTTCTGGTGTTCGCCGTCAGCACGAAGTTGTACGACTTTTGCATCGGCAAGGTCAACTTCTCGCCAACCACCAAGGGCGTCTTCGAATGCCTTTTTCGACAGTTGGTCGTGGATGTCTCCTACTTCGCTTCGCTGTTCGTCATCAGTCTAGTCTCGCTAGAGAAGTACTACGCCATCTGTAAACCAATACGGCATCGGGTAATCAGCAGCTGGGACCGCACTGTCAAGCTCATTGCGTGTTCCTGGGTCGTCTCGGTGCTCATTGCCATCAGTGTTATCCCTAGCTACAGCGTCATCGAATACATGTGTTTCGTCTGGCCTGAAGAGGAGCAGTACGCCGACCTTCTCAGCGTATACACGTGGTGCGTGGCGACGGGACACTTGGCCGCGTCGTACGCCAACGCCCTCCAGACCGTACCGTTCTTCATCGCCTTCATCTTGAACACCACCATGTACGTGTTGATAGTCCGTCGACTGAGCCAGCGCGCAGACCAGCCCATCGGTCAGCAAGAAGCGGTGCCCGTCCCTGATCAAGCCATCCATACCCGCAACCAGGTGGCCAAGATGCTGGTCATCAACGGCAGCGTCTTCTTTCTACTCCTGGCTCCCTTTGAGATCGTCTCTATTGTGATCTCGGCTTACGCCCTGGAGTACGAGCAGGAACTCTTGATCCTTCAGATATGTCGGTTGCTGTCCTATCTTAACTCGGTCATCAACCCCTTTCTCTTCGGTATGGTGAACTCCAGGTACCGGGACGCCTATAAACAGGCCTTCTTGCCGGCGCGTGGCAATCGTGTGGGGGCGGCGCCGGCACCGGTCCCTGGCCTACCCGCGGCAGAACAGCCGATCAGCCAACCCAGTGTCGCTACCTGTAACAACAAACATGGAGACCAATCGACCTCACAGCAGGCACAATAGTGGGCATGATTTGTAAACGAGTTTGGCTTGACATTGTTTTATGAGATATTCGCATCGCTCACTGAAAAAACACAATCCAAACTTGCTGGAGTCACATCGATAAATCGGTTTATTAGTCAATATCTGTCAACCCACTAAAGTAAGTCATTTCCGTATTCGTCGCATTTCATGTCCCAAAGATCCATTCATAACAAAATATTCCGATCAGTATTAGAAATGATATGATATCAAGTGCAAGAATCTGATGAGGAGATAAATCAAATCGTGTATCGAAATATTTTCATTACTATCGCACTTTGTGCCGTCTTAATGAATATTACTTACAGTAGGACGTAGATATTATATTGCCACCTCTCTCAACGAGACATTAACTTAGAAATAGCATTTAAATCAGCACGTCATATCTGTAAATACAAAAAAATCCCTCGTGTAAATCTCGCCGTCAAATGAAGAGTGGTAGGAAATAATACATGTGTTTTATTGCCAACTCTATCAAAGTCATAATGTTAAGTTTAGCTTAGTGATGGAACTTAAAGTAGCCACACATAATAATGTGTAAATAAAAAAAGTCAATTGTTTATCATAGGTTTGCTCTTTAAATATAATTCATGCCGTCAAATGATGAGTGGTAGAAATGAGTATTTCTTTGCCAAATATATCACACTGGCAATGTAACGGCACTCACTAATGACACTTAAAGTAACACATGTATGTAAATAATATAGAATTAATACATCTCTCTCGTTAGTCACATGTTTGCACTTGGAATTTAACTCGTGCCGTCAAATGAAGAGTTGCGGGATTAGTATATTATTTCCAACTTTATCAGAGTGACAATGTTACAGTAACGGTCCTTATTATTAACAGCACTTTTAAAAGTATCTGTACATCCCCTTCATTCATCCGAGGGTTGCTGTAAGAAGACAAGCCAAGCTTTATGGAGAACAAAGCTTACGAAACTTTGGGTTTCTTTCTTACGTTATATTCCAACTCAATGATTTGTCTCCCTGACTTGGCCAACTGGCTAAATAAAAGTAAATTTTCTGCTCCTGGAGCATCAATGATAACATCTTATGGGGCTTTTTTTAACTGAAGCATTTCCATGAAGATTTCAAGGATTATTTGTGTAAGCTTTAAGTATACGAGACCAGGAATTTTATTATATTTTACAATTTTTTTCTTTTCAGTTTGATATTATTCCGAGAATACATTGAAAAGGATTCAAAATTTTACATGCAAACTTTGTTCGTAGTTTAAGTCGATCGACAAATCATAATCGGTGGCGAAACAAAAGGGGAAAAAACGAGAAATAAAATTATACGATTGCTGTGAATTGCTGTGGCCTGATGTTGTATGATTAAATGCACATGTCAAGATAAAGAAGGTTGTTACAACTGATAATGTAGTAACCAACGGATAACGTTCCACCTACCGATAATGTCACACAAATTGACCGATATTGTATCAGTAATCGGTGATGTAACAGAAATTGACGGATGGTGTAGTGAAATGTACTACACTATCAGTCAGCTTTTGTTACATTATCTGTTGGGACCAGTAATGTAACAACAAGTGACTGATAGTGTGGTCAGTCAATTTTGTGTTACATTATCGGTTAGTGATACAGTATCGGTAACTTTTTGTTACATTTTTTAAAGTCACGAAAATGATGTCATGAGATTGAGCTGGGGCCCAATTTCACGGCGCTGCTAAGCACAAAAATTTGCTTAGCACACACAAAATATGGCTTATAAAAGCAGGTTACCAGCCAAAACTCCATGTGATTTTAATGCTAAGCAAACAACAGGTGAATACTAATCACGAGCAATATACATAACATGGAGTTTTGGCTGGTAACCTACTTTTATAAGCCATATTTTTGTTGTGCTAAGCAAATTTTTGTGCTAAACAGCGCCGTGAAATTGGCCCCTGAAGCTTTGTCATATGAAGATAGTGTGTCTCCATGAACCAGAGGCATTTTAAGGCATGTGTTTTTAGTAACATAGTGAGTTGCCGTGTTCGTTTGGTATGCATGAACAAGCATGTGCAGTACGCGGCCGGAGAACGGAACGTGCAAAGACGGGAAATATCGCGAGCGAAATTCGAGTGGAAGGACGGAAAGATTGATGTTTATTTATGTATCTATTAATTTTGTTTAACGAACCGCAAAGGGAAACTGACCAGGTGAACTATAACAATTGAAAAGTTGAACAAAGATATTGAGTAATTGGGGAACCGCCAACATAAGGCTGTATATAGCTCAGTTGGTAAGAGCACCGGAACGGAGGTCGCAGGTTCAAGCCCCGCTCCAGTCAATTTCTTTGTTGAAATTTTCAATTGTGAAATTGTATCTTAGCTATAGCAAGATGACAAGGGTTCCCGGTGGCATAAGGGGTACAGACCTGTAGGGCACCTACCGTAACACACCCGTCACTCACTCTCCGTGTTGCCCCACACGCTGTTTGTTTTTTATTATTTTTTGATTGTTTTGTGGGATGGGATGAGGATAGCCAGTATAGAGAAGTGACTTTTACCATTTTCCCTACCTGGCTTAACACACCCTGACATACCGTGCATGAGTTTACATTCTTACATATTTCAATAAAAACTCATTCATTACTGTCACTGGCCTGACTAAAATAAGGCAATGACAGTTTAGATTATGTCTATTCATCCAACTAACTGAACATAGGGCTTTTCCGCAGTGTTTTTTTTATGAGTTTATGTTTGTTTTTGTCCATATGCAGTTAGGTAAATTATATGCAAGAACATAGTTCCACGACTAAGTTTTCCAGATATAGGACTTTAAAATATGCACCTTTAATTTGACGCCTCGTGGCCCATGATGACGTCATAATGACGCCACCCCAATTTTGTTTGCAACACGTCCCTGTCTATATAGTTTTATACCAAGTTCCAATCCAATCGGACTTACAGTTCATTGGATATTTAATATTAATATACACACCTTAAATATGACGTCACATGACCCTTGATGACGTCATCATGACATCACTTGTCTATGGCCAACTTAACCTTGGGGTTTTTGCCTGTGCCTAGTTTGAAGTAAATCTGATTGAATTTTATGTCATATTTTGCCAGTAGAAGTAAAATGTAAAAAGTTTTAAAATTAATAAAACATCACGTGATGACGTCATCATGACGGCACTTCGGATTTACATTCTATTAATAGTATCTACTTATACCCACTAAGTTTCTAGCCGATTGGACTTACCCTTCTATATGATTTGAACAATCGCATTGTTGATGACGTCATCACGACGTCACACACTCACCACCATTTTGTGCGACCTAATACAGCTATTAGTCAAAAAAAGAATTTTGAGTGCAGCTATAATCAGAGAATTTTCCAGTATGTCTCAAAATTTCAAGCCGTTTCTGGAAAATTTGAAGGATGTCCAGTTATGTGGCCACGTAGAAAGGGATACACCAGCACTTTACTTATGGTTTCAAACAACGTACAGAATCTATATCGAAAGTCAGGAACTCCCTTTAATTTCACGTACATGACTATGTACCAGTACTTACTTAAAATAGTGCACAGAGACTCGTGATATGGAACATGTAGATGAAAAGATTGAGAATATCAGACTCAATGGTGTGTCACGAAATGAATTGGAGAGCTTTCTACACACTAAGTTGTTGCATGCCATCGCGTTGCACGTACAAACCTACCACTGTCGAAGGAGAGGGCGCTGTTTACTTTTCTCGGTCTTCGATTTTGTATTATTTCCTACATGAAAAGTGCACTTAGTGCTGAAATTCACATACATTTTTATAAGACGCCAAATGTGTCATTCATTAAATCGGTGTGCCACGATGAGTAATTTGACCAAGCCCGTCACCAACCGATGGCTGGCCTGTGAGGTGTAGGTCTATATAATGTACATGTACATTGAATACATGTACACTTAGGCCTTCGTGTGTGCACGCGTACTGTGTCTCCTAATACGGACATCATGACAGCTAAAATGTACGTAAAATACATTGTACATACATGTGCGTTGCGTGAGATAATGGCCATAATCTTAAAAACTTGAAAAACCCCATATACAATCGCACGATGACGTCATCATGACGCCACTCAATTATTGAGTCTGTAACACGCCCTTGGCCTTGTCAATGCTCATGCCAAGTTCCAACCAAATCTCACTTATACTTCTCTGGGTAACACATTTTAATATACAGGTATACACCTTTAAGATGACGTCACATGACCGGACACTGATTGAACGGGCCACTAACATATGGTGAACCTGAAGGGAAACACCAGTTGTGAAAATGTGTTCACAATGGTGTGAATTTCTTCACGATTAGTCAATAAATGTAACGCGCCATCATGATTTTTTTTCACAAGTGTTATTTTGGTTCACGACAAGTTGAGACTGTTTCACTACAAATTGTCACTTTTTCACGACAAGTCGTGAATTTTCTTTTTACATTTCAAGATGTTCACGGCATGAATTGTTTTCATAACTAGTCATTGCCCTTTTGGCAACTTCCGTTTGCAGGTAGGCTTCCACTACGATGTTGATCCATTGTGTCAATCCTGCTAAAGGTTGATATGGAGTGGTATTTGATGGCAACAAAATTATGCTACACGATTGTGGTTGAAACAGTGCAGCCACAATCGTTCAACGCCACCCAAAATTGTTGGTGTTACATATATTTCGCCTTTGTAACCAACAAATCGATTCTCGTCGAATTACTATACAAACACAGTTGTGTACCAAGGGCGTCTTTCTACGATGAAACATTAATGCATTAAAGTGCAGGGTATGAAGTTCTGCTCTCTTTCCGATTACGGCTATTAATATTTGGGACGGACCGTCAACTCCGATCGTTGAAAAATATTTAGTGGCGTGTGGCTTCAATCGCAGTAATGTACTTGCTGGTGATTGATCACTTAGATAAGGGCAGGAAATCACCATCGAATATACAGAAGACGGGGCGCCAAAAATGACAAAAGGTCGACCTGACATTCGATCGATTTAAATGCATTTCTGTTCAAGAAAGAAAACCTCGCGGGTGTAAGACTTTACGTATGGCACGGAGCGAGTGAATGACATCAGCATCTTAATAAGCCTTCTGCAATCTAATAGAGATGGTAACTCCACCTCACAGCACTGAAGTGAATGTGCTCTCTGCGGCGGGGTAGAAAAGAAATGTGTTAGGTTCGTATAAATGAGGAGCTTTGCACAATTATTATTGTCATGTCTAAACTTCGTCGGTCTGCGACGGTTGGCACGTTACTTTGTCGTCGTTTCCGTAAACAAAAGCTGTTTCTTTCACGAGAACCACATCAGGAGTTTGAGACTGGAGTGGATGCGGAGTTCTCCGGATCGTCTGTACAACCGTTTGCGATTTGTTTTCCCGAGTTCGAACGGCACTGCGTAAAGAGAGATGGATTCAACGTGTGACATTATGTGGAACTACACGCTTGATCCGACCGGTGCAATGATAGACCTCTACACAGCATTTGACACGGTCGCTATCGCCGTCCTGATGCCGCTCCTGATGTTCTTCGGAATCATCGGCAACCTTGCTTTCCTACTGATGCTGTACCGTGTGCCGAAAATGCGCTCCTTGACCAACTTCTACCTGGCCAACCTCGCCGTGTCCGACATCGCCTTTCTGGTGTTCGCCATCGGCACGAAGATCTACAACTTTTGCATCAGCTCGGTCAACTTCTCGCCGACCTACAATGGCGTCTTCGAATGCCTCCTGCATCAATTGGTCGTGGATGTCTCCTACTTCGCTTCGCTGTTTGTCATCAGTCTAGTCTCGCTAGAGAAGTACTACGCCATCTGTAAACCAATGCGGCATCGGGTAATCAGCAGCTGGGACCGCACAGTCAAGCTCATTGCATGTTCCTGGGTCGTCTCGGTGCTCATTGCCATCAGTGTTATCCCTAGCTACAGTGTCATCGAATACTTGTGTTTCGTCTGGCCTGAAGAGGAGCAGTACGCCGACCTCGCCAACCAGTACGCATGGTGCGTGGCGGCGGAAGAGTGGGCCGTCACTTACTCCAACGCCCTCCAGACCGTACCGTTCTTCATCGCCTTCATCTTGAACACCACCGTCTACACGTTGATTGTCCGTCGACTGAGCCAGCGCGCAGATCAGCCCATCGGTCAGCGAGAAGCGGTGCCCGTACCTGATCGAGCCATCCATACTCGCAACCAGGTAGCCAAGATGCTGGTCATCAACGGCACCGTTTTCTTTCTACTTCTGGCTCCCTTTGAGTTCGTCTCCATTCTGCTTTCGGCTGACGCCCTGGAGTACGAGCAGGAACTAGTGGCCCTTCAGATATGCCGGCTGCTGTCCTATCTCAACTCGGCCATCAACCCCTTTCTGTTCGGTATGGTGAACTCCAAGTACCGGGCCGCCTATAAACAGGCCTTCCTGCCAGCGCGTGGTAATCGTGTGAGGCCGGCGCCGGTCCCTAGTCTACCCACAGAACAACAGCAGACAAGCCAACCTAATGTTTCTGCCTGTAACAACCAACACGGAGACCAGTCGACCTCTCAGTCATCAAAATAGTGGGCACGACCAGCAAACGAGTGTGGTTTGAAATTGTTTTGCGAGATATGACTCCCATGAAATCCAGTGCATTTTATCGTTTTATTGGTTGAACGTTCCCAATCTTCACGAAGGCATGCGCAATATACCAGTGAGTCAGTATTTCCTAGCCCTTAATGCACAAACGCACCACCACAGCTGCATTCTGCGCGACATTGCGCAATACGCGCGACGCGCGCGTCAATCCCCATAAAAGGAGTTATTTACGACTTTACTCGCGAGCTGGACACTCCATTATATAGCTAGAGGGGTGTTTCGAAAAACATGAAATAAACAGCTGAACAAAATCGTATACACTTTTTAATTTGTGACTTTAAGACCGAAAAGTTTGGATTTTTGACCGAAAATGTATTAATGAATGGGAATAAATATGTGCTTGGTCGGTATTTAACACTATGTTTAAGACCGGTTGGAGTCTGGATGCTTATAATTACCCTCGCCATAATCAGCATCCAGACCGGTCTTAAACAGGTCTTTAACAGAGTGTTTTTAAAACCACCCAAGCACACATTTATTCCCTTATTCATTAATAAATATTTTGATCAGTATTAGAAAAGCTTTGCGCGGCATCAATACACGAACTGTCCTATAAACGTTGACAGCCCTTCGTACTGCACTGGAGCAACACACAACACAATGATGTTCATGTAGAACAAACGAACTGGGAATTAGGTAATCCAAACGTCACAGAGAGTTCCAGATTTGCCACCAATGAGAAAACCGGTTTAAATTGGAACAGTACAATTTGAACCCCAACTTCAAATTAATGAATACTAATCTGAAACGCTGCCGGCGCTCAAATAAAATGTATCAAGTACAAAAATCTTAATCAGGAATCAAAATCGTGTACATAATAGTTTTAAATCGAAATATTTCATGACTATCGCCATATTAGTAGGACGTAATATTATATATAGTAGGACGTAACATTATACAATAATGTTGATTTTAACTCGGAAATGGCATTTGCATCAGCACATTATCTGTAAATATAAAGTCCCTCGTTTATCACAGGTTTGCTCATGAAAAGTAAATTGTGCCATCGACTGAAGAGTGGCAATATTTTATTGCCCACTCTATCAACGGGTTAGTGTTTATTAACTTAGGGATGGAACTTAAATCAGCATATAAATTATGTGTATATAACAGAAAATAATATATCAAATATCTATCGTGCCGTCAAATGAAAAGTGGTAGGAATTAGTATTTTTTTTGCCAACTCTATCACATTGACAACATAATGGCACTTAAAGTACTAGTACATTACATCTGTAGATAGAAAAACGTGTCTCCCTCGTTCGTCACATGTTTGTACTAATTGAACTCGTGTCGTCAAATGAAGAGTAGCTGGGATTAATGTTTGATTTCTAGCTCTATCAGAGTGACAATGTAAGGGTCCTTATTATTAATAGCACTTAAAACAGAACATTAACAAATGTCCCTCATCCATCACGGGTTTGCCCGGCTTGCCGAATGAAGACATATCAAACTACATGGACAACAAAGCTTACGAAACGTTGGTTATTTTCTACTTGATATTCAATCTCAATGATTGTATATCCCCGACTTGGCCATCTAGCTATAGAAAGGTCCATTGTCTGCCTTAGCAGCATCGTTAAATCTTTTGAGGCTGTGTTTTAGCCAAAGCATTTTCATTGAGCTTGAATATTTCAAGAATTATTTGTGTAAAGCTTTAAGTTCGAGATCAGTAATTTTATTAGGGGAAGTGTGACCTAGCGGTTAGGGTTCTTGTCTCATGATCAGAGGGTCAGGGGTTTCGAATCCAGTCGCCGGCCATATGTTGTGTCCTTGGGCAAGCCTCTTCACACCCAGGAGTATAAATGGTACCGGCATTAGCTGGGGAGTAACCTGCGATGGACTAGCATCCAATCCAGGGGGACTACAAATATTCTTAGTCGTTTCATGCCACTGAAACCGGCCTAAAGGGCCATATTGGCTCGGGACAGACTTTACTTACTTTATTTATGTCAATTGTAATGGTAGTACATTTAGATATTTTTTTTTCTTAAGTTTGATATTATTCAAAGAATACCTTGAACATATTTCAACAATTACATGTATTTTTTGATGGCATGATTACACGAGGACAAAAAAAACCCCGAACGATAAACATAAACATCCCAAAACACAAATTGCTAGCACAACGCGCTACAATAATTGCTCCCTCGCGGAAATAATAATGTAAGTGACTTTCGCTCGCAATTTCTCGTTTGTTTATCATGTCAAGCTGATAAACAATCGATGTGACCTGGTGTTGTATGGCTTTATTAAATGCACAGGAAAGATAAAGGAGCTGCAGTCGAGTTCCTGATTACATTTGTAAATTTATCTTTTGTGTCACATTGAAGAGGAAAATCAAATTAAAAAGACCAAACGTGCCGTTGTGCAGTTGTATTTTTTTTCAAGTCTTTGAGTCTTCTAAAGAGCAGAAATTCGCCACCTACATTCGCCAACTAATTCGAATTAGGTGGATATGCGTTGATTTATCTTTATGGGTCGAGATGAAGAAAGCAAGGGGGATTTTGCGATAGTGTATTCCTTCCCTCCGTGTGTATGTGTGTTCCATTTTGGTTAGGTTAACTGTCTAGTGCTGTCATATGAAAAGTCAGACTTCAATCTCAACCTAACTTGGCGACAAAAATCTTTGGGAAGGGGGACTTCAGATGAGACATTTGAGGTCAAGGGTCATCTAGGGGTTAAACGAGGTCATTCAGATGAGACATTTGAGGTCAAGGGTCATCTAGGGGTTAAACGAGGTCATTGTTGATTTTGCTTAGATGAACTGAAAAGTGTGCTCAGTAGCTGACTATAAATACTACCTGCATGCCAGGGGGATCGCGCAAGTTTAACATGCATATTTTTTTTAGACTGATGTCAGGGTAGAATAGGCCACAAACGTGGTTAGTTGTGTATTGTGGTATGTGTGCTGATACGTGATGTTTTCTGCCTTGGTTTTCATTCTGACCATTTTTAAGTTTTGTGTTTTGAACATATACGATTAGTCATCGTATATATGATTGTGATCAAGAAGAGCAAGTTGTCTTCCCGGATTTGTCTTTTCCTAAGCATTCATGGTAGTCTAATGAATATTTCCTTGCACAGTAAGGGTACAGGTATGCGAGCAGATTTAGCGATTACGTATACTATACAGTGCTTAGATGTTCACACTATACATGCACGATGGGGGTATTGAAGTATAAACTGCGAGTTGGTCGGTTTCGTAAACATTTGAATTATGTCTTACCTTTAGAAATGTCTTCACTGAATACTTTGACGTGACACTGAGCATACCGAAGGGCTGGATGCTATACTCCACCAATGAATCACGGTTGTTGTCCTTGTTGCGCGTCTGCCCGCTGTACACGCCGCAATCGGATTACTACCAAAATGTCCGCCGATTCCGCAGTATAGTTGGAATGAATGAATGTTCCCTTCGTCCTTCCGACTGAAACTCAAGCCTTCGCAAGATGCTGAGCCGTAACTGTGCTCGTTGCTCGCTCTTTCTCATTTCGATACTATTTTGACAACTGGTGGGGTTCAATTTAAGACCTTGTTTATTCCCGTAAAGCGTATCTCTCCCGATTGCCTTTCAAACTACAGTGCTTAACTTATAACCTGAATAACTGCACCACTGTTTAATGGCGTCGGCCGCTTAATATAAAGTATTACAAGGGAACAATAGGCTCGAATATATACACGCGCTCGGTGCAGGTGGAAATATGTTGAACAATGAAGGGAAACATTCCAAGGGAAATAGCTTAGTCAAAATATTACACCAGCCCTTACAACTGTAATGGGGATATTAAGAATCAAATTTTGTATCATTTATTTGTTTTAATGAGTGCATTATTCTGGTTTATATTGCATGAGTTTATTTTATTGTTATCCATAGGACCTCCTGTTGATGCAATATATGTAACTTTGCAAATATATAAAATATGAATGTCTATTTGAATTGTTCGAAATCCTCAATTTTCATATAAAAAAATAGAAGCACTCTTCCTTAAAATAAAACAAAAATTACCATTTCGCGCGCCGGGACTCAAAGGCTCGATACGCATTGATTCCCATTGACATTTGGTGCTAACGCTTTGGATTTTCACAATGTCAAAAACCGCATGGTAAGGAAAACCTTCCCCCCCCCCCTAAAAAAAAAATAATATTGTCATAAATAACGTCATGTTGCGCCCCAAATTAGGTCAAATAAGAAAATGCCATATATAAATGCCATACAATTACTTACTCCGGTTGTATCTTTACAAGAAAAAAAAATGCCGTGTCGTGTGCCGAGGTTATTAATGTCGGAGATCTCTGGTATATACCGGCCCCTGAAACATCATTTATAACAAACACGATTACATTTGCAACGGACCCTATTTCCTGCGGGCACACAAACACTCATCCGTCTTCTTTACGGATCGAACGGGGCAAGCTAAACGTGACCAAATCCTCAATCACTGCTGCTCCAAATATCCACCAAAATAGCCTTAAGTTGCCACTAGTTTCAGTCAGATACACCCAAATAAAATGTGTGACACCGTGGTTTTTTTAATGAGTTGCCCTGAAGCTTTCGATCCGTCCATTGGTAGCACTCTAAAGAGATCTCGAGAGAATACGTAATTTAATAATTTCTGGCTCTTTGTATGTTGATGTAAGCTGTGTTTTGTCGTCGTGTTGGAAATAAAAATGTAGTGTCGTTCTGCGATACCTTTCATACTGTAGTAACACAGACATAATGTATCCCGGCAACATACAAGTACATGTGTAACTCATTTCCTCGGCAACATTTAGATACAGCATTTAATTGGGCTTCGTTTAGGTCATTAACTACATTATTTTAGGTCCCATAGACGACAATGGGTGTGGCCTAAATTTGATGAAGGCAGCATATTGTTATGTCCTTGGCTATATGTACGTGCAGGAATGGAGCTATACGCTTAAGGCCCTGCGGGCTACATTCAGCTTTGGGGATACTATATAAAAAAAAAAAGGGGGGGGGGCTACACAAAGTCCCTCGATCGTCAGATCGACCAGGAATCAGAGTCCTACTTGGCTCAACATTTTTCCGGGTAAAAAACAAATGACACTTTTCCGGGTCAAAAATTATTCGGAAAAGTGTCGTTTTTTTGTCCCGGTAAAGTGTCGTTTTTTCGTCCCGGAAAAGTGTGGGTTTTTTTCGTCCCGGAAAAGTGTCACTTTTTGACCCGGAGGAAGTGTAATTTCATTTTGGGTCCCGAAAAAGTGTCGTTTATTTTACCTGGAAAAGTGTCTTTTTGGCCCGGAAAAATGTCTGTTTTTTACCCGGAAAAGCGTCATTTTTTGACCCGAAAAAGGGTTAGCCCAAATAGAGCCCCGATTCCGGTTCAATCTGGCCATGGTCCTCTCAGACTGTGGCTATATCGAAAGCTTTAAGGTTTCTTAAAGAAGCCGTTGAAATCTACGAGTTTGCTTTTAGGTCCGAATCACTGAGAGGGTCGAGTCCGAGTCTTCTGCCCATGTGATTCGAGTCGAGTCCGAGTCACCGAAATTGCGACTCGAGACGAACCGAGTCTGAGTTCTGGGCTCCAGACCTACAACACTGGTTTCGAGCGAGGCTTTGACTTCTTCAATTTTTTTAAGAGTGAAGGATGATGCTTGAGGTGAATTTGTCTTCAATCGTTCTTGTATTACCAGAAAATCAGAAAATCAGTTACTGGCTACGGTAATATATCGGAAACGAGGTAGTGCCAGTCAACGGATCGTATCCCGTGATCGTCCGGCTTGACCATCCAGCCGCGAACTGTCGATGGGCACACAAAGAAGAACATCAGATTCAAGGCGATGGTTTAGCTCATCAGTGCCAGCGACCAAAGAATTCCCCACTGCTCTTTGGACAGGTATATAAGACTCCTCACCAGCAGTGATCACTCACACTTATGCAGACCACACGACAGCTGAGATGGGCCCAATTAATCAAGTTGGGAAGTCTAAACGGCCCCCATGATTTCTCTTGATGAGATGATCCGGAGAGAGAACAAAACAAAATCGCATCATTCATTATTGTTCTGTCTTGCAAATCTAGGTTAAACACACACGGCACAGAAGTAACACGCGTCTGTCCTTCTTTTTTTCTTAAACGTAAATCTCAAGCAGCACCGGCTTTTAAAGAGCTTTTGCTCAAAATCTGACAGTAGCTTAAAACAAAACATCACAACCCATAACAAGTGTCTCGTGTTCTTCTCTTTTAATATTATTATATATTACACGAACTATATTACACGAACTTTTTAATATCTCGAATCAAAGGTTAAGCATCGTATCGACTCCATTATTTTTTAAATCTTAAATGTGTTCTTCGGAGGCTTTTGTATATGATGTGGGCCAGGCCACTGAAATGTTTCAACCTCACGTGAAAACAATTATTGAATTTGTTGGTGCTGATATTCATAAAATCGACAGCATACCGTTGCTCTCGGCACATCCAATATTGACTCATAAGTGCACCGTAGCTGAAAGCAACGCGACCAGCGCACTTTATTCCCCTGGATTTTCGTTTCATTTCACCGTGCCACACTATTCTATCCGGGGATAAAATGGATCTGGAATATAAATGGGGAAGTAATCCCATGAAGCTTTTCTGGCGCTGTTTGGGAGGCACTTCGGGACTTCTCTCCGAGAAGGAAGTCATTGCAGGGCACGATTCTCAATCTAGAAATCCCAAGAAAACCTTCCCTCGCAAACATGCAAGTGAATGCGGGCAAGTATAGCAACGTCTAGAAATCGTCGGCGCAGTGTGACAATACCAGATGCAAGATATAGTGAATAAATACATACCAAATTGGGTGTACTACTGAAACACTGCACTGGCTTAGGCCGCTAAAAGAATATGTTGACTGCCAAAATATGAACCCTTGCAATCTTACTGCTCACGAATATCCCGGGGAGAAATATTGAATAAAGGTGTGCAGTTGTATCATAGCCTATGTTTGTATCAACCTAAATTTCACGGATAAAATCTGCTCGAATCTATGAGTATTATACCGTGTATGGCATAGGAAAAAAGGAAAGGAGTTTAGTTTCTTGCTTTTCAATTTGACTCATAACATGAACCCTATGGCATTATCTTTCTTCCTGTTCATTGTTGTTTAATTAAATGAGGAACCAACACATATCGAGCGACATTTCGTGAACGATACAACGAAATAACACCCGAGTGGCCTTGAGTGCGCGCTACGCTCGCGTATTACAGAACCGAGTGACTTTCGTTTTCACGAAGTACGGTTAACACACAAGTACACTGTGCGCTCACTCGATACATTTTCGGTACACCCATTTTTACTTCACCAGTTTAAAGGCTTTTATTAAATTTGTCTGTAATCCCACAAGAACACGGATTAATTTCAAAGTTGCAAAGCTTTTTTTTGTCAAAATTGTATTTCCGTATTAACAGTGTTGTATTTGTGGAAACGAAAATCGTTCGCGCCAGTGTCCGATGTGAGCGCGCACACGTGGGTGTTACTTCGTGAAACCAAAATTTGTTATGAAGCGGTTTTCACGAAGTAACACCGTAGTGGACTTCGTGGTGTCGGTGACGATTTGACAACCTGGCACTGGTTCACAAGCGTTACTTCTCATCGGTTTGTATGCAAGGACTAATGGGCTCCACGGAGACGTAAGCCGAGAAAAGACACTAGTGGTTGCTATCATCAGGAATTTGAGCGTAAACTTTCGATTGATTTCAAAAGTTGGTTCCCCCCCCCCAATATTTCTGCATTGGATGGAAGGAGTTCTCCGGTCTGGTTCCTAGCCTACTTCATACACATAATGCACGAATGAATATGTACAAGCTACACAGGCTAACATCCTAGTTCGTCTTTGGTTTCAACTGTTATTGCTTGGGTTTGACCGTCCGAGTGCAAGTGCTGATCGACAAATAATTTGCTTTTGCCTCGTGCAACATGAGCCCTTTAGTTGAACATTTGGTATATATGAGGCGGGGCCGCAACCGCAGCCAAGAACTCAACGGGTCACGAAGTTCAACTTGCCGTACTTGTCAGCTTTCTCCCAATCGAACTTCTCTCGGCCTGTCAACACACACAAAAATAATCGAAAAATAACAGCCATCTTTAAGATTTGGTATAAGATGGCGTCAAAGAGATGCTTGGCGTCAATGAGATGTACATTTTAATACTGGATTATGCACTAATCATCTTTGTAATGTTTAGAAGCACTGTATATTATGTTCTGGACGGGAGCTTGCGAGAAAATATATCAGATATTCGGATAGTAATGTATAAGCTTTGCAGTATAGCAAGGTTTGTTTTACCAGCTTCTTTAAGGAATTTAGCCACTTCAAAGTATCCGCCCGCCTTGGCTACGTCTGTGGCTGTCTTCCCCTTGCGTGACTGTAGGCTGATGTCGATGCCGGCCTCCACGAGCCACTTCACGGCTTCTGAAATTGCGCGTGGTGAGAGAAAGCGCCCAAGATAATTATTGTTCAATAGTACCAAATAATACAGGTTAAAGCGAGACGGGAACATTAAGTTGCTTTTGAAAACTAAATCACCGCATCCCTCCAATCCCAAATCACCACGAGAACAATTTGACTCAATCTATAGGAGGATGTTCTCATCGTTGTTCATCTAACCACCGTGATCATCAATGAACTGATCCATGTTAATAAGTTCCACATATAAAAAGTGAAATTCAGGGGCTGGGTTAGTACAGTTGAACGCATTTTGGCTTAAGTCTTGAACATGGTAGATTGGGTTTCAATAAGTCATAGAAACGAGGCCCTATACGGCCTTAAAAATACTGTAGTGTCAAATAAACACTGTAGGCCTATAGTTTCAACAACCACCACACTGGTATTATTTCAAGGGCGGATCCAGAACAGAATTTTTTTCGCGCCCCCCCCCCCAAAAAAAAAAGGTTTGTCCCCCAAAAAGTGGGTCTACAAAATTACGGCGTGGGGTTCGGGCCCACTTTGGATTCTAGATGCTCTGTGGTGCAATCTGAAGCAATTTCTTAATACTTTAACCAAATTTGTTTGAGGAAAAGATGGTTGTGTACGCAGTGCCTGCTTGTATTGCAACGTCACTTGTTAAAAAGGGGGTTCGTTTTTTTTGGGGGGGGGGGCATGGCCCCCGTTTCAACACTTTATAGTTTTCGAAGTGTGGTGCCGACTCTCTACTCACTGAGGTGGCCGTTCCTTGCCGCGGCGTGCAACGGTGTGCACCCGGTGATATCCGGCTGGGTGAGCTCGCCACCGCGCTGGGACAGCAGCTGTAAGCACTCCAGGTGTCCGTTAGCGGCCGCCTTATGCATGGTGGACGTACCTGTGCTGTCCTTCTCACAGGGGCTCTGAAAAGAAAAGAAAAAGAATGAGAAAACAGTAACAAAATGATGGCATAATAGTTTGTCAAACTAAGGACAGTAAAATGACTGGAACGAGATTGGAATCTGCGATCTCATTCGACAAACAACACTATTAGTAATTGGTTCACTTGATTAAAAAAAAAAGGTACTGAATCTTTAATATTACAAAATAAAGGACAGTCCTCTGAATTAAGATGGAACTATTCATAAGATGGAATTTCTGAATTTTGCAGTATACGGTATAAGTCCTCGAAACCGTTTTGCAGTATACTCAATTTAAATAAGCGAATAAACGTGTGCTTGGCCGGTTTTAAACACTATGTTTATGACCGGTTGGAGTCTGGATACTGATAATTTACCCGAGCCAATTTGTGGATTTCGAAATACAGACTCACTGGTACTATTTCGCATGCCTACGAGAGGACTGTGAACGCTCAACCCATAAAACGCTAAAAGGCACCGGGTTTTATAGGAGTCCAAATTTCATGTGACACTAGAAAAGTGTTAGACCAGCCAGCCGGTCTTTATCAACCGTTTAAAACCGGCCACGTGACGGGCTCTTGACCAATAGGAATGGGTAAACTGGCTTAGGTATTTATGAATAAAGAATTACGTGTGAACGTTCTGAACACTTTTGTTTTTATTTCGCAAGGAACATGACAAACAGTTACATTGCCTGGGTATAAATTGAGTTTTTTAAAGTCATTTTTTGATTTAAGACTCGGGTGATTTTGCTGCGAAGCCAACCCTCCTCGATAACAGAAGTTGATGTGTCGAAATAATCGCCGTGTCAAGGAAACTGATAGCCTAGCACCACAAAGTTTGTCATTAAACCACACTTCACGCAATATTGACGTGAGCACAACACCGACATTTTGTCAATAATAGTGAGCACTTCTAGCGGGCGCGGGCTCCTTGCAAGTTGATCAACAACCTGAAATCGTCACGACCTGTCCGCTGTAGCGCCAGCCCCCCTCCCCCCCCCCAAGCAAAACTGTTTAAAAAAAAAAAAGACCAAGAACCAATATTTGTCTGGTTTTCGATCGGCAAGTACTTTTTATTTCCGGGCAAACACAGAGAAGGCGCACGGTGCAGCGTTGCCGAACACATTTTTTTTTTTTTTTTGCGTTGGGTGCTGACGATTTGTTCATCAGGCGCGCCATGTAATAATGATCGACAATAATAAACTTGATTCAAGTCTGAATCCAGCAAGCAATCAAAAGTCGTCAAAACAGATGTGCCTAAATCTTGATGTTTGCCAGAAAATACTGTCGTTGTTTTATTTCAATTAAGAATAATCGTGTCTCATTTTTTTTAGATAAGAATCGTTTGAAATTAAAAACAACACTCCGATGACACAAAGGTATATTCTAAGTGCGCAAGCGTAATGAGCACGTTGCCCTTTTTTTACGCCGACATCACTGATGACTGACAGATAATTAAACATTTCAAACTATTTTTATTCTACGATATCGTTTCATTTCGCTTTGGTGTGACAAACAGAAAAACCGAAAATACCTCATTTCCTGTCATGGTGGTTTATTTTAGAACGAAACCGCTTGATTTTTTAGAGATTAAAAATATAATGGTGAAAAATATATATGCGTCTTTCACTTTCCGAGGATACGTGGGTATAATACTCTGTATAATGTCTCTAAGTTAAAAAAATATATATCATAAGTATATTCGAATTTGCTTTTAATCAAAAATTATGTTCACTGGAGATCGTACCCTGACCCCTCCTATGCAAACATACATTCGGAGCCAAGTTTTCCTTTTCAGTCTAAATCAATCCAGAGACTGTTTTTATCAGTTAAGAGCTCCCAGCCTACATAGAGCAGGATTGACTGGCTGTGACTGTTTACGTGTAATATACAGCTATGCTTTGACTGTAGTGATTGATAAGCCAGCTAGCTGTGCCTACTTCTTGCCCGCTTTTGTCTGTTGACTGAATTCGACTTGCCACATTGTTTGCTTACATAAGATCTGACTGTTGGTGACTAGCTTGTGTAACAGGCATATGGCAGGGGAAGAGGATTGATCTTTGACTGTCTGCGACACAAAAGTAAACAGATATTCCGGCTTATATAAAAAGGCACGTGATTAAAAATAAAAAAGTTGGATTTTAAATCTTTCTTCTTTATTCCATGGGCAGAGAGTAGTTTATTTTCATTCCTTTATACTCACAATTTTTAGCACGCAGTTTTCTCAAACGCTTTTCACAGCAGTTTTTTTGCATTATCGTAATGTGCAACAGCAATCCACACACTACTGCAATTCACTTCCTTAATAAAAACTAGTCCGCACCATTTACAATAGTTTCTGATGGAATTGCTTTCGATATGTTTATTTTTTTAAAAGGCAATCTTTGAAAGATTCCCTTTTCAAAACAAAAACAAAAAAAATCGAAAATAGTATTACATTACTCAGTCAGAACAAACTCCAACAAGTGATATTTGTTTCAGTTTGCATTCACGGATCCAGGGATTGATGATAAAAAGAACTGGATTGGATAGGTATTGGTTCACTTAAGACTTGTTTCTCGTCTGGTATACTTGTTTCACGTCGCATCATGGCTCCGCGATGGGGCTTGTTTCTTATGCTCTGGTTTGCTGGGTGCAGCACGGGCGAAGGTGCAGTCGAAAGTGGGTGCAGCGAAGGTTTGTATCAGGATTTGCATAGAGTTTGCAGGATGTAATCTGTGTATTTTCCTCCTTATTGCGTCAGTTTATTTATCAGAGTTTTGTCATCTGTAATTTTGTGATGTATTTTACTCAAAATATTATGCCACTGCTAAAAATGGTTTAACAAATGGTTTATCACGAAAAAACCCTGACCATTTTCTGCATCTTGAACTTTAAAAAAAAGTGACGTAAAGATTCCTGTCATGTGTCCCTTTTTAAATGCCTAACTTCAAAAATATTGCGAAGACAAAATGAAGCTTCTTTTGTCAAATTTATTTTGTCCCAATTTCCAACTTTGATGGTTATTAAATGATTTTGCCTCTGAAGCAGATCCTGTTAAGATCGAAACATCGTGCCGTTTTAATTTTTTAAGTATATATTGCGGTCATGTGCATTCAGTGTTCGACTTGTCATTCTGGATTCTTTCAATTCAACTGCTCATAGTCAAATTTATAGTCACCCGAACATCTTTAAGGGGTTAGTTCAACCTGCCGACCAATCATCCCATTTCATGGACAAGGTTTTCTAAATAAACAAAAAAGTTGACAAATGATCAACTGAAAAACAACTATCGAAGTTGCTAGCGATTGCTGGTAGCCTATGTTATTCGGATGTACCGTTGTGTGCAAGCTGCTATCACAGTGTCTTTTTACGTGGATCAAAAAGACTCTCAAGGAGTATGTGTTGTTTGTTTTGTTTATTTTAAAGGAGTTTCATCGGACAGCAAAGGCCAGGAATTTATCTTCGCCATTCCAAGCCCCGTGGGAACGGGCGGAGGCATCTACCCGTTCGTCATCGTCACGAGCGAGTCCGCTGGGATGACCCTAGTCAATGTGTCCCAGCCCGCCGGTACTATCCGGCACAGCGTCGGTGTTGGTTATCGAGAGTCAGTGGTGCTCAATCTGACAACAGATGCCCTTGCCAGGGGTTCTGGATTTGTTGACAGCGCAGTTGTCGTAACAGCTAGCTCCGACGTCAGCGTGAGGTGCCTGGTGGAGCAGCACGCTGTCCGTTTCCACTCCGACGGCTTCACGGCGATCCCGACCGACGCCTTGGGGCGAGACTACTTCGTCCTGACCTTTGACACTCACCCAACAGTGGTGGGCGGAAATGCTGATGAGAGATACCACTCTCAATTCGTCGTCACGGCGACAAGGGACCAAAGTCTGATAAGTGTGGAACTCAGCGCGACGGCATCCTTCGATGGCCTGCAACGCCGGGCGGGTGAGCCAGTCGAGTTTGTCTTGGACCGGGCCGGGTCGGCCCAGATACGGAGCAATCATGACCTGACGGGGACCAAGATCACCTCTAATTACCCGGTGGCGGTGGTTGCCGGCAATGACTGCTCCGATGTCCTACGGCTGTTCAATTACTGCGTCTATCTAGTGGCGCAAATGCCTCCAGTGGAGACGTGGGGTCGTCGGTTCGTCTTAGCCCACTGGGGACCCACCGGCTGCATCCACACCTGGAGGATCTTGGCTCCTTACCACAACACCACTCTGACGTTCCATGACAACCATTTGACAAGGGTAACTCCTGGCATCCCGAGATGGTACGACTACCAGATGCACGACAAAAAGGCGGTGCTGCTCACTGCAGACCAGGTGGTACTTGTCGTGCAGTACATCGCCAGTCGGAAGTCCTCAACCAGTGTTCTAAGCATCCCCATAGAACAGTACACGGATGAGACTACCTACATGCGAATAAGCCAGAGCCGAGGCGCTGTCCAGACCAAGGCTGGCCTTGCGGGCACTGTGACGATGTCATCACCCTTAGCCATTATCTACCCGTGCGAAGGGGAGTCCGATATCTTGATCAACGGTCTAGAGCTGAGGTCGCTTCCACCCAGCAGCACCGGTCTCCAAGACGCAACAGGTCGGTACTGTGTGCTGGAGCGGTGGGAACCCGTACTCGGATATGACCGGTGGAGCGTGGACTCCAGGCGGACCGGCACCCGTTTCTCGTCGGTGGTTCTAAAATTCGACGGTGGGGCCATTGTCAGCGCCTATCCGGCCGCCATGTTACTCGAGTCGCAGGGATGTGCGCCATCTGTCGGCGGAGACGACGTCGAGACAACCACAGGGAGAACACCGACCACTGCGGGTGTGAACAACCACGGAGGTATACTAATCGCACTCTGCTCCACTCTGTCTGTGGTGGTCATGCTCCTCGTGTCGTGTTATGCCACAAGTTTTGCCCGGTACGTATACCTTATAGAATTTGGGTGCTCGTTCTTAGTCGGTTGAATTCTTGTTTCTTTGGGTTATTGGTTCGTTTCTTTATCTCCAATTTGTTTTACCAACTGGGTCTAAATATACAAGGAACATTAATAAGTCATGAGGAATAACTTGCACATTTTGAGATCAAGAGACATGCAATTAGGTTGCTTATACCAAAGTGTTTGGGTCAGTATTCCAATATCTCCCGTCTTTACCAATGCAGTGATATTTTTGGATCTCAAAATTTACTGTAAGACATTTTTGTTCCAGGAAAAGGTGTCGAGGCAAGAACTCCACTGGGCAAGTTCGCATGCGGTACAATGTACGCACCGGGGCGATAGAGGGCTCACGTCGACAGGCAGTCGACAGTATCTATTCCTCTCTACCAAACATCCCGCCTCCTGCTGGTCTTGCCAGCATGGCTCCACCGACGTCAGGGGGCGCAGTTCGATCAGGCACCGCACAGTCGGCCCTGATGGAATGCCACGGCGAGGAGCCTGGGATCCGTCCCTACGGGGCCCGGATGCACGAGCACCGCCTGTATAACCGGGGAACCAACCAAATCGAGCCCCAGGCCGACAGGGCCCCCCACGCTTATGCCATCACTACAGGGGAAGGGGTGAAACACACGTATATGGCCCTGTAATGGCCTTGTAATGGCTAAATCAAATTGGGAAAAATATTTCCTCAATAAACAGTTCAAAGGGAATATACCACATTTACAAACATCAAAAAACAAAACCACCAAAATATTATAAATATCTTAATGGACTGTTAGTCAATATCAGCCTTAAGCTTCCTATAAAATCATGGCACCTGGTGTGCTGTCACTTTCAAGAAAAGTGGTACTTTTGTATCAATTTCCAACGCTGGTCGGCTTTGGAAACTGGGGTGTTTTTTTCAAATACTGCCCCCAATTCACCATATTTTTCGCATTTTGTTTGCAATCGATAACACACCCATGAATGGGTACAAGCCAGCTAGGCTGGATCCCTGCCCTTATTCCCGGACGTCTATAAATTGTTACGTTTCATCTGGGAACCAGACTACAGGAACATGATTGTTTCCCTGGGTTTTTCCACTCCCATCTACGGTACGAGCACATAACTTCAAACAAGTCAGTGTAACAATATTTGCACTAAAATACTAACCCCCAAATCCATCCATTTCTGAAAATTAAAGGAAAAGCAAAATTAAAGGAAAAGCAAATGTTGTATATTCCCTTTAAAAGGACCGTGTCGACTCGGCATATTCGCTTTACTTAATGTTATTGCGATTTTGGCAATAAAGGGATGTTAAAGAATATTAACAGCCGTGCATTTTGAGCTCAAGATCTGCTTGTAAGTCAAAGCTGACTTTCTTAACTTAGAGTTATCATAGAGCTACCGTACATTTCAACAGTATTAGGCAGGCGGACACAATTAGGAGGGCGCTATTTGGTTAGGGTAAATACAAAAGACTTTACCCAAATCAAACAGCGCCCTCACATTGTGTCTGCCACATCTCAAATAGGCTACTGTGGCAGGCCTATACTTTAAGTTAGTTTGTAAGAGAAATTTGAAGGACCCGCTGCTTCCATAATCAAGAACTTTAATAATTCAAGAGTACACAAGGCAGAACAAAGAATATCGATTCATATCGTTGTTGATGCAATATATTGTATATATTAAGTACTGCTAGCCAGCATGCGGATATTAACCAAGTGATTTGTACCAGTACAGAGATATTTTAATGTCATTTTTGCTTGATTTTGTGAGGAGTAAAACCTTTTTCCTCTCAACGAATTTACAATACAATGAGACAATTACAATGATTTGTGCGCAGTCGTAAGGTTCAATATTAATTTCACTGTGAATGGCATATGGTTGGCATGGCGACGCATCTTACCTGGCCGTTGTCAAGGGCAATGTTCAGCTGGCGGTAGTCCCCATTGAATGCTGTTGCCAGGCAACGCGATATCCATAGGAGGCAAAATATGAATAAATAAATGGCATTAGAGATGGAAGATGTTTTGAATAATAAAAGGCCGGAACTGCACGATGTACGTGTGCGTGCAAAGGGGATTTATATGGTGAGAAATGTACACGTGATAGACCATGTTAACTAATTAATGTTTTTCTTTTCTTTCATTTCGTTGAAAGGACAAAGCAAGAAAAGATTTTTTTTAATATTCATGACACTGGAAGGTCCTCTGAGATGTATGTACCATGAAAATCAAGAATTTATCGAAAATTAAAAACCAAAAATAATCACAATTTGCATGTGCTTTTGCAGTCGAATTCCAACCAAATCAGTTTCAAAATCACATATTTATTGAGATATTTTCTTTTTGTATAAGTCAAGCCAGGTTTTCAAACGGAGTTCGCCTCACAATAGCAATTATTATTACCTATTTGTTTCTGGTTTTTTTGTGTGTTTTGTTTTTGGTTGAAGAATAAACGATGTTTAGCAAATTTAACACGAGACATGGTTATTTATTTGCAGCTATCTTTCTATTGCGTGAGTCTTACATCCAAATTCGGAAGAAAAAAATTTAAACATATTTTCTTCATGCAAAAAAAAATAAATCCTTCGGAATTTGTTATTTCCCGATGGTGATAGATACTCGGGAACACCAACAATTCTCAGACAATGAGCTGAAAGAAAGCGCGTGTGAAACTGACAAATATATACGACAAATGAATTTCGGTCGGCAGCAAATTGGGACTGGGGGCGGTGATGGCCCATTTCTCACTAAACATATTAAAGCCGGTTAAGGGTTGAAAATGGCGCGCACGACATAAGATGACAGTCTAAGCTCGGAAACGATTTGAAAAACAAAAACAAAATCAATGTCGACACTGAAATGAAGCGATTACAATATTGTCCCTTTTCAAGGTTTTATCCAAGGTTCATTTCGTATGGCAGAAAAGATTGCAGTACACACAGTTAGCATTCGTGTTTAAAAAGGCACACAAGACCCACCAAGATGAACCACGAAAGAATACATTCAACCATGGAGGAAGAAAAACCTCCATGATTCAACACTTACCGGCTTCGTGGATGTTCAGCGTCACAACCATCGTGCTCGTAAAAACTCCGAAATGTTCTGCACTACAGACGAGAGATATCAGAAAACGTTATCTACAAATCCTTGTGCTTTACTGTACTGGCCTCAAACACACACCGTTAGCCAGGTGAGACACGGCGAAGATAACCGCAGACACGATCGTCGTTTATGGCGGGCGCGTGTAATCAAAGCTATTATCATATTATAATGATGTGCGCATCACCACCTTCTGCGCATCTCATTAACCGAATCTCTATTAACGAGATGACAACCGACGACTCTTTCATGACGAGCGTTTATACGCTTATACAATTTCCAATGTTTGTACTCGTATCACTTTACAGAATAATTTCACAGCATAATCTTATTCCCTCCAAATTATGTTTAAGGGCCTATTTTTTTCACTCATCCATTATAATTTGTACAGGTGCCTTTTTCACACTATTAATTTGACATGTTTTAATTGATTTTTATCTGTACATGTATATAACAATCCTTAAAAATGATATTAAAGAGAGAATTGTAGGGTCTACTTTTACCTTTTGGTAATTTCTGAACGATTTTATTAGAAACAACACTTTTAAAAAGAAGCCTTTTTAGTGTACTTTAAATTGATGAATATACATGCTGCCTGCACGGTGCCTTTACAGAAAGATCTTTTACAAAAGCCTTAAATGCTTAAATATTTATATTCACTTTATGCTCTTTATCATCTGTGTACTACATAGTTTAATATTCAGTCGCATTTACAGTGCGCAATAAAAAAAACGGGATAAAATTTGCACTAGTCGGCTGGCCTCTTCCAAATTCAATGCCCTAGAAAAAAAAACACAAGGATCCCTTAAATATATTATCCGAAAAGAACTGAAAGCATGCGGCACTAATTGGCACAGAACTGCCATCTGGAAACACAAGGATACAACAAACCGCTGCAAAACATAAGACTCCATCTTCATTTCTAAAAATCTAGCAGTCGATCCATAAATTAAAAAATACTAGCACTCTCTTTTTGCAAAACTTATCTGTAGAGTCTGAAGGTATGGTAAGTACTCTACACAATGGTCTTTATCTTATCTAATTTGGACACCCCAGTTCAGAGATACAGCTAATTAAATGAAATGACTTGAATTCCAAGTTGGGCCACTTTGCAGATTATCTGGTATCTAATGAAAGGCATTCACATACCAAGAAGGTGTGCGAATGCCTTTCACTAGACACCAGATAATCTGAAAAGTGGCCCAAACAAATTTTAACTGTCTTTACAAGCTTTGCTGTAACTTGTAAACACAGGTCAAAATCACACAGAACGAAAATCCTGTCAAGGGTAAAGAAACACTCTATCATCTCATGGTAATTTTTCAACGCAAAAAAAAAAAACATTCAGTTTCCTCAGAAAAAAAGTAGTTTGACTGATACATTTTTTAGACACGCTGTGTACATCTCAACTCCATTTTTATGCCATCACATGCCCGAAACATTAGGCCTATTTTAGTCTTCAAACTTACAAGGAATGATTCATATAGGAATGATCTGAGCAAGAATTCCGGATCATAGTAGAGGCCCAACACAAGAAAGGGACACCCAAGGTCTTGCCAATATTGTGGTAACTAATGAGTTAAAAACAAGCTCGATTGGAAATGTCTCGGAAGCTGCGAGCCACAAATTCATGTTCATGCATGAGTCACGTGATTGTGCCATGTAATTTCTGGAAGTAGTGTTTTTGAGTAAACAAAAATCAGCTTTTTGACCCCAGTGACCCTATGATGACCTTTGACCCCAATTTGGTCATGTGACATGTTGGGGCTGGGCTGCTGATACTTTTGACAAAGTCTGGTTCAAATCAGTCAAAATACGTAGGAGCAATAGACAATGTCAATGTGCACGTTTGTTACTAACTAACGGACTAACGGAGAGACAGGATTTGAGGAGCTGCTATCCCACAGCTAAAAAAATAAGGCGAACGCTGATGCACTCAAGTCAGCCTACATATTAATGACCGAAGAGGATTCCTATACAAGTTTGATATACATCCCCATCTTTTGTTTGACGTTTCTCGCAAATTGCCTGGTATTGTACATAAATTAAAAAAGAATTGTAAATTAATAACATACATAGTCAGATTTGTACAAAGAAATAACTCAGATAAGCTTGCATTTCTTGTTTAGCATCTGCGGTTCTTAAAAAAGATATATTCATCTGCTTAATATAGACTGTCGGCATAGTGGCCATCTTAGACAGCATCTTTTGTTATTTTGATTGAGTAATAATGAAAGCACAAGAGGTTCACGCATACATATCCAAGTCAAACAAAGGCATTGCCCTCTAAAATGGCTGCTAAGCATTAGGTCTATTTTTTTTAAGCTCCTTCTGGTCTTGCTGGACAGTCGCTGGGCAGGATGCAGTTCTCATTATGATGTACCGTTCCGGCTGGGCACTGACAGCCAGCTACACAGGTGCGTGTCCGGCACTCAGCCCCAGTAGGGATGGGGTCTTCGCAAGACGGAAGGCAGGCCGGGCCGCAGTGATCGTACATCATGCCATCTGGACACCGAATGCCTGAAGACAAAAATAAAGGGTTTTAATGAGTTTTTCATTGATTACATAATTTTTCTTCTCCAAAAGTCAGTATTTGTGGACCAATTATTATAATTTTTTCTCAAATCAGTTGTTTTTTGGTATTAAATGGACTAATCCGACACAAAATCACTAGTTTTCACCCATTTTATTGTACCATCTATTGAAGCCTAGTTCTCACAGTGCAATTGTTTTGTCACCATGTCAGTGTCATGTGTTAAGGGCACAATATACAATGTATGTGACTCTCTGGGTCTCACAAAAATCTTTTGAATGGGCTCATTAAAAAAAAAGCACAATCAAGACTCACTGCAAGCGTTGTTGCCCGTCCACTTGATCTTGATGTTGTTGCGCTGGCACTCGTACATGTAGGCCGCTATGGCTTCACAGTGGCAGGGCTCATTGGAGCTACATGTACAGGCATCCTGCATGCACCACTCAAAGTAACTGGTTGGACTGACTACAGAGTGGCATATCTGTGTGGAGAAAAAAATTGGGTATGCTGTCGCGTTGAATCATACACAATGTTATTCTTGATCGTTATCAATTGGGGTGGCCTTTTTGGTGTCAAGGTGAAGAGTGCTTATGAGGACACAGGCACTGTAACTAGGAAATACACAAAGACATCATACATGAAGAGGAATGCCCAACCCACTTTATGACGCAGGTGCTGACAGGCTAATCAACTTGAGATAGATAGCCTCGACTTCAAAACTGCTGGACAATGCAGGGGCAATTAAGTCTGTTGCGATAAATTCTAATAAAAGCGAAATTCTCATACCTGGAAAGCTCTTAGCCTGAGAACACTGCACTTCTTCCTGATGTCTTTCAGAAAGGTGAAGCCCAGACTAGAGCAGGCTGAGATCTTATCACCGGTGATGCCTCCAAAGGCCAAGCGACTGGTGCCGCGAGCCTTGGGCTTGGCGCAGTAGCGGTACCCGTCCACCTTCCAGCTGTGGGAAAACTCCTTGGCCGAGCGGGCCGGCAGGAACTGCCGCGTGGTCCAGTCGTCCTTGCGGTTGCCGTTCATGTTGCCGCACAGGCCGCAGAGCTGGCCTCTGTACGTTCCCGGGGCTTGGACCTGGATGGCGCCAAACCTGGACCACTGGATCACCACACCGCGGTCTGTCTGGATCATGACACCGCGGCCGTCGTCGGTGGACGAGTTGGCGCGTGTGACCATGACATTCATGGGCTCGGCATGGAGGTATGGCAGCTCAACGGGGACACCGGTAACCTGAATGAGAGTTGCCAAAACAGAACACCCTTCAATTTACATCCACAGCTCATCTCAAGAGCATACTGATACCTGTATGGTACCTTAAATTAGGTCTGTCAAGACAGGAGTCTTTGTTATCAAAACACTGCTGCTTGACTAAAATTGTTGTAGTTGAGATATCTTTTTAAGTCCCAAAGTAAACTTAGATACGTGGTGTGTATAAATTCAGTTTTCTGAATGAGATAATGGGTGTTTTGGACACACACAAACTATATACAGAAAAGGAACTCAGAAATGGACTCAGGCATTGTGCAAATACTAAGACAATTTCAGCAAACCTTTTTCTCAGACTCCTACCCAGAACCTACAGCCCGATTACTATGAGACCACACTGCTTTATACCTCCATATACCAAAGGACTTGACCTACGTCACAATCACTGGCCGAGAGCAGCATACCTTGACTGAGCCATCATAATCAATCTCCACCTCCACGCAGTCCAGCCGCAGCCACAGTGCCCACTTCTTGATCTTCTTCTTGTTGGCTTCGTACTGGACCTCTACGGTGAACTGGCTGCCCACACAGTCCTGGCTCAACACGTAGCGGCAGTTGCCTCGGTGTCCGTACCGTTTGAAGTCATAGGTCGCGTGCCAGCCGTCGCGGGTGACCGTGCAGATCTTTGAAGCTGATGACGATGCATCGACAATAAAACATATCAGTGTTGGTGGAGGAGATGTAAATGTTAAATACAATGAATTAACTTTTGTCATTAAGTGACCTATTTTTTTAGATACTCATTGATGTCCGAGAACTTGCTGAGAAAGAAATATCACAAACTTTGCTCAGAATTGGACTTGAATCCTAGACCTCCGGCTTACTATAGAAATATTTACCGTCTTTAGGTTTTCATTTGTCACTGATCATGTCCTGTTAATACTCATTGGCGATTGACTACTGATTGACTCATGATTGCTTCAATTCATTCTAACTTTGATCATGTCATGATGATTACGGCATCAAACTTTTCTTACTTTGACCATTACTAATAAACACCTCGGGCAAAATTAGGAGAGAAATGCTAGCAGCTTATTTATTAAACTAGTCACACTTCTCAATACAACAAAACCAAGCTTTTAACTGATGACATTAACTTAATTGAGTTAACAAGTTAATGTCACCAGTTAAAAGCTGTTAAGAGTTAAAAAGTTAAACTCGGTTACAGAAGTTTGAGAGAAATTTGTAACAGTCAACTGACCTGGTAAGCACTGCGGACAGCAGGCACCAGGAGCTTGGTATTCATACTCCTTCTGCACCATGCCGAGAAAAAAATGAAAATCACTCATTTTACTTACTTTAAATAGACTAATGCAAATATGATTTTTGAAGTACATGTAGCACCATTTACTATATAACATCACTTTTCTAACTCGATGTGTAAAAGAGTCTCCTGTGTTTCATCTTCTGCTTCTGTTTCTTGATTAAAATAACAAATTCAACATCTTTCGAAAAAAATATATATTTCAAAATAGCATGTGAACAGGTGTCAGAGTACTAATTTAGGTACTTCTTTGCATACTTCTTTGCATTACTTTCAATCGGAGAGAGTTAACAAATATTTGTAAAAAGGCTTCATTCATAAATTTGAGGTTATTAACATTTTGAGTGGGTGAATTATCTGTCTGGAAACCCAATTTTGCTCATGTGGATGATCAAAGCTGAGATTGTGTTTGGAAAGTTTCATTGGCCCAATGAGCAGGATAATAATGATGTTGTGCCCTGAGCAAGAAAAATGGTGGATAGGCTACACATTATTATATTATTGTATTATAAGCAACTAGTTTTAACCAAGCAATTGTTCTGAGAAAGAAACAAGAGGTCTAAACCCCCAAGCAAAGGTCCTACCTTGCGACATTTGATTTCAGGACATTCTTTGACCTGACACATGGCAGCACCTTGCTCACATTGACAGGTGGAACACTTGAAATTCCAAACGTCATTTGCCTGGTAAAACAATTAAGCAACGACGCCGATCAAACAATGAATAAACTATTCCAGTGCTGGACGGTGGAATCTACACAGGAATGGCCTTTTTAGGGTTTTAATATTTAAATTGAAATGATTTCCAGCAATCAATAAAAAATTAGTTGTTCATATAATTCACATTGATAGCAGTTCTAATGTACTTACAAGGTGGAATCTTCCTTCATGTATACAATAGGAAATATCTGAAATAAAGGGGAAAATATGTTGTCTTGTGATTTTTTCGTCACAATTTATTTAATTGTATGTCATCCTGTTTTACTTAGATTAATGCAATTTTTTGAAAATAACATTGAAAGTAACATTTTGATACACATTGTAAACATGCTCTTGCTCACATATGAAATAACTTGGGGGGGGGGCTTATTATCATCCTAACTCACAGCTGAGAAGCTGAATTGCGTAGGACGCGGCTACAACGTGGCCAGCCGAAGGCATATTAATAAGGTGCCTTATAGCTGCCACCATGCGACCAATGTAAACGTTGATTTTTGCAGAGGGAGGAAATCTGGAGAGCGCCGGAGAAAAACCATTGTGGCACAGGAGAGAATCCGACAAAAAATCTACTATTATATGGTCTGAGCCGGGAATCAAACCAGGCCACATTAGTGAGAGGGGACCGCTTTACGTACTAGCCACCCGTGGACTGATGACAACAAAGAAACGACCAAGCAATTCTACAAAATATCTTAAATAATCCCAAGCTGGATCAATGAATCTTGCTCTGTCTATGTAATTAACACTAAGGCTAGATCCAGAGAGGTTACTGCAGGGAATGGGGGGGGGGTGCTGAGGGCAAGTGGAGGGGGTGTGGAAGGGCTCTCTCAAGTGAAGATTTGCCTTATTTGAGAACATTTCAGTCACTGCCGGGGCCACCCCCTCGATTTGTCACTGGACTGGAAGATCAAGTTAAAACTGTTTGTCAACTAACCATTGCAGGAATGGCCATCAGGCTGCAACGCAAATCCACTATTACAACCGCAGTAGAAGGAGCCCTGTGTATTGTGGCACGTGTGTGCACAACCGCCGTTTTCCAAGTCACATTCGTTAACGTCTGGCAGATGAAAAAAAAAAAAACCAGAAAAACACAACATAAGATTCCCGACAAATTTGAATACAGAGAAGGAAATTACCATTCTTGAAAAATCGTTATGACTGTTTGTTAGAATTGACTTTTATTTGAATTTCTTCAAACTTAAATTGAAGTGTAACAATGTTGTTGAGTATCACAGAGCTTCATAAGGGATGTACGACCATTAACGAATAAAATAGAAGCTTCTTACCGTACTCGCAAACACGACCTGTGAAACCGGGAGCGCAGTTGCATTTTGCAACCACGCCATCATTCACACAGGCACCACTGTTCAAGCATGTGACAGACTGGCACAGGTCGCGCAACTCACATCGTTCTCCTGAAAAAATAAAACAAACAATGGACAAAAAGTTACGACAGTGACAGCAAAACATAACAAGGAATTATGTCACGTCAACCATTATTGTTGTGTTACAATTCAACGCAATAAATATATCAAATAAATACGTTCTTAAATCATGTTCAAACTCGGCCCTCACCTGAGTAACCGGGAGCACATCTGCAGAACAGCAGGGAGCCGTTGCTATGGCAACTCCCATAATTAAGACATGTTTCTGTGGTGCAGGACGTCCTCAGTAGTTCGCAATTTGTGCCATGGTAACCCAAGGCACAGTGACACTTGAAAGCCCCAACCAGATCAGTACATGTGGCACCGTTTCGACACGTTGACGGCTGACACTCATTTATACCTGAAAATAGAGTGCCCCAAAAAAAGGTAGAGTACGTCATTTGCAGCTATCCAAAAAGTAACTTCCAAGTTATTGCTGAAACGCGAGCAGACGTAATTTCTACCGCAACGTTTTGGCCTTGATCGTAACACTGATCTGAATCAGTCAAATGAATTACTTCATCGTACAACTTTTAAAATCTACTTCACATGAGGCACTGCATATCAGGAATGATAAAAATGTCCCAGGTGTTTACGAATTTAAAACGTCTACCTACGTGGACAAAGTTGTGAGCTCTGAACAAGGCTGACCTCTCCGTGGAGATTGGAGGTGACCTGTGACCAGGCCAGCACATTCCCTGATGCTGCACAAGAAGAGTAGACCAACGTAATCTCCTCAGATGTCATGGCGTAGTCCCACATATTCAACTGTGTCAAAGAAAGAGTTTTCACAGAGAATGCGTTGTGTCAACTTTCGAAGTATAAGGTCGCGTGATTTACAATGCTACCGTGACAGCTGGCAGTGACACAGAAGTGTTGCTTTAAAGTGGAGTGTTTTCATAGTAAAGAAAGTAAGTATAAAGTCACGAGCCAATGTGGCCAATCAGGCCAGTGTTAATTTATCACCGGTTTCAATAGCATATGAAATGATTTAGAGTATTTCCATCCCCCCTGGACGGGATGCGTGTCCATCGCAGGTTACTCCCCAGCTAATGCCGGTACCCATTTATACTCCTGGGTGGAGAGAGGCAAGTGGGGATATAGTGGCTAATTGCCCGAGGACACAATATATTGCCAGCGGTTGGAAATGAACCAATGACTCTCTGATAATGAGTCACGAACCACTAGGCCGCACTCCCCATTGGTGCAAATAGTCAAGTAATAAGGACATACCTGGCTCAGGTCACCCACGAAGGCCTGTGTCTGCGCGAAGGAGCCAGCGTAGCTGTCTTGCTCCTGCCCAAGAACCAGCACCCCAGAGCCTCGTATGACTGAGCCGGTCTGGAAGCCCTGACCTGACCGCCTGACTGCTCCGTCCACGTACATGGCCCATCGGCCGTCCAGGCTTGCCCACGTGATGGCAACGTGACGCCAGTTGGGATCACTATAAGGCAAGTTAACAAAAATGAAACTTTGTACGACAGAGTCTTAAACTCAAAGGTGTTTGTTGGTAAGGCATGGCAGTGACTGTCTCTAAAAAGAGAGATGTGGTACTCGCCAACAGACTTAGAACCGAGGGAGCCAAGAAGACGACACATCCAGGATTTCACCCACCTGTTCAATTTCTCATCTGTGTACATGAACTCTCCGTTCAGGATGATGGCCAAGCTGTTGTAGTCGCTGACCGTGAAGGCGTTGTCTTGCACCGTGCCGTCTGGCTCCCGCGTGCCATACGACAGTGGTGTGCCAGCGTTGGCCTTGTCCGAGGTTCGCATCCAGAAGGCAACGGTCAGCGCGTGGAGGGAGGGTAGGGTGCCACGCAGCATGGCGTAGTCCGAGGTCCGGGCTTCGGGGAAACTGAGGTCAAAGTCACTCGAGAGAGCTGGAGAAAAGTCAGAGTTTAAATACTCCGTTAAAAAATGTGTTCACAGATTTTGAACTATGTTCCCTAGCAGTCAGTCCCTCTGTAACAAAGCGCAACCAATACATCGTGGCTGTATAGACATGGTAGAGTGCTATCAACAATCTTAGCCTTGGAAATATCAGCAATCCTGACCTGCAAATTGCATTGAAAACTTGCTGCTATGCTGGTTTTGGCATAGACAAGGAATATGCTTGACTCCCCGACAGCAGACCGGCTGATGGAAGGCTGCTTTAGTGCTGCCCTGGATGCTATCATGAAGAACCATGCAGTGACGCTTTAACTGGCACCCCCTTTTGCCCATATAGTCCCTTTCTTTGCTTTCCACGGCCAGATATGTACAAGTAATTTTAAACGTGATTTTAAATTTTAAACCTCGTACCTGTTTCGCAGTTGACGCCGGAGTAACCCGGGGTGCAAGCGCATCGGAAGTCATTCACAATGTCCACGCAGGTCCCTCCGTGTTGACATACCACTTGCTGTAACTCGCACTCGTTGAGCTCAACGTCACACCTAAATGAAAGTAATATTAACTTTATTCTTGAGAAAACTGTCTCTGGAGGTGTTGTGGCTTTCTTTTTGATGCAAAGTTATGCCACAATGACATCATCATTTTTTTTAACGTTGAAAAAGACAAACATGTGCGCGTTAATTATCACGCACTGGTATTGCGGTTTCTTCCTCACCTCTCTCCCTTAAACCCAGGCATGCACTGACAGGTCACCCCATTGAAGTTGGCCATACAGGTGGCGTTATTCCTGCATGGATCCGACTGGCAGTGGTCGACCAGGATCTCACAATTGCGCCCTCTATAGCCCGGCCGGCAACAGCAGGTGTAATTCTGCGGTGTAGAAGAAAAAATTAAGAGAAGGATGCAAACATTGACAGTACGCTTTACTTTATCGGATTTGGACCAGCAAATTTACCCTAGCGAGCTCGGTGGTGATGTGGTGATACATCTGCACTAAGCCACGGGTTCGAGTCCCACCCAATAAAGTTTTGACATTTTTACTCAATAAGCTTCTCCTTCATTCCGAAGTTGGGAAAACTGTCCAATCTCCACGTGCAGTTTGAACACTGAACTGTCTTTAGTTTTACTTTGAGACTTTTCATAAACCTACCTGGGCCAGATCCACGCACGTTCCGTCGTTCTGACAGGGATCTGACGCGCAGTCGAAGAAGTTCACCTCACAAAATTCTCCGGTAAACCCAGGCGCACACTGGCACGTGTAGGAGTGAGGACCGTCGGTGCAGATCGCATTGTTACTGCAAGGATCTGCCAAAAACAGATGTACAGCGATATCAACATTTCAAAAAATAAATCTCGAAATTTGTGGGCTCCTCTTTAGTATATATATCGTTCATCAGGATTTAAATTGAGAGGGAAATCAAGAAATTTTCCTGATAAGAATCTCATGCTTACTTGATTCGCATTCATCCAAGTCAATCTGGCAGTGTTCTCCTTCATACCCCGCTGCACATTCGCACTGGTAGCCAGCCACCATGTCCTGACAGGTCCCGTTATTCAGACAGAGATCGTGGTCACAGTCATCGATGTTCACCTCGCAGTCGGGGCCGGTGTAGCCCGTCGGGCAGAGACACTGGTAGCCCTTGGGCAGGTCAATGCAGACAGCTCCCTGCCTGCACGGCTGCGACTCGCACTCATTGATCACTGTACAAGAGAAGGATTGACTTTTCAAGCCTACATCAACTTTCATCAAATCTTCATTTAATTCTTTTCAACATCTTAGAGGACAGGTTGGGAGTCAGGTTGGCGTAGCGGTACTTTCCTCGCCTTCCACCGCTGTGACCCGGGTTCGAATCCTGCCTGGGCTAATGTAGATTGGGTTTTCAGTCCCTACCTGATTCTGAAGGTTTTCCCTAGAATATCATTCTGAGGTTTTCCTCCCACCTCTAAAACTGTAACTTCTTCTCATTGTCTCCTCTGCACAGGTTTCTTCAGGCTTGCGATCTGCAGTGACTACATAGGGCGCTTTTGAAGAATCCTTCGTTTCAGTACAAGAAGTTTACAATTATAAAAATAAAGTTTCAAAGAGGTTTCAAAACCGTTTTATGAATGCATGTATACCTTGGCAATAGGCTATGTGGTGTGCACCTTCGTGGTGGGTGTAAAGTTCGTCCGGGCAGGTAAGGCAGAATTTCTGGGCCCTTAGAGGCTGGAAGGAACCCTTGGGACACGGCATACATGGTGCAAACCCTGTACCAGAGTAGCTGCCCAATGGACATTCACCTGTTGAAAGAAAGCAAACAAGTGATATTATAATCTATTTAAAATCTTATTCCTATAATGCATGGGTTCGAACCGTAAATCTTGCGATCTGTAGTTCATTCCGCTATCCACTAGGCCACTGTGGCAGCTCGACGTAAGCCATTCTATAAAATGCTTTAATGTAGATGCACGGCTGAGTGACAGCAATGGTGTGACGTCTTTTTATTTTTTATGAATAATTATCGAACTAGCTGCGTAACCATGATCCATTGATGATGTGTACTGCAGATAAAAACACCGCATACCAGTGCATTCGTCCACTGAGAGGGCGCCTTCTGTCCAGGTTGTCAGGCCCTCAGGGCACGGCAGGCAATACGTGGAGCCTCTATAAGGCTGGTAAGCTCCCCGTGGACACGCCATGCACGTTACGAGACCGCTGGCAGAGTAGGTACCCATTGGACAGGGGGCTGGGTGAACAAACACAGACAAAGTTGTAAAGACTGAGTGAGTAGCTGACAAAGTTATTGTTGAAAACCTTACTTGGTTTAAAGATGAGATTATTCTTTCTGGCATGCTGTCTTTTTGAAGAATATTAAGGCAATTTCCAAACATGTGTAAATTAAGGGACATCTTTTTTTGAAATTTCCATTAGTAGTTAGTTTGTAATTTGGCGAATCCGTGAACAGGCAAGCGCAAGCCTTGCAAAGATGCACACGCGCGCACGGTTGCTATTATTCGTCATTTCAGTGCGTGACATCGCGTAGCTGCAATCGGCTGAATGAGAACATGTCCCGGACGCTGATTTCAGGCGCAATTCAAAACAAGACTCTGCAACTTTTGAAATGAAATTGAGATCTTAGAATATCGTTTTCATGGAATATACAGCATTCACCAAGCTAAAACTTTTTCAGGTTAGTTGTTAAGCACCCATCTTTACATTTTGAGCTTCAAACGGAAAAATGCACAAATGACAAATGATCTACGTACCCTACCTTTAAGTATATGCACCTCCCTGACTATATTGAAAAGCCGTGAAAATTGATTTCTGCTTTCTGACTAAACAAGTATGTTGAATCTTGCACAGTTCATCTTGATGACTCACCTTTACAATCCTCCGGGTATTTGGAGCCTTTGCGGCGGGTAGTTGTTCCCTGGGGACACCGTAGACAGGACATCTGCCCCTCAGAGTCCTGATAGAAACCAGCGCTGCAGTCTTGGCAAACACCGCCCTCGATGTCATGGTATGTACCAGTTGGGCAGACAACTATTAATTTGGGAAGGACGATAACAAAAGTGAAGAAGTTGCAAGAGTTCCGACTTATATTATGCAGGCTATGAGATAGTACATTTGTAGCAACAACTTTGAACTCATTTTATGCGACTAAACTGCTAAGAGGCATTTTTCATCGGTCATTTTACCCAACACTGATTGGCTACTTCTTACCGCATGACTGATTTCGTAGGACCTCCCCGTCCTGACACGACAGTGAGACTGGCTCCAAGACGTTAACTGGCCCGACAGGCGACAGCATGTTGCCGTTCCCGGCGGAAATGTTGAGCAGTCCTGCTGAGACGACCATGTCCATGGTCTCCATGAAGTTGTTGAGTACCTGGACGGAATTCATGCTGGGACTGACAGCGGAGGAGGTGTTCTGAATCTGAGGAGAGTGGAGAGTGAAATGTGGCTGGAGAGGGATTAATGTGATCCTTATTTCAAAATTGTGGTGGGGAAAGGTCAACAGGCCATTCATTTCAATTCAGCCCATGAGGAAATTAGAGAGCATAAAGCTTTCTCTCTTGTGCATCACTGTTATAAAAAATTAGGAAAAACTGTTTGGTTATGTTATTGTACCTGACAGTTGGCATAAAATTACCTCAAATACTAGTTAAGAGCAAATGTTATCAACTTTGGGGAAGAATTGTCTCATAGGGATTGGTCGTTTCTAGTACCTGTGGCTGATGAGCTGAATTGACGACCACGGTGAACTCTATTTCCAAGGCCAGGTCATTGGTTTGCCTGCGTCGTCTCTTCCGCCGTCCATCCACTGCCCCACAGGTCACCTTCACATTCTCCACGCTGCAGCCAGCGTCCGCCTGGCAGAAGCCGGGCGCAAGTTGGCTCAATTCCTGGAACCTGGCCACGAAGTCCGCAGCAATCTGTGCTTTTGCGCGCTCGTCCAGCTGGCAATCCCCGACGTAGAACTGCACCCCCCGTGTCACCTCTGCATTGGGATCTCTCATTTCTAATGGAACATATCCAAAGATTATAGAAGGAGCAATGAAATTTAATAATAATAACAATAATGTAGTGTTTGTATCGTGCATTATACAATACCTCAAGGTGCTTCACAGGTATTATTACCCCTGTTCATCATGCCATGATATCTTCAGCAGCTCGAGATCAGTGCAATCTGATCCCTACCTTCACAGGTACCAATTAATGCTAATAAGCAGAGAAGGGCAATTGCAGTAAAGTGTCTTGCATAAGAACACATGTCTCGTCAGGAATTGAACCCTAAAACCACTGCTCGAACATCAGATGGAAAAATATTTCATAACTTTATGAAAACTGGAAAGGAAGTTGACTTCACTCAATTTCTTTCTTCAATGGTATAATTTACTATTTATGCACCCAGTCAGCTTTCCTTTGTGGTTTATATGACAAAACATATTTAACATACTAAGGAAGCATAACCAGATTTGGGCTTTAATTAAAGTGGGATATAGATATCGAAAAGATCTAAAATGGGCGACACAAGATAAACGTAGCAAAAAAGTTTACCAGAGCAATCGGGCCAGGGGACCCTAAAGTCAGCTGGGTTTCGGTCGTTGAAAAACGGCCCCCACTCGGCCACGTCACTGCCAAAAGGCGTTCTGCAGTAGTATTCACTCGCAGGATTCCGATTGAAGTCAAAGTTCTCGTTGCAGGCCACCCGGCAGACCTGGCCACCAAGCCAGGTCTCACAAGCCAGAGCTCCATTCTGCGGTGGGGGGTAGAAGGGGCAAGGGTATTCTACCGAGTAAACAAAAGAATCCAATCTTGTCAACAAGCCAGCAATGATTGAGATGACAAGTCATTACAAGTTTATTACAAGTCAATAATCAACTCTCAAGCTACAGGTTCCTATCGTATGGAATGACTGAAAGTGCCACAAGGACTATGTGTGCCGTTTGTGTACGGTTGTGATAATTAATCATGCCGATCTGACGAAATAATTTCTTTATCATTGTTCATTCTATTACAGGTTTTCCCGGCCAATTTCGCAAAAATAGCATTCGAATTCATCTTGATAGTGGCCAATTTAAAGCGAAGAAGTGAATTTGATTGGTGTTTTTAGGTAATTGAATGTTGATCTCAACGTGCATTCTTTTCGTGCGAAAATGGGTGACTGGTCGCCAATGTTGCCGCCAAATCTGCTAACTTGGCCGGGAAAACCTATACTTGTGAATCAACTTAATAATAAAATAATTATTTTGGAGGTTAATCATCCTTACTCGCACCTGAGAAGCTGATTTGCGAAGGACGCAGCTATAACATGGTTGAGCTGCAGGCATGTATAGGCGCTTTTGGCAGCCAGCCATACGACCCATGTATGACCATGGAGCACAGACAGAGATTGAAAGTGTTTGATTTTTTTTTAAAGGAGAAAAACCAGGGAGTCTGGAGAAAAAACCTCATGGCACAGGAAAGAACCAACACACAACTCTACTCACATGAGGTCCTAACCGGGACAAATCAGGGCCACAGTGGTGAGAGGCGAGCGCTTTACGCACTAACTACCCATGCCACCCTTGTGATTTTCTTGTGACTGAACATGCGTCATACTGCTGTTCCAAGCATCTAAAGTGGGATTTCACATCAATAAGATGCACTTACGTCTCACTGCAACTGTGAAGTTGCAGAAGGCGGCATTGCCTGCTTGGTCCTCGGCTCGGTACCAGACTTGCTTGGGCAGCCCCCAGTGGAACAGCGACCCTGGTGAACAGTTGAACGTCAGCTTGACAGGCATCTCTGAGTTGTCTTTGAAGGTGGGAACAGTCCAGTTGACACTACGCTGTCTTTCATTACTCTCAGCTTCGATGTTATCGGGGCAGTAAATGCTTCTAGGAGGCTCTTGGTCTGGCCACAAAATGAACAAAAGAATTTGTAAAAGCAATCTCCAGTGCATTAACAGTTCTGAGTCTGTTGCATATTAGGCCAAAGGTTAGGACGACCAAAATTTGAAGCCATTCTGGGATGGCACCACACTTGTGCACAGATGAAAAGTGGGAAACTCGAATGGGTTTTCAATTAACATGCATGCCTCAAATGTGACATGAACATGAGATATGGACTGATTAGGAAATTTTATCAGCAACTAGCCAACAATTCTATTCAGGAGGGAATATTGACTCTACACATTTTTATGTTTTATATTGTCCTGGCCACGTGGTAAACACACCCGGGGCCATCTATCACCAGATCGTAGTATGGACCATACTACATCCTTCAGAGGGGGTGTCAGTCTTGTGATCATACTGGAGGGGTTGAAAATTGGCGGGAAAACCCTGTGTGCTTGTGCACATTTACATAGGCTTGTGTACAAATGCACTATATACATTGGGATTATTTCGATCACCCCTGTGACCAAAATGGAATGTCAAATGGGGTTATGTCTGTGGTTTTAACGGCTGTTTGGGGCCTGAGAGATACTCCAGACATGCCAGAGGTTAATCAGGGGTGAATGGGCTGGTTGTGAGGGTCGGGTGGCTCAAATTACATTGTGTAGAAACCACATTCCATACAGTCATTGGATAGTAAACATTAAAGGTGCTCGATCCAGCAAGTGTTAAACCTTTTAATTTTCTATACTTTTACACATTTCAATAGTTTAATACTCACTAAAAAAGAAGCATGCTAATTCTAGGTTTACTTGTAAACAACAATGGAGTAACACAAAAATAAAGATGAACATCAAACTTTCAAACCTTCCACTGTGACAACAAAAGTGCAGTTGGTCTCCAGACCCTCGCCATCACGCGCCGTGTATGTGATCTCAGTGGCCACACCCAGATAGAACCGCTCCTGAGAAGCTGACGGAGAGCCAGTGACCAGTGGCTGGCCTGCGTTGTCACTCGCTGTAGGCTGGTCCCAGCTGGCATTTGTTGCAAAGTTCTTGTTTCGGTCGGTCACCAGAGATATGTTCGCAGGGCAAAAGGTGAATACTGGTGGCTCAACATCTGCAGTAAAATAGTGGAAAACATAGCCTTGGTGTGAACTTGTGAATATCATGTTGAGGCCATGTCCAAAACAACTAGGTATTCACAGCTACAGCTATATCTATGGATCATATTGATTCCACATATTTGTGAAGACCTTGCAATGATCTAAGCATTATTTCTAGGTAAGAGATTCAGATTGTAGCCTTATATATAAATACTTACAATACAATTTAATGACATCAATGTCATATCTCAGACAGCACTGTAGACACCATAACGGAATGTGGCATCTGGAAGAACTTCACTTCCTTTCAAGCAAATATTGTCATGGGTAAACTAGCTTAATTTTAATTTGCTCACTTAGCGACCTATGGGCTCTATGCAACAGTGTTGGAAGATCGCCTCCAAACAAGTATGTCATGGCATAAGCGAAACCAATTTTCTTCAGAGATGCACAATTTTGGTGGCCGGACGTGACCAAAGCCTGGTTAGGTTACTCATTAATTCTCCATTCCAACAACTTTGCATGCACTAGTCATGCAAGAGGTGAACAAAAGTCACCAAAATGCTCAATCTGTGCTTAAAAATGCACCATAGCAGCAATGATACTTCCTTCCTTCAATCTATCTCCCTCAGCTTTACCGTAGAGGGGGTACTTGTAATAATAATAATAATAATTTGGGAGGCTAATCATCCTTACTCACAGCTGGTATGCTGAATTGCAAAGGACGCGGCTTCAACGTGGTCGGGCCACTGGCACGTAAAGGCTCCTATATATGGCTGCCAACCACATCGACCGATATATGACAACGGAGCACAGTCTGAGATCGAAAGTTTTTGATTTTTCCGGAGGGAGGAAAACCGGAGGGTCCGGAAAAAAACTTCATGGCACAGGAGAGAACCAACACACAACTCTGCTCACATGTGATCCACGGCCAGGCCAGGATCCGCGCTGGCCAGGATTCGAACCGTTGTCACCTTGGTGAGAGGCGAGTGCTTTACGCACAAGTCACCCATGCCACCCTGGCAAATGCATTCCATAGGATACTGCGTTCCACACGATCCAGCCTAGTGTATGCTTTCTGAGGATCTACTCACCAACACAGGTGTTTTCCATCGATGAATCTGACCACGTCCCGTCAGCTTGACAGGCCCTCCGGTTCACCCCTTTCAACCAGAATCCATTCTTGCATTCATAGAAACACTCAGAGGTGTATTCTTGAATCTGCTTCTCACAGGAGGCTGGACGGATCCTCATGTGTTGTTTGGAGAGAAGGGCGGGGCACGTCTTGGCTGTCAGTAACAAAGCAAAATAAAGGTTTGACTGTATTACATCAGTATTTTAAAGTGCTTTGCTCCTCCTCAACAAGCACTGATAAGCACTATTCAGTGTTATTGAATACAAAGGTATTCAGCATGGTAACACTGATTATATCTGATTTGACTGCATGGTGAGTGACGTGACTCAGTAATTGTAATGGGCTTGACTCAACCAAATGATGATCCTCGCTATGTCTTACTAACAGGATTTGTAGAGTAGGTTCATTCACATACAGAACTTAAACCTCAATCTGGCCATCACTTGCAAAACTAGCAATACCTTTGCATTTGCCAGCCTGGTTGGTCCACTCCCCGACCTGCTGTGCCAAATTTATAACCATTAAAATGGTTTCGCATAGAATGTAACGATTCATTCAATACGAAATTCAATATCAATATAACTGGCAACTTTCTTATTTGAAAATTGTGCCCCTTCTCAAGATGGAAAACTGGCCCCTAAAAAAAAGAAGAATAGTGCTCTTCGCGCGAATGACATGGTCACTGAACTGGCCGTCAAAAGCAAGAGTGCCCCTCTCGCGATAAAACAAAAATGGTCTCTCTACATAACTAGGTAAAAGAAACACAAAGAGCAAGATGAACAACATATTCATAATTTGTTCCTCGTCATGTAGATATATAGCGAAATGAACAGGACCATATTCTTTTCCTGCACTTTCACACCGACGGAAGGTGCCCCTTTTTCTGAGCAAGTGCCTCCATCTTATTCGACGGAACGACATGGACCAATTTTGAATTACTTTGCTTACTTTCCACATATGCTTGCTTAATGGTGAATTCGAATGACCAAACCTACACAGCTGGAACTTCCAAGGGCGGAGCCAGAACACAATTTGTGGGGGGCCCAAAAAAATTTTGGTCCCCCAAAAAGTGGGTAAAAAAATTTTTGGATTCTAGAGTCTCTGTGGTGCGATCTGAGGCAATTTCTGACCACTTTAACCAATTTTTTTGGGAGGAAAAGATGGTGGTGTACTCAACTCATTGCCTGCTTTTATTGCGATGTCACATTAAAAAAAAAAAAATGGTTTCGTTTGGGGAGGGGGGGGGCCATGGCCCCCTTTGGCCCCCCCCCCCCCCTGGATCCGCCCTTGGCTGGAAGCTCCAGCGAATTTGGACGCTCGTTTGTGCACTTCTATTTTGAATGCCCTATTGTTGGAATTGCATGATTAAAATATGAAATCGCATGCTTTTAATGTGAATTTGATTGGTGTTTTTAGGTAATTGAATGTTGATCTCAACGTGCATTCAAATTCGTGCGAAAAATGGGTGACTGGTCGCCAATGTTGCCGCCAAATCTGCTAACTTGGCCGGGAAAATCTATACTTGTAAATCAACTTAATAATAAAATAATTATTTTGGAGGTTAATCATCCTTACTCGCAGCTGAAAAGCTGATATGCGAAGGACGCAGCTATAACATGGTTGAGCTGCAGGCATGTATAGGCGCTTTTGGCAGCCAGCCATACGACCCATGTATGACCATGGAGCACAGACAGAGATTGAAAGTGTTTGATTTTTTTTAGAAGGAGGAAAACCAGGGAGTCTGGAGAAAAACCCTCATGGCACAGGAAAGAACCAACACACAACTCTACTCACATATGGTCCTAACCGGGAACGAATCAGGGCCACAGTCGTGAGAGACGAGCGCTTTACGCACTAACCACCCATGCCACCCTTGTGATTTTCTTGTGACTGAACATGCGTCATACTGCTGTTCCAAGCATCTGAAGTGGGATTTCACATCAATAAGATGCACTTACGTCTCACTGCAACTGTGAAGTTACAGAAGGCGGCATTGCCTGCTTGGTCCTCGGCTCGGTACCAGACTTGCTTGGGCGACCCCCAGTGGAACAGCGACCCTGGTGAACAGTTGAACGTCAGCATGACAGGCATCTCTGAGTTGTCTTTGAAGGTGGGAACAGTCCAGTTGACACTACGCTGTCTTTCATTACTCTCAGCTTCGATGTTATCGGGGCAGTAGGTGCTTCTAGGAGGCTCTTGGTCTGGCCACAAAATGAACAATGGAATTTGTAAAAGCAATCTCCAGTGCATTAACAGTTGGTTCTGAGTCTGTTGCATATTAGGCCAAAAGTTCGGACGACCAAAAATTGAAGCCATTCTGGGGTGGCACCACACTTGTGCACAGATGAAAAGTGGGAGACTCGAATAGGTTTTCAATTAACATGCATGCCTCAAATGTGACATGAACATGAGATATGGACTGATTAGGAAATTTTATCAGCAACTAGCCAACAATTCTTTAAACCTTTTAATTTTCTATACTTTTACACATTTCAATAGTTCAATACTCACTAAAAAAGAAGCATGCTAATTCTAGGTCTACTAGCAAACAACAATTGAGTAACACAAAAATAAAGATGAACATCAAACTTTCAAACCTTCAACTGTGACAACGAAAGTGCAGTTGGTCTCTAGACCCTCGCCATCACGCGCCGTGTATGTGATCTCAGTAGCCACACCCAGATAGAACCGCTCCTGTGAAGCTGACGGAGAGCCAGTGACCAGTGGCTGGCCTGCGTTGTCACTCGCTGTAGGCTGGTCCCAGCTGGCATTTGTTGCAAAGTTCTTGTTCCGGTCGGTCACCAGAGATATGTTCGCAGGGCAAAAGGTGAATACTGGTGGCTCGACATCTGCAGTAAAATAGTGGAAAAACAATATAGTCTTAGTGTGTACTTGTGAATATCATGTTGAGGCCATGTCCAAAACAACTAGGTATTCACAGCTACAGCTATATCTATGGATCAGATTGATTCCACATATTTGTGAAGACCTAGCAACAATCTAGGCATTATATCTAGGTAAGAGATTCAGATCGTAGCCTAATATATAAATACTTACAATACAATTTAATGACATCAATGTCATATCTCAGACAGCATCTGTAGACACCATAACGGAATGTGGCATCAGGAAGGACTTCACTTCCTTTAAAGCCAATATTGTCATGGGTAAATTAACTTGATTTTCATGCTCACTTAGGGACTAATGGGCTCTATGCAACAGTGTTGGAAGATCGCCTCCAGCAAGTATGTCATGGCATAAGCGAAACCAATTTTCTTCAGAGATGCACAATTTTGGTGGCCGGACGTGACCAAAACCTGGCTAAGTTACTCATTGATTCTCCATTCTAACAACGTTTGATTAAAGTGCTTTAATCAAACCTTCTCCTTTTAGGAGGTACAATAGGCGAGAGAAGCACCGATAAGTACTATTCAGTATTGAAAACTAGGTATTAAGCATGGTCAAACTGCTTATAACTTACTTGACTGGTGAGCGACTTATGACTAATTGTGATGGACTTGACTCAGCAACATGATAATCCTCTCTATGTCTTACTAACAGGATTTGTAGAGTAGGTTCATTCACATAGAGAAATTAAACCTCAATCTGGCCATCACTTGCAAAACTAGCAATACCTTTGCATTTGCCAGCCTGGTTGGTCCACTCCCAGACCTGCTGTGCCAAATTTATAACCATAAAAATGGTTTTGCATAGAATGTAACGATTCATTCAATACGAAATTCAATATCAATATAACTGGCAACTTTCTTATTTGAAAATTGTGCCCCTTCTCAAGATGGAAAACTGGCCCCTTAAAAAAAGAAGAATAGTGCTCTTCGCGCGAATGATATGGTCACTGAACTGGCCGTCAAAAGCAAGAGTGCCCCTCTCGCGATAAAACAAAAATGGTCTCTCTACATAACTAGGTAAAAGAAACACAAAGAGCAAGATGAACAACATATTCATAATTTGTTCCTCTTCATGTAGATATATAGCGAAATGAACAGGACCATATTCTTTTCCTGCACTTTCACACCGACGGAAGGTGCCCCTTTTTCTGAGCAAGTGCCTCCTTTTGGGTGTTGCCCCCCCCCCCCCCCCCCCCCCCCGTTTGAAAAGTGTTCCACTGCCCCTGTACTAGAGTGTCAGAATGTACATTTTGTTCCCGATTGTTTTAGACTAGAATCGGCCTTGCGCACAAAAACAAGGCATCTACTTGACTCGCCCCTGCATGCTCTTTATTGTAAATATAAAAAATAAAAAATAAAAAGGGACTACTTCTGTTTAATTATTTAAATGGTGTCAAGATTTTGAATCAGGATTTTGATAGAGGCGATTTGACAAGGCTCAAATAATTACATAAACGCAACACCTGTCAAAAATTTGGTGGACAAAACTCATGAATGAGAAAATACTTATGATACCAGATACCGAAAGTTCAAACAATCCTTTAAAATTCTTAAGGCATTAGTAGTCCGGTGAAGAGGCTTTCTCATCTTTTTACCTTCAAGAATTAGGAAGCATTCGCTGCTGCTTATGGCGGCTTCCGTGGCGGTGGTTTGACCGGCCGGGCAGGACATGCAGGACTCCTGACCGAATCCCCCCTGATAGGTCCCCGTGGAACACGGCAGACACGAGGGCACCGAGCCCGCTGCGGCCGAGTAGTACATACCACGCGGGCAAGCAACTGTTGAGAAAATAGATTTTGGTACAGATTTAATGCTCTTGCTCCTCGGTACATTTCCTGGTATACTTCGATTGACTTGACTGTGACATTTTTGTTTACTTAACTAGAATCTGTGATTTCAAAAAAACATTTCACAGAAGTAAATTTGCATGATCTTAACTAGCCTGTGACTTCGGTGTCTGCCTTACTTATTACATGTACTTCAGTAATTGATGACTATGAGTTTTAATATCCATTGGTCCTGACATGTGCTTATGAAAGGAGCTACGTACAGAAGTGTACCATTTTGAAGCAAATATTGCGAAGTTTTGGCACTTCAATTAAGTTAACAATGAAATGAAAATACAATATTACTTACTGCACACAGTGTCTTCAAGAGCAGTGAACGACATTAACTCAGTACCAGGCGGGCAAGTTGTCTGGTTGCCGAGGTAACTGTAAGCTATTAAATCAGGAAAAATAATATATTGATATTATCTTATTTGAAAGAAGTTAGTGTTAGGCCAAAAAAAATAATAAGTCGGTCTCTGGTCAGCGTGCGCGTCGATTTTAATCATGCTCGTCAATCTTTTTTTTTTCCAAACTGTTCCGCGGAGCTCCAACAGCGCCCTCTATTGCCGCACCTCCTCAATTTTTTTGACCAAAAAGAACCAAGGAATGGGAAATTGCACCAAGGCAAATAATCGAGAGCACAAAGGCAAATTATGGAGGACACCAATGTACATGAGGACACCAAAAAAGCAAAATAGTACCCCACCTTGTCTGTACAATCGAAGCTTGAAGGAAAAAAAAAAAGAAAAAAAAAAAAAAAAAAGCCGCCTCCCCGCGTCAATTCCGGAAGTTTGGTCTGACCAGAGACCGAATATTTTTTTTTTGGCCTTAAATAGAAATAATTCATGCACATTTTAATGGCAAAACTTGTGTTTTGATATTGAATCGGTAATACTTACGACTGCAGTCTGGTACCTCCCGCGAAGGCAACCACACGTCATTCAAGCCGCACAGGTACACGTTTTCCGGGGGTCCGTCAAAGAAGTAATATGATTGGTTGCAGCGGGGCTCGCAGATCTTGCCGCACATCCAATCAGAGCAGCCGCTCTCCCCGTTCAGTGGGCCGTTTGGTTGGCCGCACTCGACGGCTGTTTGTGCAGGGGGAGAACAATTTAAAACCACATGTTCGGCCCACCATTCCAGTAGGCAAGTGATTGGTGAGCAACCGTCATACATTGTGAAGTAGAGGGCTTATATTTTCACGTAGAATATCTGTGATTATGTTTTTTTAAATGGCATGATGGTCACTATGTGTGACGTTTGTGTACAGTTGTCATAATCATGCCGATGCTGACTCTCCGTTACACCGATGTTGGGCAATGTGGGTCGGTGAGAGAGACCCTATTCAATTGAACGCTGACAAAAGCATTCATTTTATCATTGTTCATTCCATTACTTGGGAATTGACTTTATAATAAAAATAATATAATTTTGGAGGTTCATCGTCTTTACTCACAGCTGAGAAGCTGATTTGCGAAGGACGCGCCTACAACGTGTAAAGGTGCCTTTGGCAGCAAGCCACGGAGCACAGACAGAGATCGAAAGTGTATTGATTTTTTTTCAGACGGGGAAAACAGGATGGCCCGAAGAAAAATCCTTGTGGTAAAGGAGAGAACCACGCACAACAACATAATGGTCCGCGGCCCGGAATCAAACCAGGGCCACAGTTGTGCGAGACGAGCGCTTTACGCACTAACCACCCATGCTACCCTTGTGATTTTCTTGTGACTGAACATGCGTCATACTGCTGTTCCAAGCATCTGAAGTGCAATTTCACATCAATAAGATGCACTTACGTCTCACTGCAACTGTGAAGTTGCAGAAGGCGGCATTGCCTGCTTGGTCCTCGGCTCGGTACCAGACTTGCTTGGGCGGCCCCCAGAAGAACAGCGACCCTGGTGAACAGTTGAACGTCAGCTTGACAGGCATCTCTGAGTTGTCTTTGAAGGTGGGAACAGTCCAGTTGACACTACGCTGTCTTTCACTACTCTCGGCTTCAATGTTATCTGGGCAGTAGGTGCTTCTAGGAGGCTCTTGGTCTGGCCACAAAATGAACAAAAGAATTTGTAAAAGCAATCTCCAGTGCATAACAGTTGGTTCTGAGTCTGTTGCATATTAGGCCAAAAGTTCGGACGACCAAAAATTGAAACCATTCTGGGATGGCACCACTTGTGCACAGATGAAAAGTGGGAGACTCGAATGGGTTTTCAATTAACATGCATGCCTCAAATGTGACATGAACATGACATATGGACTGATTATAAACTTTTGTCAGCATCTAGCCAACAATTCTTTAAACCTTTTAATTTTCTATATTTTTACACATTCGAATAGTTCAATACACACTAAAAAAAAAAAGCACGCTGATTCTAGGTCTACTAGTAACCAACAATGGAGTAACACAAAAATAAAAATGAACATCAAACTTTCAAACCTTCAACTGTGACAACGAAAGTGCAGTTGGTCTCCAGACCCTCGCCATCACGCGCCGTGTATGTGATCTCAGTAGCCACACCCAGATAGAACCGCTCCTGAGAAGCTGACGGAGAGCCGGTGACCAGTGGCTGGCCTGCGTTGTCACTCACTGTAGGCTGGTCCCAGCTGGCATTTGTTGCAAAGTTCTTGTTCCGATCGGTCACCAGAGAAATGTCCGCAGGGCAAAAGGTGAATACTGGTGGCTTGACATCTGCAGTAAAATAGTGGAAAACATAGCCTTAGTGTGTACTTGTGAATATCATGTTGAGGCCATATGTCCAAAACAACTAGGTATTCACAGCTACAGCTATATCTATGGATCAGATTGATTCCACAAAGTTGTGAAGACCTAGCAACGATCTAGACATTATATCTATGTAAGACTGCTCTGCTGGTGCATGCCGATCAGCCGGAGCACGCTGAACTCATTGACCGCCGTACTCAACTTCCATTGAGGACATTGATAAACAAAGTAAAGTGTTTGATTGCCCATGTAATTGTTTCTAATAATTTTCCCCTGTTGCTGTGGTAGTCATTATGGATTGCTGGATTAACGTTTGATCTGAGTAACCATTTTGGGGACCAGATCAACATTGCTCCACATGCTTTAAGGACACCCAGTGTTGGGTTAAAGAAAAAAAGCTCATGTAACGTGGAGTCTAAAGAGGGGGCAGTGTAACAGACAGTCTATGCATTACTTTTGTTGTCATTGCTGTCTAGCACTAGTGCTCCGGCGGAGGGGGCTCCGGTGGCGTGCACCTGACCTGGTTTTGGGTCTGGCTTGCGTGCACTCTGGAAATAAGCTCTACAAATAGGTTGCTTATCTTAGTGGGATTCTTTTGTTCTCTTTCACAGGTAGGGCTTGGCTTGATTCCAGGGTTGGGTTAAGTTGCTACAATTGTATACATTTGTTCAGACTGTTGTGTGCATGTCTATGCTGGGAATTGATCAGTTGCAGTTCTGGTAGTAGTGCGGCAAGTTGCCCGCAGAGTTCGCTTGGCGAAATATATGAGATCTCCCTTCAGAGTTAGAAACCCCGTCTGTGTGTCCCCTTTTCTTGCGTTTGGCCGGATTTGGCGGACAAAAGCCCAGTAGGATCCCGCTACAATATGATTGTACAATTCACAATTACACCATTATGCTTAGTTCCATCACCCTTCCCTACTTAAGCACCACTTCTCATCACATCCAGCGCATCCTCCAAAAGCATGGAATTTGAGTCTTCCACACAGCCCCTCTGAAGATGCAGAACCTGCTGACTTCACACAAGGATCGGTGTGATCCAGAATGCAGACCAGGGGTGTACAAGATTCCATGTCAATGTGGCAAAGTGTATATCAGCGAGACTGAATGAACACAAAGCCCATGGCAGGAAGGGAGGCTTCGAGAAATCTTCCATCGTCAAACACTTCCACACCGAGGACCACCCGATCAACTGGAGCCAAGCAGTACTACTCACTAGCATCGACCGCTGGTACCCCCGACACATCAGAGAAGCCATCGAGATCATCAAGCATGACACTGTTCCCCAAGACATCGGTCACTCCACATCAGTGACATCTGGCGCCCCATCCTCAAGTCCAAGTCCGATGGGTCTCCTGTACCCTAGGATATGTTAGGGTCAGCTCTCGCATATGTGTCACCTATACCCTGAGCTCCTTCCCCTTTGCCCTCTCAATGTGCACTGACACGCTCCAGTGATCATCCAGCATCCTTCAGTCAACCTGCATCCTGTCTCAGCTTCACCGGTTTCGAGCTTCACCAGTTTGCATCCTTCTCACGCCTCACGGCACCCACCCTTATAACATCGCATCATTGTTGGAATCCCTCATTCTCCTGATGACGGGCAGAGCATACTGTTCGAAACCTTGAGTCCCTCCGGTTCTTTTCAGAACCACACATACTCAGAAAAGAGATTTATTCACATGGTGCTACCGCAAACTTACCTTGACTTAGTATCTTTCCACCATGCAAACCTTCAAATCTCATCAAACAGTGAAATAATTGATAATTCTAACCCTAAAAGGACCGGGGGGAATTCTGCTCCCCCCCCCCCCCCCCCCCGGATCTCGGCCATTGAGTGACGAAAAATTATGAAACTTGGTACAAGCATAGAACAACTTATCATAAACATAGCCACGAGAATTCATGGCTATAAGTCAAAGGGTTTTGGAATTATGGCTAACTAATTATTCCTATGCACGAATGTTAATTCTGCTCTGTGTGCACTACATATATGGGGAAATTCAGTTTTCATGGCGCATAGCGCTGGAATAATTTTTGCTGCGCGGCTACCCGTGGTCAAATTTTTACGTTTTTGGTAAAAAAACATGCGCAAGGCTCCAGGCTAAAAAGTTATAACAGCTCGGGTCGCCAAAAAAAAATGTTTCAAGGCTATCGCAGAAAAAGTTGAGGGGGTGGATTCCGCTCCCGGCCCCTTTACGGTTAAACCAGAGTTCCGAATACCCCTCCCCCGGAAACAAAATTCATAGTAACATTCAACATGTACTACTGCAGTAGGCTTCATTGTTCACCAACTGCCTGTCTGTATTTTATTGCCATAATCACCTGCAATAACAGCGTAATTAATATTATGCCAACCCATATGCTAATGGATGTGTACACATATAATGCATTTATAATGTAACTTAATGGCAAAACACAAAACTAAGAAAAACAGAGACTAAGCTACTCATTTGGAGATACTATCACAAGTTTTTGTACTTAGGTCGATCCTACAAAGCATTTGACACTCTTAATTTTTTGCCACCTCAGGTGGTACCAATATCTGGTCTGGCCCATGGACTATACTACACTTATCTCAAACAACAGGCATGACAGGGTACATAAAAAACGTCAATTGACTCTCCAAGGTAATTCTCTCGCTTCAAACTTTAAGGGATAAAAGATACAAAACTAAATTTTGGAAGTTTTTGGGCACAACTTCCACTCACGTGCGCACCGGACTTTTGTTGCTGGAGAGCCTTGGTGACCGGCCAGGCACTGACAGTTACTGAGGGATGTGCTGCCCTCTGCCATCGTGGTAGAGAGAGCAGGGCAGTGGATGCAACCCTGGTTGCCATACTCTGGTTTATAGGTCCCGCGAGGGCAGGCTGTTGATGGGGAAAAGGAGGAGAGAAAAAGTGGCAGGGTATGTAGTTGTCAAAATCAATCACAAATCAGAATCACAAATCAGATCGCCAGTCAATCACAAGTCAAAATAAAAGTCAGTCACAAGTTATTCACATGTGCCAATTAAAATCGCAAGTCAAATCAATCACGTAGTCCACTAGTCAATTCATTAAGTCAATCTTGTGTCAATCACAAGTTACTCACAAGCCAACTAACAAATCAGGTCATAGGTTAAAGGGATGTCAAAGAAATGCCTTGGTACCTTGTCTCTTGATATGAGGGTGGATGACTTAATAGCTAGGATTTGACTTAGATAATTCTACGTTCTTTTATCTAAAGGGATGGTAGTCCTAATACTAGTTCTGTCAGGATGTTAATGTTATAGATCAATGCATTTAGAATTTTCCTAAAACTCGTCTGAAGAATCTCAAAAGAATCTCAACTCCTGATGACGAACAGAGCATACTCTTTGAAACAGAACCACACATGTGTACACAATTCACACAGAGATATCATTCACATCATGCACATGGTGTTACCGCAAACCTCCCATTCATCAAGAATCTCAATATTAAGACAAACGAATCACTATTTACATCCTCTCTTCTTTTCTCAAAATCCTCACCTCTGCACTGATTCTGTTTCCCATCGCCCGTGTAGCCAGGATGGCAGGCACATCCATAGCTTCCTGTCATGGTTGCACATGAGCAGGTGGCCCGCATGTCGCAGCAGTTGCTTCCTGATTGGCAGAGGGAGTTGCAGAGGTCAGAGTTCACGTTGCGATCCCAGGAGGCCATGTCTGCCTGATCTGAAGGGATCAGGAAAAGAATGCGGGATGTCATGGATGAAAACGAGGAAACTATTTTGGATTTTCCAAGCTTCGGCTCTATCTCCACATATTCAGGCTTTAATTCCTTGATTTGAGGCCCCTGGTGTGGAAGCAGTACGTGGCTTAACTAGTGTTAAGCTTCCAGGGGGACATTTGGGGGTATACCCATTTTTTAAGGGGGTTACTGAAGGTAACGTATAAATTGTTGAGTGCCTTTGGGGGGCACCTGGGGAAAACGGACCTACACTGGGGACACGGACCCTGCTGGTAGTTACGCCACTGCGTGGGAGACTCAGTATCAGACTATAGTTAACATAATGGACAAAAAAAACCTCCAATTACAATAATATGAGGCTGAGATTTGGAAAACGACCTTTGAGTGTTGAATGTTTTAAATGGCCTTTATTGATTTTTATTATTATTATTGGGGGGGGGGGATTTCAGACCTCCAATGACTTTCTCAGCAAAGCTCTCTACATCAGTCGGCTGATCCAGCAGGAAGACATAGTCATCGCTTGGTGAAGAGGCGATGCCATTCAGCTCATCTACATTGGTGCCCTCGCCCAGGCCGATGGCAAAGACTGCAGCTGTGTTCCGCAGGGCAGCGGCCACTTGTAGCGGGCTGCCACCATCATTGGATTGTCCATTAGTGAGAACAAAGACAATTCTACAAAGGATATGATTGAAATTGTAATTAAAAATCACACAACCAAGCTTGTATACTAGGGGTGGCGAGGGTTAAGTGACAGTTAAGTACGCATGGACCTCATTCTGGACAAGAATGTAGTATCCAGACGCCACTTCAGTGGTTGTGTACAAAGTCTATGGAGAATCAAGAAAATTTTCCTAACAAAATTGGAAATGTTTCTCAGTCCCAGATCCATGTCTTTTCAATATATTTGCAATGGCGGACCTTTACTGAGATGATATATGAAGAAACAAAGTGGCGTCAGGTTGCAACATTCTTTCCCTGATTCTCATTCCCAAATTATAGTAATGCCAATACGTAATTTTCTAAATCTCACTTTTGTGTGGATGGCCGCGCTCCAGCCAGAATATCCTGGGCCCTGCGCAGTCCACCCACGGTACACGTTCCCCCGTCTCGGTAGTAGGTCCGCGGCAGGTCGGTGCCAAGTAGCGTGCACTTGTTCTTGCCCACCGGCGAGTTGATGTAGTCGAAGTCGGTGTAGATCTTGTCACAGCTGGAGTATGTCACCACAGCCACTCGCGAGTTCTCCGGAGACACGCTGAACAGCTTGGATAAATGACGAACGAACTGCACCTGGCAGCCGAAGGGGCCGAGACCGACGCTGCCTGAGGAATCCAAGACGAAGACAATCTCGGCCGGTCTGTTCTGGTACCTCTCAAATGCACGGACGAAATGTTGGCTTTTTTCGGTGATCTGTTCCCGGTCATGCTCGGAGGTCGCGGTCTGCGGACATTCTGGGTATTCCTGGGCCTGGACTACCGTGCAGAGCACCCAACAAAGAGCTGGGAGAAATCCGCCAAGCATTAGCAAGGCATGCATATCGACAGTCGATCGCTGTGCGTTATGCAGAATGAAGTGGAGAGTTTCCAGACAGACACTTGACTTTTGCTTTGTGGTTAGTTTGTGCAAGGCTACATCACGCGAGGGGGCTGCCGCGGTTTAAACCCACCGGCCCTGGCAAACCGATTCACCTTCGGCCTGCTTGGCGTATTTTTAGGATCTTCCTGATGATTTTTCGGAAACCGTGGGCGGGCGGATGGTGAGGGATGTTTGGGGGAAAGTCCCCTGGCAGGAATGTGATTTCAATAATTAAGTACCCGGGAAATGTTAAATAGGTCAAACTCCGAGGGCAGTTTGGTGTGATTGACCGACTTCACACAGCTACTCAAGGCACATCCAGGACGTGATTTGGACTGTTCACGGCTGTGATTGGTGGAAAGTTTTGGGATGAGCGAGTAAGTCTCAACAACGCCCTCTATCGGCTATAATTTTGAACGCATCTCGGGGACACGTGCCTTGTGTGATTGCACTTTCTCTGTTAATGAGATGACAACCGACGACTCTTTCGTGACCAGCGTTTATACGCTTATACAATTTCCAATTTTTGTACTCGTATCACTTTACAGAATAATTTCACAGCATAATCTTTTTCCCTCCAAATTATGTTTAAGGGCCTATTTTTTTTCACTCATCCATTATAATTTGTACAGGTGCCTTTTTCACACTATTAATTTGACATGTTTTAATTGATTTTATCTGTACATGTATCTAACAATCCTTAAAAATGATATTAAAGAGAGAATTGTAGGGTCTACTTTTACCTTTTGGTAATTTCTGAACGATTTTATTAGAAACAACACTTTTAAAAAGAAGCCTTTTTAGTGTACTTTATATTGATGAATATACATGCTGCCTCCACGGTGCCTTTTAGTACAGAGAGATCTTTTACAAAAGCCTTAAATGCTTAAATATTTATATTCACTTTATGCCCTTTATCATCTGTGTACTATAATACATAGTTTTAATATTCAGTCGCATTTACCGTGCGAAATAAAAAAACGGGATAAAATTTGCACTAGTCGGCTGGCATCTTCCAAATTCAATGCTCTAAAAAAACGCAAGGATCCCTTAAAGATATTATCCGAAAATAACTGAAAGCATGCGGCACTAATTGGCACAGAACTGCCATCTTGAAACACAAGGATGCAACAACTTAATTTTTCAACAACCAACAACATTCAGTTTCCTCAGAAAAAAATTAGTTTGACTGCTACATTTTTTTAGACATGCTGTGTACATCTCAACTCCATTTTTATGCCATCACATGCCCCAAACATTATGCCTACTTTAGTCTTCAAACTCACAAGGAATGATTCATATAGGAATGATCTGAGCAGAAATTCCGGATCATAGTAGAGGCCAAACACAAGAATGAGACACCCAGGTCTCGCCAATATTATTGTGGCAACTAATAAGTTAAAAACAAGCTCGATTGGAAATATCTCGGAAGCTGCGAGCCAACAAATTCATGTTCATGCATGAGTCACGTGATTGTGCCATGTCATTTCTGGAAGTAGTGTTTTTGAGTAAACAAAAATCAGCTTTTTGACCCCAGTGACCCTATGATGACCATTGACCCCAATTTGGTCATGTGATATGTTGGGGCTGGGCTGCTGATACTTTTGACAAAGTTTGGTTGAAATCGGTCAAAATATGTAGGAGCAATATACAATATAATGTCCAAGTGCATGTTTGTTACTAACTAACGGACTAACGGAGAGACAGGATTTGAGGAGCTGCTATCCCACCAGTGGCGTCGCCAAGGGGGGGGGGGGGGGGGGGGGCACGTGCCCCCCCCCCCTGGAAAACCTAGTGCCCCCCCGAGTGCCCCCCCATCAAATGCTGGTGCCCCCCTATCCTCTGCAAAATTCTGCGCGTTGTTAAAATCATTACCTCAAAAATAGCAATTTCTTGAGATATCTTCAGATCGAATTTAGCATCAAATGTGGCACCATTTTGCATCTAGCCCATCCTCCGTATGCGGAAATTTTCCAAAGGGGAGGGGGGCACCCCCCTCCCTTAGACCCCTCCCCCAGGACGGCGATCCTCGCAAATTGCCTGGTAATGTACATAAATTAATAACACACATAGTAACACACATAGTCAGATTTGTACAAAGAAATAACTCAGATAAGCTTGCATTTCTTGTTTAGCATCTGCGGTTCTTAAAAAGGAAATATTCATCTGCTTAATATAGACTGTCTGCATAGTGGCCATCTTAGACAGCATCTTTTGTTATTTTGATTGAGTAATAATGAAAGCACAAGAGGTTCACGCATACATATCCAAGTCAAACAAAGGCATTGCCCTCTAAAATGGCTGCTAAGCATTAGGTCTATTTTTTTAAGCTCCTTCTGGTCTTGCTGGACAGTCGCTGGGCAGGATGCAGTTCTCATTATGATGTACCGTTCCGGCTGGGCACTGACAGCCAGCTACACAGGTGCGTGTCCGGCACTCAGCCCCAGTAGGGATGGGGTCTTCGCAAGACGGAAGGCAGGCCGGGCCGCAGTGATCGTACATCATGCCATCTGGACACCGAATGCCTGAAGACAAAAATGAAGGGTTTTAATGAGTTTTTCATTGATTACATAATTTTTCTTCTCCAAAAGTCAGTATTTGTGGACCAATTATTATAATTTTTTCTCAAATCAGTTGTTTTTTGGTATTAAATGGACTAATCCGACACAAAATCACTAGTTTTCACCCATTTTATTGTACCATCTATTGAAGCCTAGTTCTCACAGTGCAATTTTTTTGTCACCATGTCAGTGTCATGTGTTAAGGGCACAATATACAATGTATGTGACTCTCTGGGTCTCACAAAAATCTTTTGAATGGGCTCATTAAAAAAAAAGCACAATCAAGACTCACTGCAAGCGTTGTTGCCCGTCCACTTGATCTTGATGTTGTTGCGCTGGCACTCGTACATGTAGGCCGCTATGGCTTCACAGTGGCAGGGCTCATTGGAGCTACATGTACAGGCATCCTGCATGCACCACTCAAAGTAACTGGTTGGACTGACTACAGAGTGGCATATCTGTGTGGAGACAAAAAATGGGTATGCTGTCGCGTTGAATCATACACAATGTTATTCTTGATCGTTATCAATTGGGGTGGCCTTTTTGGTGTCAAGGTGAAGAGTGCTTATGAGGACACAGGCACTGTAACTAGGAAATACACAAAGACATCATACATGAAGAGGAATGCCCAACCCACTTTATGACGCAGGTGCTGACAAGCTAATCAACTTGAGATAGATAGCCTCGACTTCAAAACTGCTGGACAATGCAGGGGCAATTAAGTCTGTTGCGATAAATTCTAATAAAAGCAAAATTCTCATACCTGGAAAGCTCTTAGCCTGAGAACACTGCACTTCTTCCTGATGTCTTTCAGAAAGGTGAAGCCCAGACTAGAGCAGGCTGAGATCTTATCACCGGTGATGCCTCCAAAGGCCAAGCGACTGGTGCCGCGAGCCTTGGGCTTGGCGCAGTAGCGGTACCCGTCCACCTTCCAGCTGTGGGAAAACTCCTTGGCCGAGCGGGCCGGCAGGAACTGCCGCGTGGTCCAGTCGTCCTTGCGGTTGCCGTTCATGTTGCCGCACAGGCCGCAGAGCTGGCCGCTGTACGTTCCCGGGGCTTGGACCTGGATGGCGCCAAACCTGGACCACTGGATCACCACACCGCGGTCTGTCTGGATCATGACACCGCGGCCGTCGTCGGTGGACGAGTTGGCGCGTGTGACCATGACATTCATGGGCTCGGCATGGAGGTATGGCAGCTCAACGGGGACACCGGTAACCTGAATGAGAGTTGCCAAAACAGAACACCCTTCAATTTACATCCACAGCTCATCTCAAGAGCATACTGATACCTGTATGGTACCTTAAATTAGGTTTGTCAAGACAGGAGTCTTTGTTATCAAAACACTGCTGCTTGACTAAAATTGTTGTAGTTGAGATATCTTTTTAAGTCCCAAAGTAAACTTAGATACGTGGTGTGTATAAATTCAGTTTTCTGAATGAGATAATGGGTGTTTTGGACACACACAAACTATATACAGAAAAGGAACTCAGAAATGGACTCAGGCATTGTGCAAATACTAAGACAATTTCAGCAAACCTTTTTCTCAGACTCCTACCCAGAACCTACAGCCCGATTACTATGAGACCACACTGCTTTATACCTCCATATACCAAAGGACTTGACCTACGTCACAATCACTGGCCGAGAGCAGCATACCTTGACTGAGCCATCATAATCAATCTCCACCTCCACGCAGTCCAGCCGCAGCCACAGTGCCCACTTCTTGATCTTCTTCTTGGTGGCTTCGTACTGGACCTCTACGGTGAACTGGCTGCCCACACAGTCCTGGCTCAACACGTAGCGGCAGTTGCCTCGGTGTCCGTACCGTTTGAAGTCATAGGTCGCGTGCCAGCCGTCGCGGGTGACCGTGCAGATCTTTGAAGCTGATGACGATGCATCGACAATAAAACATATCAGTGTTGGTGGAGGAGATGTAAATGTTAAATACAATGAATTAACTTTTGTCATTAAGTGACCTATTTTTTTAGATACTCATTGATGTCCGAGAACTTGCTGAGAAAGAAATATCACAAACTTTGCTCAGAATTGGACTTGAATCCTAGACCTCCGGCTTACTATAGAAATATTTACCGTCTTTAGGTTTTCATTTGTCACTGATCATGTCCTGTTAATACTCATTGGCGATTGACTACTGATTGACTCATGATTGCTTCAATTCATTCTAACTTTGATCATGTCATGATGATTACGGCATCAAACTTTTCTTACTTTGACCATTACTAATAAACACCTCGGGCAAAATTAGGAGAGAAATGCTAGCAACTTATTTATTAAACTAGTCACACTTCTCAATACAACAAAACCAAGCTTTTAACTGATGACATTAACTTAATTGAGTTAACAAGTTAATGTCACCAGTTAAAAGCTGTTAAGAGTTAAAAAGTTAAACTCGGTTACAGAAGTTTGAGAGAAATTTGTAACAGTCAACTGACCTGGTAAGCACTGCGGACAGCAGGCACCTGGAGCTTGGTATTCATACTCCTTCTGCACCATGCCGAGAAAAAAATGAAAATCACTCATTTTACTTAATTTAAATAGATTAATGCAAATATGATTTTTGAAGTACATGTAGCACCATTTACTATATAACATCACTTTTCTAACTCGATGTGTAAAAGAGTCTCCTGTGTTTCATCTTCTGCTTCTGTTTCTTGATTAAAATAACAAATTCAACATCTTTCGAAAAAAATATATATTTCAAAATAGCATGTGAACAGGTGTCAGAGTACTAATTTAGGTACTTCTTTGCATACTTCTTTGCATTACTTTCAATCGGAGAGAGTTAACAAATATTTGTAAAAAGGCTTCATTCATAAATTTGAGGTTATTAACATTTTGAGTGGGTGAATTATCTGTCTGGAAACCCAATTTTGCTCATGTGGATGATCAAAGCTGAGATTGTGTTTGGAAAGTTTCATTGGCCCAATGAGCAGGATAATAATGATGTTGTGCCCTGAGCAAGAAAAATGGTGGATAGGATACACAATATTATATTATTGTATTATAAGCAACTAGTTTTAACCAAGCAATTGTTCTGAGAAAGAAACAAGAGGTCTAAACCCCCAAGCAAAGGTCCTACCTTGCGACATTTGATTTCAGGACATTCTTTGACCTGACACACGGCAGCACCTTGCTCACAGTGACAGGTGGAACACTTGACATCCCAAACGTCATTTGCCTGGTAAAACAATTAAGCAACGACGCCGATCAAACAATGAATAAACTATTCCAGTGCTGGACGGTGGAATCTACACAGGAATGGCCTTTTTAGGGTTTTAATATTTAAATTGAAATGATTTCCAGCAATCAATAAAAAATTAGTTGTTCATATAATTCACATTGATAGCAGTTCTAATGTACTTACAAGGTGGAATCTTCCTTCATGTATACAATAGGAAATATCTGAAATAAAGGGGAAAATATGTTGTCTTGTGATTTTTTCGTCACAATTTATTTAATTGTATGTCATCCTGTTTTACTTAGATTAATGCAATTTTTTGAAAATAACATTGAAAGTAACATTTTGATACACATTGTAAACATGCTCTTGCTCACATATGAAATAACTTGGGGGGGGGGCTTATTATCATCCTAACTCACAGCTGAGAAGCTGAATTGCGTAGGACGCGGCTACAACGTGGCCAGCCGAAGGCATATTAATAAGGTGCCTTATAGCTGCCACCATGCGACCAATGTAAACGTTGATTTTTGCAGAGGGAGGAAATCTGGAGAGCGCCGGAGAAAAACCATTGTGGCACAGGAGAGAATCCGACAAAAAATCTACTATTATATGGTCTGAGCCGGGAATCAAACCAGGCCACATTGGTGAGAGGGGACCGCTTTACGTACTAGCCACCCGTGGACTGATGACAACAAAGAAACGACCAAGCAATTCTACAAAATATCTTAAATAATCCCATGCTGGATCAATGAATCTTGCTCTGTCTACGTAATTAGCACTAAGGCTAGATCCAGAGAGGTTACTGCAGGGGGTGGGGGGTGCTGAGGGCGAGTGGAGGGGTGCGGAAGGGCTCTCTCAAGTGAAAATTTGCTTTATTTGAGAAAATTTCAGTCACTGCCGGGGCCACCCCCTCGATTTGTCACTGGACAAAGATCAAGTTAAAACTGTTGGTCAACTAACCATTGCAGGAATGGCCATCAGGCTGCAACGCAAATCCACTATTACAACCGCAGTAGAAGGAGCCCTGTGTATTGTGGCACGTGTGTGCACAACCGCCGTTTTCCAAGTCACATTCGTTAACGTCTGGCAGATGAACAAAAAAACAGAAAAACACAACATAAGATTCCTGACAAAATTGAATACAGAGAAGGAAATTACCATTCTTGAAAAATCGTTATGACTGTTTGTTAGAATTGACTTTTATTTGAATTTCTTCAAACTGAAATTGAAGTGTAACAATGTTGTTGAGTATCACAGAGCTTCATAAGGGATGTACGACCATTAACGAATAAAATAGAAGCTTCTTACCGTACTCGCAAACACGACCTGTGAAACCGGGAGCGCAGTTGCATTTTGCAACCACGCCATCATTCACACAGGCACCACTGTTCAAGCATGTGACAGACTGGCACAGGTCACGCAACTCACATCGTTCTCCTGAAAAAATAAAACAAACAATGGACAAAAAGTTACGACAGTGACAGCAAAACATAACAAGGAATTATGTCACGTCAACCATTATTGTTGCGTTACGATTCAACACAATATATAAAAAAATATGTTCGTAAATCATGTTCAAACTTAGCCCTCACCTGAGTAACCGGGAGCACATCTGCAGAACAACAAGGAGCCGTTGCTATGGCAACTCCCATAATTAAGACATGTTTCAGTGGTGCAGGACGTCCTCAGTAGTTCACAATTCGTGCCATGGTAACCCAAGGCACAGTGACACTTGAAAGCGCCAACCAGATCAGTACATGTGGCACCGTTTCGACACGTTGACGGCTGACACTCATTTATACCTGAAAATAGAGTGCCCCAAAAAAGGTTTAAAGGTAAAGCACGTCATTTGCAGCTATCCAAAAAGTAACTTCCAAGTTATTGCTGAAACGCGAGCAGACGTAATTTCTACCGCAACGTTTTGGCCTTGATCGTTAAACTGATCTGCATCAATCAAATGAATTACTTCATCATACAACTTTTAAAACCTACTGCATATGAGGTACTGCATATCAGGAATGATAAAAATGTCCCAGGTAATTATGAATTTGAAAAGTCTACTTACTTGGACAAAGTTGTGAGCTCTGAACAAGGCTGACCTCTCCGTGGAGATTGGAGGTGACCTGTGACCAGGCCAGCACATTCCCTGATGCTGCACAAGAAGAGTAGACCAACGTAATCTCCTCAGATGTCATGGCGTAGTCCCACATATTTAACTGTGTCAAAGAAAGAGTTTTCACGGAGAATGCGTTGTGTCAACTTTCGAAGTATAAGGTCGCATGATTTACAATGCTACCGTGACAGCTGGCAGTGACACAGAAGTGTTGCTTCAAAGTGGAGTGCTTTCATAGTAAAGAAAGTAAGTAAAGTCATGAGCCAATATGGCCAATCAGGTCAGCGTTTATCTCCAGTTTCAATAGCATATGAAATGATTTAGAGTATTTCCATCCCCCCTGGACGGGATGCGTGTCCATCGCAGGTTACTCCCCAGCTAATGGCGGTACCCATTTATACTCCTGGGTGGAGAGAGGCAAGTGGGGATATAGTGGCTTGCCCGAGGACACAATATATTGCCAGCGGTTGGAAATGAACCAATGACTCTCTGATCATGAGTCACGAACCACTAGGCCACACTCCCCATTGGTGCAAATAGTCAAGTAATAAGGACATACCTGGCTCAGGTCACCCACGAAGGCCTGTGTCTGCGCGAAGGAGCCAGCGTAGCTGTCTTGCTCCTGCCCAAGAACCAGCACCCCAGATCCTCGTATGACTGAGCCGGTCTGGAAGCCCTGACCTGACCGCCTGACTGTACCGTCCACGTACATGGCCCATCCGCCGTCCAGGCTTGCCCACGTAATGGCAACGTGACGCCAGTTGGGATCACTATAAGGCAAGTTAACAAAAACTAATCTTTGTACGATAGAGTCTTAAACTGGAAGGTGTTTGCTGGTAAGGCATTGCAGTGACTGTCTCTAAAAGAGAGATGTGGTACTCGCCAACAGACTTAGAACCGAGGGAGCCAAGGAGATGACGCATCCAGGATTTGTTGTTAGAAAAAAACATCACCCACCTGTTCAATTTCTCATCTGTGTACATGAACTCCCCGTTCAGGATGATGGCCAAGCTGTTGTAGTCGCTGACCGTGAAGGCGTTGTCTTGCACCGTGCCGTCTGGCTCCCGCGTGGCATACGACAGCGGTGTGCCAGCGTTGGCCTTGTCCGCGGTTCGCATCCAGAAGGCAACCGTCAGCGCGTGGAGGGAGGGCAGGGTGCCACGCAGCATGGCGTAGTCCGAGGTCCGGGCTTCGGGGAAACTGAGGTCAAAGTCACTCGAGAGAGCTGGAGAAAAGTCAGAGTTTAAATACTCCGTTAAAAAATGTGTTCACAGATTTTGAACTATGTTCCCTAGCAGTCAGTCCCTCTGTAACAAAGCGCAGCCAATACATCGTGGCTGTATAGACATGGTAGAGTGCTATCAACAATCTTAGCCTTGGAAATATCAGCAATCCTGACCTGCAAATTGCATTGAAAACTTGCTGCTATGCTGGTTTTGGCATAGACAAGGAATATGCTTGACTCCCCGACAGCAGACCGGCTAATGGAAGGCTGCTTTAGTGCTGCCCTGGATGCTATCATGAAGAACCATGCAGTGACGCTTTAACTGGCACCCCCTTTTGCCCATATAGTCCCTTTCTTTGCTTTCCACGGCCAGATATGTACAAGTAATTTTAAACGTGATTTTAAATTTTAAACCTCGTACCTGTTTCGCAGTTGACGCCGGAGTAGCCCGGGGTGCAAGCGCATCGGAAGTCGTTCACAATGTCCACGCAGGTCCCTCCGTGTTGACATACCACTTGCTGTAACTCGCACTCGTTGAGCTCAACGTCACACCTTAATGAAAGTAACATTAACTTCATTCTTGTGAAAACTATCTCTGGAGGTGTTGTGGCTTTCTTTTTGATGCAAAGTTATGCCACAATGACATCATCATTTTTTTTAACGTTGAAAAAGACAAACATGTGCGTGTTAATTATCACGCACTGGTATTGCGGTTTCTTCCTCACCTCTCTCCCTTGAACCCAGGCAAGCACTGACAGGTCACCCCATTGAAGCTGGCCATACAGGTGGCGTTATTCCTGCATGGATCCGACTGGCAGTGATCGACCAGGATCTCACAATTGCGCCCTCTATAGCCCGGCCGGCAACAGCAGGTGTAATTCTGCGGTGCAGAAGAAAAAATTAAGAGAACGATGCAAACATTGACAGTACGCTTTACTTTATCGGATTTGGACCAGCAAATTTACCCTAGCGAGCTCGGTGGTGATGTGGTGATACATCTGCACTAAGCTACGGGTTCGAGTCCCACCCAATCAAGCTTTGACATTTTTACTCAACAAGCTTCTCCTTCATTCCAAAGTTGGGAAAACTGTCCAATCTCCACGTGCAGTTTGAACACTGAACTGTCTTTAGTTTTACTTTGAGACTTTTCATAAACCTACCTGGGCCAGATCCACGCACGTTCCGTCGTTCTGACAGGGATCCGATGCGCAGTCGAAGAAGTTCACCTCACAAAATTCTCCGGTAAACCCAGGCGCACACTGGCACGTGTAGGAGTGAGGACCGTCGGTGCAGATCGCATTGTTACTGCAAGGATCTGCCAAAAACAGATGTACAGCGATATCAACATTTCAAAAAATAAATCTCGAAATTTGTGAGCTCCTCTTTAGTATATATATCGTTCATCAGGATTTAAATTGAGAGGGAAATCAAGAAATTTTCCTGATAAGAATCTCATGCTTACTTGATTCGCATTCATCCAAGTCAATCTGGCAGTGTTCTCCTTCATACCCCGCTGCACATTCGCACTGGTAGCCAGCCACCATGTCCTGACAGGTCCCGTTATTCAGACAGAGATCGTGGTCACAGTCGTTGATGTTCACCTCGCAGTCGGGGCCGTGTAGCCCGTCGGGCAGAGACACTGGTAGCCCTTGGGCAGGTCAACGCAGACGGCTCCCTGCCTGCACGGCTGCGACTCGCACTCATTGATCACTGTACAAGAGAAGGATTGACTTTTCAAGCCTATATCAACTTCCATCAAGTCTTCATTTAATTCTTTTCAACAGCTTAGAGAACAGGCTGGGAGTCTGGTTGGCATAGCGGTACTTTCCTCGCCTTCCAGCGCTGTGACCCGGGTTCGAATCCTGCCTGGGCTAATGTAGATTGGGTTTTCAGTCCCTACCCGATTCTGAAGGTTTTCCCTTGAATATCATTCTGAGGTTTTCCTCCCACCTCTAAAACTGTAACTTCTTCTCATTGTCTTCTCTGCACAGGTTTCTTCAGGCTTGCGATCTGCAGTGACTACAAAGGGCGCTTTTGAAGAATCCTTCGTTTCAGAACAAGAAGTTTACAATTATAAAAATAAACAATACAATTCAATGCTGAGGTTTCAAAACCGTTTTATGAATGTATGTATACCTTGGCAATAGGCTATGTGGTGTGCACCTTCGTGGTGGGTGTAAAGTTCGTCCGGGCAGGTAAGGCAGAATTTCTGGGTCCTTAGAGGCTGGAAGAAACCCTTGGGGCACAGCATACATGGTGCAAACCCTGTACCAGAGTAGCTGCCCAATGGACATTCACCTGTTGAAAGAAAGCGAACAAGTGATATTTCTATAATCTATTTAAAATCTAATTTCTTTATTACATTGGTTAGAACAACACCGATCTTGCGATCCGTAATTAACTCCGCTATGCACTGGGCCACTGTGGTAGCTCGACGAAAGCCATTCTATGAAATGCTTTAAGGTACCTGCATGACTGAGTGATAGCAATGGTGTGACGCTGTTTTTATTATCTTATGAATAAACATCGAACTAGCTGAATAATCATGATCCATTGACAATGTGTACTGCAGATAAAAACACTGCATACCTGTGCATTCGTCCACTGAGAGGGCACCTTCTGTCCAGGTTGTCAGGCCCTCAGGGCACGGCAGGCAATACGTGGAGCCTCCATAAGGCTGGTAAGCTCCCCGTGGACACGCCATGCACGTTACGAGACCGCTGGCAGAGTAGGTACCCATTGGACAGGGGGCTGGGTGAACAAACACAGACAAAGTTGTAAAGACTGAGTAAGTAACTGACAAAATTATCGTTGAAAACCTTATTTTTCCAAAGATGCTTCAATTTAAGGGACGCATTTTTGGGAATCGGTTTGTAATTTGGCGAATCCGTGAACAGGTGCATACATTGCTATCATTCGTCGGTTCTCTGCGTGACTTTGCGTAGCTGCAATCAGCTGAATGAGAACATGTCCCGGACGCTGATTTCGGGTACAATTTCAAAACATGACTTTGCAACTTTTGAATTGAAATCCAGATCCTACAAAAATAATTTTCTTGAAATATACAGCATTCAGGGAGCTAAAACTTCTTCAGGCTAGTTGTGAAGCACCCGTCTTTTAAATTTTGAGCACTTTTGTTGCTTTAAGCAGAAAAAAATGACAAATGATCTACATACCTACCTTTAAGTATGTAATAAAGTACCTCGCTGACTATTCAATAGCCATAAAATGATTTCTGGATTCCGACTCTGGAAAGCTGGACACATATGTTGAATCTTGCATGGTTCATATCGATGACATACCTTTACAATCCTCCGGGTATTTGGAGCCTTTGCGGCGGGTAGTGGTTCCCTGGGGACATCGTAGACAGGACATCTGCCCGTCTGAGTCCTGATAGAAACCAGCGCTGCAGTCTTGGCAAACACCACCCTCGACGTCATGGTATGTACCAGTTGGGCAGACAACTATTAATTTGGGAAGGACGATAACAAAAGTGAAGAAGTTGCAAGAGTTCCGACTTATATCTAGCCTGCAGGCTACGTGATAGTACATTTGTAGCAACAACTTTGAACTCATTTTATGCGACTAAACTGCTAAGAGGCATTTTTCATCCGTCATTTTACCCAACACTGATTGGCTACTTCTTACCGCATGACTGATTTCGTAGGACCTCCCCGTCCTGACACGACAGTGAGACTGGCTCCAAGACGTTAACTGGCCCGACAGGCGACAGCATGTTGCCGTTCCCGGTGGAAATGTTGAGCAGTCCTGCTGAGATGACCATGTCCATGGTCTCCATGAAGTTGTTGAGTACCTGGACGGAATTCATGCTGGGACTGACAGCGGAGGAGGTGTTCTGAATCTGAGGAGAGTGGAGAGTGAAATGTGGCTGGAGAGGGATTAAAAGGATCCTTATTTCAAAATTGCGGTGTGGAAAGGTCAACAGGCCATTCATTTCAATTCAGCCCATGAGGAAATTAGAGAGCATAAAGCTTTCTCTCTTGTGCATCACTGTTATAAAAAATTAGGAAACACTGTTTGGTTATGTTATTGTACCTGACAGTTGGCATAAAATTACCTCAAATACTAGTTAAAAGCAAATGTTATCAACTTTGGGGAAGAATTGTCTCATAGGGTTGTCTTTTCTAGTACCTGTGGCTGATGAGCTGAATTGACGACCACGGTGAACTCTATTTCCAGAGCCAGGTCATTGGTTTGCCTGCGTCGTCTCTTCCGCCGTCCATCCACCGCCCCACAGGTCACCTTGACATTCTCCACGCTGCAGCCAGTGTCCGCCTGGCAGAGGCCGGGCACAAATTGGTTCAATTCCTGGAACCTGGCCACGAAGTCAGCAGCAATCTGTGCTTTTGCGCGCTCATCCAGCTGGCAATCCCCGACGTAGAACTGCACCCCGAGCGTCATCTCTGCATTGGGATCTCTCATTTCTGATGTAACATACCCAAAAGTTAAAGAAGGAGCAATTGAAATTTAATAATAATGATAATAATGTTTAGTAGTGTTTGCATTATACAATGCCTCAAGGTGCTTCACAGGTATTATTAACCCTGTTCATCATGTCATGATAACTTCAGCAGCTCGAGATCAGTGCAATCTGATCTCTACCTTCACAGGTACCCATTAATGCTAATAAGCGGAGAAGGGCAATCGTAGTCAAGTGTCTTGCATAAGAACACAAGACCACGTCAGGAATTGAACCCTAAAACCACTGCACATGAGTGGAAAGTGACAAAGCATATGTTAAAACATACAAAGGAATCCTAACCAAATTTGGGCTTTAACTAGGATATAAATATTGAAAAGATCTACAACAACATAAATGGGCTACACAAGATAAACGTAGCAAAATTACCAGAGCAATCCGGCCAAGGGACCCTAAAGTTGGCAGTGTTCGGGTTTGTTGGAGATGGCCCCCACTGGGCCGCGACACTGCCAAGAGGCGTTCTGCAGTAGTATTCACCCGCAGGATTCCGATTGAAGTCAAAGTTCTCGCTGCAGGCCACCCGGCAGAACTGGCCACCAAGCCAGGTCTCACAAGCCAGAGCTCCATTCTGCGGTGGGGGGTAGAAGGGGCAAGGGTATTCTACCGAGTAAACAAAAGAATCAAATCTTGTCAACAAGCCAGCAATGATTGAGATGACAAGTCATTACAAGTTCATCACGAGTCAATAATCAACTCTCGAGCTATAGGTTCCTATCGTATGGTATGACACAAAGTGCCACAGGACCATCCAGTTTCCACGTGATCGGCCACCATTGCAGTAGGCAAGCGTTTGGTTAGCAACAGTCATACACTGTAAAGTAGACAGTAGGGCTTACATTTTTACGTAAAATATCTGCAATTTCTTTTTGAAATGGCATATTGGTCACTTTGGTACCTAGATGTAGGCTGGGTAATGCGGGTTGTCGAGATCGAGGCCCTATTAAATTGAACTCTGACAAAATCATTCTTTTATCATTGTTAATTTGGGAGGCAGAGAAGCTGGTTTGCGAAGGATGCAGCCACAACATGGTCGAGCCGCTGGGATTCCGTCTTGGGAAGCAACGACAGCACAGTTTGAGGAATGAGAAAGCCTTGACTACAGCTGCACGACAGTCAGTGTTAGTCAGCACTGTAGACGAGGGAATTAATTGAGCTATTTGATAAGTCTGAAGATTTTCTGCAAGTTCTAGATATTCAATAGCTTGGGCAGGCAAAGTATAAGTTGTTCCCAGAGTATAAATAATTGCAGCTGAAACATTCAGTGAGTTCAGAATGAAAAAAAATGGCAGTATTGATGATAACCATACAGAGGACCTTGCCTGCTCGCTTGGGACAATTTGGCAACTGTGCTGATTGCTTGCACACTTTAACTACTACCAAGATGTACAAAGCAAGAGTGGCTACTAAACAGGTAGTGTTGGTAATGAAATTAATCCAAAAAATGATGTCTTTAAAGAAAGTCTCTGGCAAGAATATTGGAATCACACCAACAATAATTGTTGGCACCCAGAGTCCTGCTGATATCTTTGCTGCTCAAGAGGCTTTTTCCTTGAATGTCAGAGGATTGCGCACTGCAGAGAATCTCTCAGCTGCTATGATCACTACAAAATAACTAGAAACAGCAACAAACATGTATTTGAATCCCAGGACATACCATTATTTTGTTTTACCGTTTTTGATTTCCTCAAAAACAAAAACCGTGAACGAACTATTGACCGTTTTGTCGTTTTACAGTTTTGTAAAACAGTAAAACGGTATTAAGTCACACACAGAAAAATACTTTATGTTGTTTTTAATTGTAGAAAGCGTTAAACGGTTAGTTGCTTTATTTTTAGAGTGTTGTTTTACAAAATCATGACAATGACAAAACGGTCAGTAAAGGCGCCTTTGACAGCCAGCCATACGACCCATTTATGACCACAGAGCACAGCCAGAGACCAAAAGTGTTTGATTTTTTTCGGAGGGAGGAAAACCCGGGGCCCAGAGAATATGCCTCATGGTACAGGGGAGAACCATTAACGCGTAGCTTTACTCACATAGGGCAGGACCACAGTGGTGAGAGGCGAGCGCTATACGCACTGACCTTGCGTTATACTGATGATACAAGCATCTGAAGTGCAATATCACACCAATAAGATACACTTACGTCTCACTGCAACTGTGAAGTTACAGAAGACGGCATTGCCCGCTTGGTCCTCGGCTCGGTAACTGATTTGCCTGGGCGGCCCCCAGAAGAACAGCGATCCTGGTGGAATGTCGGACCTCAGCTTGACAGGCATCTCTGAGTTGTCTTTGAAGGTGGGAACAGTCCAGTTGACACTACGCTGTCTTTCATTACTCTCGGCTTGGATGTTATCTGGGCAGTAGGTGCATCTAGGGGGCTCTTGGTCTGGCCACAAAATGAATGAAGGAATTTGTAAAAGCCAGTTCTGAGTCTGTTGCATATTAGGCCAAAGGTTTGGACAACCAATATTTGAAGCCATTTTGGGGTGGCACCACACTTGTGCACAGGTGAAAAGTGGGAGACTCCCTCGATAGATGGGTTTTCAATTAACATGCATGCCTCAAAATGACATGGGCATGAGAAATTGACTGTTTATGAACTTTTATCAGCATCTTGCAAACTGTTCTTTAAACCTTTTTATTTTTCATACTTTTACACATTCGAATAGTTCAATACTCACTAAAAAAGAAGCACCCTAATTCTAGGTTTACTAGTAAACAACAATGGAGTAACACAAAATTATAGATGAGCGTCAAACTTTCAAACCTTCAACTGTGACGACGAAAGTGCAGTTGGTCTCCAGACCCTCGCCATCACGCGCCGTGTATGTGATCTCGGTGGCCACACCCAGATAGAACCGCTCCTGTGAAGCTGACGGAGAGCCAGTGACCAGTGGCTGGCCTGCGTTGTCACTCGCTATAGGCTGGTCCCAGCTGGCATTTGTTGCAAAGTTCTTGTTCCGGTCGGTCACCAGCGAAATGTCCGAGGGGCAAAAGGTGAATACTGGTGGCTCGACATCTGCAGTAAAATAGTGGAAAAAAATATATATCCCTAGTTTGTACTTGTGTATATAATGTTAAGGCCGTGTCCAAAACAACTAGGTTTCCACAGCTATGGCTACACCCATGGAACTGAGTGATTCCACATAGTTGTGAAGACCTAGCAACAAAACCAGACAGCAAGAGATTTAAATCGTAGCTAATATATTAATACATACAATACAATTTAATGACATCAATGTCATATCTCAGACAGCACTGTAGACACCATAACAGAATGTGATATCTGGAAGGACTTCACTTCCTTTCAAGCAAATATTGTCATGGGTAAATTAGCTTGATTATAATTTGCTCGCTTAGGGACTAATGGGCTCTATGCAACAGTGTTGGAAGATCGCCTCCAGCACGTATGTCATGGCATAAGCGAAACCAATGTTCTTCAGAGATGCACAATTTCGGTGGCCGGACGTGACCAAATGACTCCCAATGGAGTGTCATGGCCTAGCGGTTAATAGCACCGGACTCATGCTCTGGTGTTTCAGAGGCAACAGTGGCGTGGGTTCGAGCCCGGGCCCGGACACTTGTGCCCTTAAGCAAGGCACATAACCAATATTGCTTCGTCCTTCGGATGGGACGTTAAGCCGGAGCTCCCGTGTGTTGTATAAGGCCTAACGCACGTAAAAGAACCCAGTAACACTTATCGCTAAGAGAAGGGGTTTGCCCCGGTGTTTCTGGCCTCCTAGTTATACTCCCTTGTGGAAGTCCTTAGGAGAAGAGCCAACCAAGTACCAAGTACCAAGTACCAAAGCCTGGCTAGGTTACTCATTGATTCTACATTCTAACAACTTTGCATGTGCACACTAGTCATGCAAGAGGTGAACAAAAGTCACCAAAATGCTCAATCTGTGCTTAAAAATGCACCATAGCAGCAATGATACTCAAGTGTCCTTCAATCTATCTCCCTCAGTTTTACTGTTGAGGGGGTACTTGTAAATGCAGTCTGTAGGATACTGCGTTCCACACGATCCAGCCTAGTGTATGCTATCTGGGGACCTACTCACCAACACAGGTGTTTTCCATCGATGAATCTGACCACGTCCCGTCAGCTTGACAGGCCCTCCGGTTCACCCCTTTCAACCGGAATCCATTCTTGCATTCATAGAAACACTCAGAGGTGTACTCTTGAATCTGCTTCTCACAGGAGGATGGACGGATCCTCATGTGTTGTTTGGAGAGAAGGGCGGGGCATGTCTTGGCTGTCAGCAACAAAGCAAAACAAAGGATTTACTGTATTACATCAGTATTTTAAAGTACTTTACTCCTTCTCAACAAGCACTGATGAGCACTATTCAGTGTCATTGAATACAAGGTATTAAGCATGGTAACACTGATTATAACTGATTTGACTGCATGGTGAGTGACTTGTGACTCAGTAATTGTAATGGGCTTGACTCAGCGAAATGATGATCCTCGCTATGTCTTGCTAACAGGATTTGTAGAGCAGGTTCAGTCACATACAGAAAATATATCTTAATCTGGCCGTCACTTGCGAAACTAGCAATACCTTTGCATTTGCCAGCCTGGTTGGTCCACTCCCCGACCTGCTGTGCCAAGTTGAGTTCGCATCGTCTCTGGAGGGCGCCCTCCCGCTCGTATCCTTCACTGCAGGTCTGGTTGCACACAGTTCCGATGCGCCAATCCGTCGTGTCGCACGACTGATGGCCATTTGCCGGTGCTGGCAATACCACACAAGTAATTTCTGAGAGAAATAAAATAGGTTGAGACTATTTATGTTGCAGTAGCCGCTGGAGATGTGACTGTAATCCCTATGCAATTGCGTTATAAGCCCCATCCAAAAAATTAGGCCCTCTCCCCCAAGTATTCCCTCTCCTGACTCCAACTGGGCCGACCCAGTTACACTACTGTGGCCGGCCGCATTTGCCACTGGCTTGGCGGCCCCGCTGCTTGCAAATATCTATGTGATTTTTTTTTTAGTTTGCCGGCAAAACTTTGAAACAAGCAAAATTCTTAAACTTACGGGTGCACTGGAGAGGGTTGCCAGACCACAGGCCACTGGCTAAGCATGTCACTATGTCCGCAGTGCCGGGCTGGGCACGGTAGGTAGGACGGCACTGCATGCGGCACTCAGTCCCGTAGTGGTTGTCGCAGTTCGGTGGGACAAGAAGGACTCCAGAGGATTCAGTGAAGCTCAGTTGTTGGCAGTTGATGGCTGGATGATTAAAACATTATCAATAAAGAAATCATGTTTAGACTTACACAATTGATGTGGCATAAGGTTGTGTATATTTATCCAGCGAAAATCAAATTAGCTCTTATTATTATAGTTTCTGCCCTACTACATTTATCTCAAACAACACGGTACATAAACAATGTCAATTGACTCTTCAAAGTAATGCTCTCGCTTCAAACTTTAAGGGATGAAAGATGAAAAGTAAATGTTAGAAGTTTTTTGGGCACAACTTCCACTCACGTGTGCACGGGACTTTTGTTGCTGGAGAACCTTGGTGACCGGCCAGGCACTGACAGTTACTGAGGGATGTGCTGCCCTCTGCCATCGTGGTAGAGAGAGCAGGGCAGTTGGTGCAACCCTGGTTGCCATACTCTGGTTTATAGGTCCCGCGAGGGCAGGCTGTTGGTGGGGGGGGGGGGAAGAGAAGAGAAAAAAAGGGCCGGAGGAGAGTAGTTGTCAAACTCAATCACAATCCAAATTACCTGAGTCAATCACAAGTCAAATTAAAAGTCAGTCACAAGTTACTCACACGTGTCATTTAAAATCAAGTCAAATCAAGTCATGTTATCCACAAGTAAATTCATTAAGTCAATGTTGAATCAATCACAAGTCACTCACAGGTCAACTCAAGTCAGATCAAAAGTCAGGTCATAGGTTAAAGGTGATGTCAATGAAATGCCTTGGTATATTGTCTCTTGATTTGAGGGTGGATGAATTGTGATGGACTTGTGAGGATTTGACTTAGATAATTCTACGTTATTGGATCTAAAGGGATGGTAGTCCTAATAGTTCTGTCACGATATCAATGTTACAGATCAATGCATTTAGAATTTTCCTAAAATTCATCGGGCAGTGAGGGATCTCAAAAGAATCTCAACTCCTGATGACCAACAGAGCATACTGTTTGAAACTTTGAGTTAAACCAGCTGGTTCTTTTCAGAACCACACAACTCACAAAGAGATATCATTCACATCATGCACATAGTGTTACCGCAAACCTCCCATATATCAAGAATCTCAAAACTAAGACAAATGAATCATTATTTACACCCTCTCTTCTTTTCTCAAAATCCTCACCTCTGCACTGATTCTGTTTCCCGTCGCCCGTGTAGCCAGGATGGCAGGCACATCCGTAGCTTCCCGTCTGAGTTGCACATGAGCAGGTGGCCCGCATGTCGCAGCAGTTGCTTCCTGACAGGCAGAGTGAGTTGCAGAGGTCAGAGTTCACGTTGCGATCCCAGGAGGCCATGTCTGCCTGATCTGAAGGGATGAGGAAAAAAATGCGGGATGTCATGGATGAAAATGAAGAAACTATTTTGGGTTTTGCAAGCCTCGGCTCCATCTCCACCTTCAGCATAGGCTTTAATTCCTTGATTTGAGGCCCTTGCTGTGAAAGCAGTGGCTTAACTAGTGTTAATCTTCCAGGTGGACATTTGGGGGTATACCCACTTTTTAAGGGGGCACTGAAGGTAACGTATAAATTGTTGTGTGCCTTTAGGGGGGTGGGCACCTTGGGGAAACGGACCTACACTGGGGACACGGACCCTGCTGGTAGTTACGCCACTGTGTGGGAGACTCAGTATCAGACTAATTAACATAATGGACAAAAGATAACCTCCAATTATAGTAATATGAGGCCGAGATTCGGAAAACGACCTTTGAGTGTTGAATGTTTTAAATGGCTTTTATTGATTTTTATCATTATTATTATCATTTTTTTTTTGGGGGGGGGGGTTTCATACCTCCAATGACTTTCTCAGCGAGGCTCTCTACATCGGTCAGCTGATCCAGCAGGAAGACATAGTCATCGCTTGGTGAAGAGGCGATGCCGTTCAGCTCATCTACACTGATGCCCGTGCCCAGGCCGATGGCGAAGACTGCAGCTGTGTTCCGCAGGGCAGCGGCCACTGGCAGCGGGCTTCCACCATCATTGGAATGTCCATCAGTCAGGACAAAGACAATTCTACAGAGGACATGATTGAAATTATAATTAAAAATCACACAACCAAGCTCGTATATACTAGGGGTGGCGAGGGTTATTAAGTGACATATGGGTCCTTTGTTTTTTCATCTTCAAATGGCTACGCGTGGACCTCATTCTGGGCCAGAATGTAGTATCCAGACGCCACTTCAGCGGTTGTGTACAAAGTCTATGGAGAGTCAAGAAAATTTTCCTATCAAAATTTGAAATGTTTCTCAGTCCCAGATTCATGTCTTTTCAATATATTTGCAATGGCTGACCTTTACTGAGATGATATATGAAGAAACAGGGCGTCAGGTTGCAACATTCTTTCCCTAATTCTCATTCCCAAATCTAATAACAATACGTAATTTTCTAAATCTCACTTTTGTGTGGATGGCCGCGCTCCAGCCAGAATGTCCTGGGCCCTGCGCAGTCCATCCACGGTACACGTTCCCCCTTCTCGGTAGTTGGTCCGCGGCAGGTCGGTGCCAAGTAGCGTGCACTTGTTCTTGCCCACCGGCGAGTTGATGTAGTCAAAGTCGGTGTAGATCTTGTCACAGCTGGAGTATGTTACCACTGCCACTCGCGAGTTCTCCGGAGACACGCTGAACAGCTTGGAGAAATGACGAACAAACTGCACCTCGCAGCCGAAGGGGCCGAGACCGACGCTGCCTGAGGAATCCAGGACGAAGACAATCTCGGCCGGTCTGTTCTGGTACCTCTCCAATGCACGGATGAAATGTTGGCTTTTTTCGGTGATCTGTTCCCGGTCATGCTCGGAGGTCGCGGTCTGCGGACATTCTGGGTATTCCTGGGCCTGGACTACCGTGCAGAGCACCCAGCAAAGAGCTGGGAGAAATCCGCCAAGCATTAGCAAGGCATGCATATCGACAGTCGATCGCTGTGCGTTATGCAGAATAAAGTGGAGAGTTTCCAGATGACACTCGACTTTTGCTTTGTGGTTGGTTTGTGAGGCCGCCGCGCGAAGTCAGTGACATTATATTTCCAGATGTAGCCAATGTCAAGGGAACCGATCCTGTTCACCAACCACTATTAAAGAGAGAGAACTCATTATCCGTCCGTGACGTGCTCAGGATGTCCATGGATCCTATTGGCGAACAAAACAAGGAAGTAAACCCTGTGCTTGGCACGATGCAGTAAAAACAAGTGAGACAATTACCACCGGCCACATCACGCGAGGGGGCTGCCGCGGTTTAAACCCACCGGCCCTGGCAAACCGATTCACCTTCGGCCTGCTTGGCGTATTTTTCCTGCTGACAGGATCTTCCTGATGATTTTTAGGGCACCGTGGGCGGGCGGATGGTGAGGGATGTTTGAGGGAAAGTCCCCTGGCATGCATGTGATTTCAACAATTAAGTACCGGTATCTGGGAAATGTTAAATAGGTCAAACTCGAGGGCAGTTTGGTGTGATTGACCGACTTCACACAGCTACACAAGGCACATCCAGGACGTGATTTGGACTGTTCACGGCTGTGATTGGTGGAAAGTTTGGGGATGAGCGACTAAGTCTCAACAACGCCCTCTATCCGTTATAATTTTGAACGCATCTGGGGACACGTGCCTCGTGTGATTGCACTTTCTCTGTTAAACCTTTTGGAGGTCATTTCATTTGTTAAGAATTGAAGAAACATCCGCGTTTTTCCCTCGTTTACCGGATTCTATACAGGGGCCATCTTAACAACCCTTTTGTGATTTTACCGCGGGGTGACTTAGTTATACTCAACTTCTAATGTATCGTTTTTCTCAAAGGCCTATAAGATTTAAAAGTATATGTACCAAGCAGCAAAAAAATACGACAGCAAATTCCGACTTGGGTTTTTTTTCCAGAAAATTTTATTTAGATGACTTTAAGCAATATACATACAAGTTTAAAGGGAATATACATGTACAACTTTTGCTTTTGCTGTAATTTTCAGAAATGGATGGATGTGTGGTTCACTATTTTAATGCAAATACACTGACCTTTTAAAAGTTTGTGTTCATAGATGCTGGAAATGCAGTCCGCATCACTGACCCTATACTTAAGGCAAAACGGAGTGATTTATAGTAATTTGAAAATAGCCATTTTCAGGATTGTCAGGTCAGGGAACCAGACTAGCTTGCACCCGTTCACGGATGTTTAAACGATTGCAAACAAAATATGGACCTAAATAATTTTGGTAAATTGGGGACAGTATTAGCAAAAAGTCTGCCAATAATCGTTGAAAATTGATACAAGAATATATTCAGCTTTTCTTAAAAACGACAAGACACCAGGTGCCATGATTTCACAGGATGCTGGAGACTATTAGTCACTTGCAGTCAAAGGTATTTCGTAATTATCTGGTACTTTTATTTTTTGACGTTTGTTAAGTATACAACAAAGATGTCTATATTGGCCCAGGAAGTTTTTATCTCAACCGATGAAAAGGATTTCCTCAAATGCATCCACTAATTCCCCTAAAGGAAAAAAAACACCCGCAAGATCAGTGCTTTGGCTTGCGTCTATGAAGTAAATATAAACAAATAAAAAAACAAGCACAGCATAAAAAGTGCCAGTAATATAAACATATTGTCCCTAACTTCACTGTCAGAAATTGAAGAATGCTTTGCCTTTATATAGATACTGACGATACAGAAACATCCGCGCTGTGTGCAAAATATGAGCAGAAATCACCCCCCAAAAATATTTGGGCATCTTTATTTAGTTTACCCCAGGACGAACTTTGCCTTGCAGTGCTGTGTGGGTTTAGATGGAATCAGTGTTTTGTTAACAAGAGACGTCTAAGATTCTTGCAGTCGCGTACTCTATTTTTTTTGGGGGGGGGGTCTGTTTGGAAATCGCTACCAATTCTCAACTCTTAGGCCTACAAGTTGCACCCATCAGAAAAGTTTCCAGCTAGAGCCACTTTGGCATAGCTACAACCTTGACATGCCTTTGCATCATTGGTAATGTTTTCTCCTCATGTTAAACGGTATAAGTGCCGACTGAAACTCTCTTTCCTATCAACACACAAGTACTTTAATGTTCGGGGTCAGTCTACAGCCGACCTTCAGAGAACAGGCAACCCAAAGTACATTCAGGTACTTTCATGTACTTTCGTGTACATGTACTTTCACTGTTCGAGGTCAGTCTTCAGCCGACCTCCAGAGAACAGGCGACCCATCAAAAATGTACCCTCTCACCCTGACTCTTAGATTTCACAGAAGTACACATCAGGAAAAGACATTATCTCCTACATGTTTTTTATCAGCACCGTGAAGAACGCAGTCAAAACATTTATAACCATAAAAAAATGGGTTTGCATAGAATGTAACCATTAATGCAATAGGAAATTCAATATTAATATAACTGCATGGCAACTCTCTTATTAAAAAAAAAGCATGGAGTTGTACTGTTGGTTAAACTTACTTATTATTACATAATCGTCAAGTACATTCATATACTTCATAAAACATTCGTAGTACATTCATATAACTTCATATACTTTTATTGTTAATGGAAGTTTATTTTCTGTGTAACATAAAATGGACACATGCAATTCTTATTAATGTGTTTTTAGCTATGATAATGTTCGAGTTTCTTAGAGTTGGCAAGATCCATCGTGACGATGGGATGCCCTGAAAGCTAGTTCACACCATCCTCGTTCAACGGGACCGGGCCAGCTAGTTGGGTCGTGGTCGTGTTCCCTGCTGTGGCTGTCGTGGTCGTTGCCACTGTTGTCACGTCTGAAACGACAAAAAAAGGATGTGTCATTGATGATACTGAGAATGTTAATATACGTTTTCCCGGCTATTTAAAAAAATGATATGCCGAATGATAAGGCATCTCGTCTTAACCTTCAATTAGGAAGCATTCGCTGCTGCTTATGGCGGCTTCCGTGGCGGTGGTTTGACCGGCCGGGCAGGACATGCAGGACTCCTGACCGAATCCCCCCTGATAGGTCCCCGTGGCACACGGCAGACAAGAGGGCATCGAGCCCGCTGCGGCCGAGTAGTACATACCACGAGGGCAAGCAACTGTTGAGAAACACATTTTGGTGGAGATTTAATGCTTTTGCTCCTGTATACATTTTCTGGTATACTTCGATTGACTTGACTGTGACATTTTTTTTTCACTTAACTAGAATTTGTTATTTAAAAAAAAAACATTTCACAGAAATTTGCATGATTTTAACTAGCCTGTGACTTCGGTGTCTGCCTTACTTATTACATGTACTTCAGAAATTGATGACTATGAGTTTGAATATCCATTGGTCCTGACATGTGTTTATGAAAGGAGCTACAGAAGTGTTCCATTTTGAAGCAAATATTGCGAATTTTTGGCAATTCAATAAAGTTAATAAAAATATAATGTTACTTACTGCACACAGGGTCTTCAAGCGCTGTGAACGACTTCAACTCAGTACCAGTCGGGCAAGTTGTCTGGTTGCCGAGGTAACTGTAAGCTATTAAATCAGGAAAATAGCATATTGACATTATCTTATTTGAAATGAATGTTAGATAGAAATAATTCACACATATTTTAATGTGTGTGAATTATTGATTTAATATTGTGATATATTGATTTAATATTGAATCGGTAATACTTACGACTGCAGTCTGGTACCTCCCGCGAAGGCGACCACTCGCCATTGAAGCCGCACAGGTACACGTTTTCCGGGGGTCCGTCAAAGAAGTAATATGATTGGTTGCAGCGGGGCTCACAGATCTTGCCGAACATCCAATCAGAGCAGCCGCTATTCCCGTTCAGCGGGCCGTTCGGTTTGCCGCACTCGACGGCTGTTTTGTAGAGAGGAAGAAGAATTTAAAACAGAATGTGAAAATTTGAATGAAAAAAAAATTAGAAGAATGAAATAAAATATACAAATATAATACGTACTCTGGATGGATATGCTGAACTTGCAGGTGGCTGAATTGCCTGCCGCATCGCGGACGTCGGTCAGGACGGTGTACGTGCCCCACGTGAAACGGCCTTCCGGTGACTACACGACAAGCAAGAGAACAAGGTCCAACGAGTGAGTGATTTCTTTGCAGTTCCCCAAGTTTTGTAAATGTTTGCTCAGTTTTGTTGTAATACAAATGGATTTCTCTAAATTCCATTTTTGTATCCATCCAAATTCATCACCAGAACACCCCCCCCCCCGAATCTATAATACAAAAGGCAAACAAGTTAAGTCAAAATTCACTTCCACTTCCCTTGCTGTACTTCTAGTCACCAGCAGTCAGATCTATGTCAAGCAAGCACTGTGACTAGTCAAACTGGGTCAACAGACAAAGCAGGGAAGTTGTGGTCACAGCTGTTTTATCACTCATCCGAATGTATGTTTGCATATGAGGTTTGAAAATGTGTTGACTCACGATCCATGTGTTGTTCCCCACCACCGCGACGTTGTCGGTGGCCACCGGGGGCTCCCACTCGATCTCTGGGTACTGCTCCTGGGTGTTCACGGTGAAGGACTCCGGGCAGAACTCGAAGACTGGCGGTTCCTCATCTGAAGATGTCAAAGATGAAATGGAAAACAAAATGACACCGATAAACTGAACTCCCTCTGCCGATTTTGACTGGGGTACAGGAGCGCAGCAAGCATCACTTGCTCCTATCTAAACTATTATTTTCTTTATTTAGATAACCCTTTACGTTTCAAATACTTTTGGCCTTGTAATGTTGGGCAACTGCCATTAAAATCAGACCCTGTGGTAAAATTATAAAATTGACTGGAGGGGGGGGGGGGGGTTGAACCCGCGACCTCATAAACACCGTACATGTGCTCTACCAACGGAGTAATCCAGCCCTATGTTGGCACTTGCCCAGTTAGTCAAGATCCTTATTCAAAGGTGCTGGTCAGAAGCCATTATCCCATATGCCATGAAGCCAGGGATCACTAAAAAATCATAATGCTAGCAACATTGTTGCAAACCTGGCAAATATCAACAGAGAGGATACGACTCATACCTGTGACGATAACGGTAAAAGAGCACGTGGCCAAAGATTCCGTGGAGTTGCTCCAGGCCGTGTAGGTGACCGCGGTCCTACCGGCCGGGAACGGGTGACCGACGGCCGGTACGCTGGACTCTAGCCGGTCCAAGGTGTGCACCGGCTTGGGCAGGTCGACTACGGCGTGTGATTCGCCTGGCTCCAGCACTACGGACACGTCCCGAGGGCAAGTTATCTCGGAAACTATGGTCATTGCAAAAGAGACAAGAGTGAAAAGGCAAAGTTGTGAAACGAACAATCACAATTATTGAAGTCAATCACAATATCAGGTCACAAGTCAAGCCACAAAAATAATGTGTTTGTCACAGTCTATTCGAATAGGCTACATGTAGGCCTTGTCTAGTTTGACTTTGGACATGCTAGTGGTTGGCTTGTAATGACTTGCGATGACTTGGGATGACTTATGACAACCAAGTGCCTTTCATTACAAATTGAACAATTACGCGAAAATGTAAGGTTCCCTACATTTGGGAATTGAACTACATTCTTTGTGTGGAATGTGCACATTACAAACTAATCGGCCTAATTACATTTTCTGATTTTCTGCTAACCCATTTTCCAATAATACCCCGTTATAAAGTATCATACTCCCAAACAGTCTGGTACATTCGACACTGGTCACTCTCTTTTTCTTCCCATCGTCGGGGAACAAGACAGCAATGGACCCTTGTGTTGGGACGTTCGAATCAAATTTCACAGTATTTCCATTTAATTTGGACATTAAGAACATTCTAAATGATCAGTCTGAATTCTGAGATGAAGCCGAAATAAAACCGACGGTTTGGAAATGGGAAAGTCTCACCCTCACTGCAAGACGGCTTCTCATTGGACCATTCCCCGCTTGCCTGGCAATTCGTCAGGGAAGAGCCAACCAGCGTGTAGCCTTCATCGCAGGAGTAGGCGCAGATGCCCCTGAACTCGATCTCGCCGTCCTGCAGGCACGATGGCGGATTCACCAGGCCGTGATCGGGATGCTGTAGCGCTGGACAACGTACAGCTACACAGCAACACAAGGAGGCATTATTAGACTCTTTCACGTGTGTCGTGATGATATTACTCCCGTGAGAATTTTGCCTCCGTGTGACCTGCGCATGTGCGTACAGATTCCCACACCTCAGTGTCCTTTTGTTTTCGAATAGTCATCCAAGATTAATATGTACACAATTCAAAGTCAACACAATGACAAGTTATATGAGTTTATTATACGTGAATTAATCCGTATCTGAAAATGGGTATTTAAAACAACGATGCCAGTTTCTCACCTTAAGTCGATTTTTTACGACTTTTCTCTAATCGAATTTGTTTTTATTGGGGATCAAGAATTACACGCCTGGCAGATTACCGCTTCTATGCCGTTTTCACTTAATACATCTACTGTAAAATGTGTTTTAAGGAACTAAATGAATATCATGGCATTATTTCAAACTTGGAATATTCAAACTTGATATCTTGGAGGTGAGAGGTGGGGCCTTGCAATAATTGTGACCGCTTCTAAGCTAGTCGACCTAGTTAGCAAATGCCAGAAGTCTTCGTTGACCTAATTTTTCGTTCTGTTTTTCATCCAGGCATGTTTAAGGAAAATCCTGTATTATCACACACGAGGAACAAATAAAAGTCGTTAAAAGCACAAGGAAATTTACTTTTGAAATCCAAGATAACAATGATAAGTGCCTATTGTATTCTTATTTTCTGTATGCAATAAACACGGATGTTTCTCACAGAACGGAAGCCCCATGTTTTTTTAGCACTGATTTACTTCCCTATCCACCCGGATTCAAACTTTCAAGTCTGGCAAGATATTGTGTTTTTTTATCTCCAACTGTTGGACTTTCACTTTCAATGGAACAGTTTCCCACAATGTACCGTTACCGCTGATGGTAATTTCCCTCTGCTAATCTCAATCTGATAAGATTTGAAGGTTCACATGCATGGCAAAGAGAGCAATTATAAAGTAGGCAAACGGTTCTCACTCTTGGTAGGCCTAATATTTTTCACGATTATCTGGTTGGGTTTCGGGTTCGGGTTGGAAATGGGGTTGGAGTTAGGAGGCCTAGCACAAAATTCACCGATATCATGTTGTTTGATAAAATTCGTTGGCTTCATGCTATGCCGTTGTTTTCCGTCAGTTCCCAGCTTTGCAGAAAGAAACAGATCATGGCAAGTAGGGTAGCTCTGATCGGCCACATACGTTTTATTTTTTTCAGGATACGAAATTGCATCATGCCGGTAAAGTTGGTCAAATTAGGGCGACCATACACTTTAAACCAGCTGGTATGAAATAACGTCGGGTATATTTTTATAACTACCGGCAAATGGTGTGAAATTACTTCTATTACTTGAAAAATAGAGATCACGGCAAATAAGGTGGCTCTGATCGGCCACATGCGTTTCAATGTTTTCCAAAATACGAAATTTTACCATTCTGTGAAAAGTTGGTCACATTAGGGTGACCATACACTGTAAACCTGCTGGTATGAAATAATGTTGGGTAGTTTTATAGCAACCGGCAAACAGAATAACATGTACTTAAATAACTTGTTAATTTGAGTACGTTAACAGTTTTTGTAAAGAGATTTTGGCCAAAAGTGGCCAACGCTGGGCAACAAGTTCAGCAGCAATTGCCCACTTTGAAGTGTGTACAATATCGACCCAAGATGACCATTAATGAACGCTGGGGGTAGAACATTACTGCAAAACGCAAGTTCATGTCTACGGCTTTGTGGAAAATCCCCGGTGATAAGTTCATGAAACATGTTAGACTTACGGTTGCAGGCTACCGGCTCGCCCGACCACCGGCCGGTATTCTGGCACGTCTTCCTGGCGTTTCCTTGCAGCTCGTAACCATTCTTACAGCCGAGTCGGCACGTGGTTCCAACTACAGCAAACGATCAAATAGACGCTTGATGTTCTGATCAATTTGGAATGATTATTTCATTCAAAAATACTATGACAAGGGAACTGGACTGATTTGTGTTTTGGCTTCACATTGTGCGAAACTTAATTATTTAATATTCACATTCTGTTTTTAATAACATCATTTTATGAACTTTTTAAAATTTATATTGAGGTCTTACATTTCTTTCATTTTAGCCTTTTTATTGCAACAAACTTGTAAAACGAACGCAACGAAGCCCTTATGAAGAAACAATAAATCGAAAAAAAAGTAAAATGATCAGTTATCCAATAAATGTCAAATAAAATTGAAAGCACTACCAGCTTACACAGATCGCTGATTTTAACGCCAAGAAAATAAACCAAGTTGCAATACATTTAATAATATTTTTTTTTAAATACGGTTTTGCATCGATTCCATACCTATGAGCTGATTGGTAGCGTGGGTACCAAGACAACGGTCTCTAGGGGACACCTTCATGTTTTCCGACAGGACCAATGGGCTGCACGTCACAGCTGGAAAATATACGAATAAAGTGTAGGGGGAAAATGTGGGGGGAAAAGTTGTCATTTCAGTTAATAGAGTTGAAAATCTTTATTAAGATGAGTTGGTTGAGTAACATGCCTATTGACTATTACGGGATGTGGCAATAGGCCACGCCCACTTTGCAAGTGGGCAACATTCGGTTACACAATCATGGCTGTGATTGGTCGAAACATCAAGGGGCGGGCATAGGACAGAGTTAAGTATTTTATCCGGTTCGTAAGTGACTGCGTCATATACGCGCACGCACAGCTGATTACTTGCACCCATTGGCTAAACTCGCCACTGTGCACTACTTCCGGTTCCAGTGATTTCCAATGCTACTCCGTGTGTAGTGGGCGTGGTTTAAGTTCAAATGACGTCACACTTACGAACGGGATGGGTGGGGCACATGGTATACGACAATATGAAGTTGCCAGTGTAAAATTAATACAGTTCGGTAAACCATGGAGAAGTGGTTCAATATAGAAACAACATGGTGTAAATGTAACACTTTGTGGCCGGTGTTAGCGGAAAGTGGTGAGCAACTCACGGTTGCATGTCTTGCCGTCCGCAGCCAGTACGGAATTGTCGTCGCACTGACAGTGAAACCCGCCGGGAAAGTTCAGGCAGACCTGCTGGCAATCGTGAATGTCCGTCTCGCACTCGTTTACGTCTACCAAAAAAAAGCGAAAAAACTCTCAAAATATAAACTGAAAAGCCTTTTCCTGTATTCCTATTTTCAAGATCAAGGTGAACATTAATGGCAACTGTATTCATAAACTTTCGTACCCCCTTTGATTTGAAAGTGTTTTGGTCTTTAATTCACGAAAATGAAACGCTCTTAGAAGTTTTGTGGTTTGACAAATTTAGAATTATTATCCAGACTAATATTTAGTTTTGGTAATGGACACAGTGTTGTACTGGATCCCTATAATTAAGTATAATAGCTTAAACTGGCTGATCATGATTTTATTTCACTTCAACAGTCACTGGGTGAATTTGTTTCCAATTAATGAAATAGACGTCCAGGGAGCCATAGATTTACTTTATTCAATTTAAAGTAACAGTCCATCATTTGTAATTTGTGCATTTTGTTTGTTTCAAGCAACAGAAGTTCTCAAATCTAAAGAATACATGGTGTTGAACAATTAACCTGATGAAGTTTCAGTTCAGCTTTAGCTGTATATTTCGAGAAAAACTTCTAGGATCTCGATTTTAAATCAAAAGTTACTGAATCATGTTTTGAAATGAGCCTGAATTCAGCGTCCGAGACACGGTCTCACTGAGCCGATTGCAGCTACGCGATGCTGGAAAGGCCTTCTTTCGTTGATTTCTTCAAAATGACAGCATGTCAGAAAGAATAATTTCACAGGGAGTGTAGTCCCCTTGCTATCTTTCAACCAAGTATGTTTCTCAACAATAATTACGTCAGTTACTTTTTGGATAGTTGCAAATGATGGACTATAGCTTTAATTTGAATGTCATAGTGGTGTTGCGAAGTCAAATTCGAAGTTAGAATCGGTAGGATCGTATGGTCCAATACTCACCGGCACAGAGGTAGGGATCAGAGGGATCCACGGTATAACCATCGTTACAGTCACAGACGAAGCTACCCTCCGTGTTGAAGCATTGGTGCTGGCAGCCGCCATTACTCTGAGAACATTCGTCGCGGTCTGAAAAGTGGGCACCGTTGTTATAAACTCTTAAACTCTTTCTTTCTTTACCAGCTTAATTGTGGATACATGCTTAGTTCCATTTTTCATCGATGTCAATAATTTGTTGATATTGTCGTTGTCTTTAATGTCTTCGTCAGCATCTAAATTGTGGTAATCTTCATCGTCACTGTCATTAATAATATCACATTTTGCTATAATAATATTACCGATAATGGGTCACTTGGGAGACATTCCCACAGACTTGTGCACACATTTGTTTCCAACTTAAATGACCACTAACCCCAAATTTACTTTATCCTTGGTATTTTTGCGAATTTGGAAAAATTTTACTAATCGATTTAGCCTATTTGCGACGATAAAATGTTGCCTCTTATAGGAGCTGAGGCATTAGGGAGACATTGAAATGTCTCCCTAATTCCACAGGTCTCCCAGAGGTATAACTTATTACTTTAAAGTGTTTCATCTGCTAGAGGTCATATTTTTGGTTGTAATGTGGTGCTTATAATCGCTTATACCAAAGATCTCAAAGCACTTTACTTTACACTACCCATGCATGTTCATCAGGCCATGAGACCATTTTTTTTCTGCAGCAGCTGGAGATCAGCACATTCTGGTCTCTACCTTCACAGGTACCCATTTAAACTCCTGGGTGGAGAGAGGCAATTGTAGGAAAGTGTCTTGCCCAAGAACACAAGTACCATGTTCCTTGTCAGGAAAGTTTGAATGGAACACCACAGCACTGTCAATGTCATTCTCATGGTTCTTGCCACATCTGTCGCTTCTGTCAATGTCACCGACTTTGTCACTAGCATCATCAACATCAAGTTCATCATCATGAGCATTAACATTAGCAGCATCACCATTTTCATTCCCATAAAAGCCATAAACTTAAAGGACAAAATAATGCAGTCACCTTGGCACGTCTTCCCATCGTCCATCAGCATGTAGCCGTTCGGGCATGCGCAGTAGAAGCTGCCCGGTGTGTTGATGCAGTGCTGCTTGCATCCCCCGTTGTCCTGCTCACATTCGTCAATATCTCAATCGAAAGAGTTAGGGAGAAACTCAAAAGTTAGGGTGATTCAACAGCTCATCGGAAGAGAGGTGTTATATAGTATTTCAGCTTGCGTGTTTGTATCTAGAGGGTTTGGCAAAAGGTTTATTTTACATGCATGATGACTGATATTTGAAATTGCGGCAAATAACTGAGATCTAGATAACGAAAAACAGTAGGAATATCACTGATTTGATTTAATAAATCTACGATTGATTTTAACAAAATCAGAGGACAGTAACACTGGCTATTCTACCTCTTTAAAAGGGGAATAGGCAAGTTTTCAAAACAGAGGGAAACTGAATAAGGGAATAGTATGTCAGAACTCTGGAAGTGTTTTTTTTTTAAGAGTAATTTTGTTTTTCTTTTTTACCTTTGCAGGGTGTATCACGGGTGTAGTCTCCGGCGTAGCCGGGCGAGCACAGGCAGTCCCGGATCGAAGCCTTACCCCTGCCGATGGTTCGCGAATGGGCCGGGCACTCCAGACATTCGTTGGCGGTGGCGCTGCGGTACGAGTTGGGTCTGCATTCTGAATCGGGTCGAAGACAGCAAATAGATTTTGTCAATAGTTTGCAATTATTCAGCACCATGGATTGTATTAAGGGCACCAGTTTGAATACATTGAAATGTGGATCATAACAAGTTTGACAAAGTAGCGTAGATTCCAACCATAAGAAATCAATATCGAAATATCTTCAATTCGTTTTTGGCTGTGTCTCTTGATAATTCAGTGTTTTCCATTTTTGCACGGTATAGGCCTACATGTACTTAAACTTAAGGGATTGGCAATGATGAATGAGTGAATACTGCCGCAATGAATTGGGAAAAGAAAATGGAATCGTCTATTGACCTTTGACCGATGAGGGCGTGCTTACCTTGACATGATCTCCCATCAGGCATCAGGATGTTGCCAGGGGGACAGTCGCAGCGATAGGTGCCGGGGACATTCACGCATGCGTGTTGGCAGTCATGTGACCTGGAATTCTGACACTCGTCAATGTCTGCACAGCAAATGAATCAAAATCGAAAAAGTTTAACAGAACGACAAATTTTGGCCTGAGATTGATGAATATCACATCTGAAAGTAGACTTCGGCCTATTAAGTGCAATTTAGCAATTTCGTTTTCAATGTTAAGCGTATTTCTTTTTGACTTCATGTCAAATATGGAAAAATAATGGTCACCTTCACAGCTGTGACGGTCAGCGGCGAGTCGGTACCCAGACGCTGTACATCTACAGTTATAGGAACCCCACGTATTGGTGCACTGTCCCTGGCAGGGATTGGACTCCACACACTCGTTGCGATCTATAAATCACGGTTTCAAATGACACAAATCAGTGAAAATGATTAGTTTCAGAAAAGGAAATTATCATGCCTATAAGCGGACAGACAAAAAGATGTACGATTATAAAGTTATTTTTTGACAATTCAAAAATCGCAATTTTCACTGTGGCATGTAAAACGGCAGTTATAAAAGTACACCTAATTTCGACGAGTTTCGGCTCTTCAAATTCTTATACGTTTTTGGAGAAACGACTATTGAGTTACATAACCTTACAACATTCAACATTATTCCTCATAAAGATTCACATATAAAACACAGAATTTACTACTTTTATTACCTTCCATTTTAGCCGAGCATAATTTATACGTGAGGAAAATACCACCCAAAAAATCGAAACAGTAATCCCAGCAGATAGGTAGTTATGCGTCTAAAGAAACTCCAACTAGAAAGCCTCATGGCTGATTGTTAATTTTGAAGTCCCAACTTACCGACGCAACTGGCACCGTTGGGAGCGGGCTTATAGCCTCCAGCGCAGGTACATATCTTGACGCCGTTGGGTTGGGAGCAAGAAGTGGAGTATCGCCCGCAACTGCATGGTATTTCTACCAAAAGAACAATTGTCTTTCAGAACTTGTCGTCACTGTTTAACTCAACTTTAAACTTATCTTTTTTTCCTCGAAATCGTTGAAACAAGAATACCAACCAGGTATCGGGTAATTAGTTATTCGACACACGGACGATAGAAAAGCAGTATCAAGAGATTTCGAAAATGGATTATGGATTTTTGTAGTGCATACCACAAGCAACTATAGCTAGACCTACATGGCATTTTTTTCAGTAACATTTATTTCCATCAAAAGCAAAGCAAAGGCATTATGCGAACAGTAACAAGTTGTATTAGGACGGAGGCATGGTTTTAAAAAGCCGAAGCTAATAGATACATGCCTATACTTAAATGCGAATCTGGAAAGAAAACGATTTCAAGGAATTTGAAGAAAATCAGACAACCAGTAGACAAATATGAAACCCAACAATAACCAATGACAGACTGACCAACATACAGACAACAGGGGTCAAAGACATTACATAACAATAACACTTAATAAATAATACGAGGAAATGTGGAGCAAATTATACATGCACGGTAAAAAAGAACTTTTCGTACTTATCAGCCATTATCTAATCTTTAATCTTCGAATGATTGCAAGAAGAACTCAACACCAAGAATTGAGTCATCACTTTGACAGACAGAAGGATGTCAAAGAACCGCCAAAAGAATTTCAGAAACAGAATGAATAATTTTGTGTAGGATTTATTGTTTACTAAACGAGTCATCATTTTGCTAGACAGAAAGATGACAAAGAAGCGCCAAAGGAATTTCAAAAACATAGACTGATTTTTGTGTGTGTGTAGGATTTATTATTGCTTCATCAATTGAAGATTCAATCAACTTGTTTTGTTTGCTACGAGCGAGTGGATGTAGGCCTATTTTTCTGAAACTCATTAAAAAAGTCTCCAATTTCCAAATACAAGTATACCCATGCATATAACGAAAGACTGTTTCCATAAATTACCTTCGCAGGAACGTCCATCAGCGGCGAGGCGAAGCCACCTCTGTGGGCAAGAGCAGCGGTAGGAGCCCTGGGTATTATAACACGCCGCCTGGCAGTCGGCTAGACTATTCCCGCTCTCCTGACACTCATCGATGTCTGTTGGGAAAATCAGACATTATCAGAGTTGTGGTTTAAGAAAAAATGGAGAGGAAGGGCTTAGGCCTATAGGTTAAACAACTAGACAAAAGAGGAATAAAGAAAAGGGAAGTGGACAATAGAAGTCATCCTAATACTAGGAGACAGTAGGATTAGAGCCAAAAAGGGCCAGGAAAACAGGCAAAAGAATGGACCCCCAAAAAGGTTGTTCCATCGTCATGCGATACCAAAGTGAGCAAAAAGTAACACAAAAAAGACAGCACTATTTCTAGAAACCCCAACTAGAAAGCCTCATGGCTGATTGTTAATTTTGAAGTCCCAACTTACCGACGCAACTGGCACCGTTGGGAGCGGGCTTATAGCCGTCAGCGCATGTACATATCTTGACGCCGTCGGGTTGGGAGCAAGAAGTGGAGTATCGCCCGCAACTGCATGGCATTTCTACCAAAAGAACAATTGTCTTTCAGAACTTGTCGTCACTGTTTAACTCAACTTAAAACTTATCCTTTTTTCCCTCGAAATCGTTGAAACAAGAATACCAACCAGGTATAGAGTAGTTATTCGACACAAGGACGATAAAAAAGCAATATCAAGAAATTTCGAAAATGGATTATGGATTTTTGTAGTGCATACCACAAGCAACTATAGCTAGACCTACATGGCATTTTTCAGTAACATTTATTTCCATCAAAAGCAAAGCAAAGGCATTATGCGAACAGTAACAAGTTGTATTAGGACGGAGGCATGGTTTTAAAAAGCCGAAGCTAATAGGGGAATGCCTATACTTAAATGCGAATCTGGAAAGAAAATGATTTCAAGGAATTTGAAGAAAAACAGACAACCAGTAGACAAATATGAAACACAACAATAACCAATGACAGACTGACCAACATACAGACAACAGGGGTCAAAGACATTACATTACAATAAGACTCAATAAATAATACGAGGAAATGTGGAGCAAATTATACATGCACGGTAAAATAGAACTTTTCGTACTTATCAGCCATTATCTAATCTTTTATCTTCAAATAATTGCAAGAAAAACTCAACACCAAGGATTGAGTCATCACTTTGACAGACAGAAAGATGTCAAAGAACCGCCAAAAGAATTTCAGAAACAGAATGAATAGTTTTGTGTTGGATTTATTGTTTACTTAACGATTCATTATTTTGCTAGACAGAAAGATGACAAAGAAGCGCCAAAGGAATTTCAAAAAAATAGACTGGTTTTTGTGTGTGTAGGATTTATTATTGCTTCATCAATCGAAGATTCAATCAACTTATTTTGTTTGCTACGAGCGAGTGGATGTAGGCCTATTTGCTGAAAACTCTGTATTTGGTGTCTCCAATTTCCAAATACAAGTATACCCATGCATATAACGATGAAGCGAAAGACTGTTTCCATAAATTACCTTCGCAGGAACGTCCATCAGCGGCGAGGCGAAGCCACCTCGGTGGGCAAGAGCAGCGGTAGGAGCCCGGGGTATTATAACACGCTTCCTGGCAGTCGGCTAGACTGCGATTCCCGCTCTCCTGACACTCATCGATGTCTGTTGGGAAAATCAGAGATTGTCAGAGTTGTGGATTAAGAAAAATAATGGAGAGGAAGGGCTTTGGTTCACCAATTGGACGAAGAGGAATAAAGAAAAGGGAGGTGGACAGTAGAAGTCATCCTAATACTAGGAGACAGTAGGATTAGAGCTTCAAAGGGCCAGGAAAACAGGCAAAAGAATGGACCCCAAAACGGTTGTTTCATCGTCATGCGATACCAAAGTGAGCAAAAAGTAACACAAAAAAGACAGCACTATTTCTAATAGTTAGGAGGACTGAGCAAATATCTAATATTGCAAAAATATTAGCAGACCTAGTTACGTTTATAACTGGCCGGTTATTTTGGGATGAACCTTTAGGGCTAATGTGAAATCGAGAATTGTTCACGAAAGCTTAAAATTGGCTTGCAATAATTCTTTGCCGTCATCTGACATCTGTCACCCCTATAACATTGCGTTAACTTACCGACACAGCTTGTCCCATCCTCAGCGGGTCTGTAGCCCTGAAGGCAGGTGCAGATTTTCTGGCCGTCGGGCTGGGAGCAAGTGTCGGTGCCAGCGCCGCAGCTACATGGCTTTTCTAGATTAAATACATCAATAAGAGCTGGTAACATTGGGTCAGCAATTGGTTTTGTCGAGACGTTTTACTAACTTATTTCTACTTATTTCCGTAATTATACAACTCTGTCAAAGTCTAAATTAGGTTGCTCTGTCTCGAACATTTCTCTAAGTTGTTTTTTTTTCATCCAAGAGTACCTTCGCAGGTCCGTTTGTCTGCTGCGAGACGGAGCCACTCCTGTGGGCATAGGCAATAGTAGGAACCCACTGTATTACGACACGCTGCCTCGCAGTCGGCTAGACCGTCCCCGCTCTCTCGGCACTCATCAATGTCTGTTGGGAAATCAGAGATTTAAAACATCAGTTTTCATATCTTGTTACGTTAAACAATACAAGGATCATGTCTTGCAGACACAAGATAATGAACGAAAACAGCAGTAAAGCTACACTGACTTAAACTTTGATGAAGTCTTGAGTTCTTTTCTGCTCCTTGAGAAACCTTGGAAATGAAACTTACCATTGCACTCAGTGCCATTGGAGCTGGTTCTGTACCCCGGGGCACATGTGCATTTCTTTAGTCCGTCAATCTCCTTGCAGCCAGTCGAGCCACTACCGCAGTCGCATTGGGGTGCTGAAATCACAAATGAGGGGAAATATATAGATTGGTTCAAAACGAGGGGTAAAATTCATATGAAGTGAGGCTTGTTTGTGATGTTTGTGGCGATACTGTTGGGTTGACGTTTGGAGATCATAGGTTAGGTGAAGTGATGGATTGGGTGAGTTGGGACGTCGTGCAGTGGGTTTGATTGACATCAGTTGGGATGGGTGGGTTTGGAAGGGTTGTATACTACTGCGAGAGCGGTTGGGTTGGGATGGGATGGGTTGGGTTGGGTTGGGTTGGCTCGGCTCGGCTCGGCTCGGCTCGGCTCAGCTCGGCTCCGGTCGGGTTGGGTCGGGTCGGGTCGGGTCGGATTCAGTTTCGTAGAAACTTACCTAGACAGCGGAAGCCATCCGTGCTTGCCTCGTATCCCGCAATACATCGACACCTTTCAGCAACACCCCATGCGTGCACGCATTTACCGTGTTCGCCACAGTTACACCTACCTTGGTTCTCTGAATAAGACAATATGCACAATGGTAATCACAATGCTTACTGATACAATGAATTGTGAATACAGAGAGTATAAATCAACCAATTAACCTCAGAATAAATTAACTTTTTCTCTTCTTCTTTTTGCTCCAAGTTAGGCAGGCACACTTCAATTCATTTACACACTGCAGAGAATTCAGATAATTATTCTTGTCTTTGTTTCTTGTTTGTCCACTTATGTTTGTAAATTGTTTTGTTTGTTTGCCCTGGCATGGCTATTAGCCTTTGGCTCCTGCACGTCACCATAATGTAGTTTTTAATAATTTATTATTTGTTAACGAGTCTTAGATGTGTGTATTATTTACATTCCTTGTTGGTTAATTTCATATATTTTTGTTCCTACACCCAGTTTGTCATTGATGTTATTCATTCACAGACTCATTGCTCATTTTGTATAGTAATCAGCAATACTGAAATAAATGTTTTGTATGAATGAATGAATGAATGAATGAATGAATGAATGAATGAATGAATGAATGAATGAATGAATGAATGAATGAATAAATGAATGAATGAATGAATGAGTCATCAGACAGACAAGATAATTATCAAAATAACTCACGTATACAAGAGGTTTTGTTGGGCGCCAAATTGTAGCCTGAGTGACAATAGCAAACAAAACTTCCCGGGGAGTTGTAACATATGTGCTGACAGGGTCTTTTGCCAACGTTAGTTGAACACTCGTCGAAATCTAGAGGGAAGACCGATCGACACAAACAACAATAGTTCAAAGCTATCTCGTTTGTGTGATGTACAAATCCACTGTATCGCCTCATGGAGGAAGGATAATAATTCCTCTGTGTTTATGCGTGTAATCTGGACACGTTGTTTTTTTGTCTTCAGATTCGTAAACAAGACTCCTGTGAAGTCCCCACGAGTCAATAAAAGTCAAACTGACCTACAAGTTATTATTCAGTCTCATGTTACGTCGCAGAAAAAAAGTCGTTATTTTGTCATTATTCATGTATAAACCTGACTTGTGATTGACTTGTGACTAACTCTTGATTGACTTACGATTGACTAGATTAAAACTCTGACTTTTCTCTGTGCACCAATTTCACTTGTATAAGCATCCTGAGATTTCAACCAGTGGTCAGAGATAGCGGCAAGGTCTTTGATCAGTTTCCGGTAACAAAACTCTAAGCTCGTGCCGTTCGCATCATGGTTGCCATCGTCGTATAGCTGGGCCAGAGACACATTTTGCCAATCTGATTGCATTTATGTATTAAGAAAGAAATCCATCAATGGTTTATTCAGCAGAGTCAAAGTTAACTATAGAATGACTGTAAAGCCCCGAAAAAGGTGGGAAGGTTAACAATAATGTGTACCTTGGCATGTCTTGCCGTCTGAAGCTAGTTTGTACCCGTCCCGGCACGAGCAAATTGCGCCGTGATCTCCGTTCCTGCATATCTGTTGGCAGCCGCCATTTTGATGACCACAAGTAGCTGTAGCAAAGAGGCACGAGAGAAAGGGACATTCTTCATCTCATTAGGTATGTTGTGAGGTCTCTTACTTTTTCTCCAGTGTTGTTTGGAACTAGACAGCATATTCTGTAAATTGTCAAATTATTCTTAATGTTTAATTTATTTGAATGGCTTTTGAGGGACATTTTGTGTTGACCATCAGGGAACTAATTTGTAGTGGAGGATTTGCCCTTCTCCGACGCAATGCTTGTAAGCACTGTATTCTCTTTGCTAAGCTTACTCGGCTGAAACCCAGGACTTCCTGCATACTATAGTTCAGATAATTGTGTTCACCACTCTATACCACCAGCTTACCCAGGTCGGCTAGCCGGTTCGAATCTTATAAAGCAGCCATTTCTGCTGTGACGGTAGTTGTAAACATCTATAGCATTTTATCAAAAGAACGTAGGCTACTTACATAGGCAATTTGGTAGTGTTCCAACAACGTTGCCAGCAGAGCAGTACACTGCATAGTTGGCTGGGTGCAAGGTAAAGCCATAGTGACATCTGTAAGTGATAGCGTAAAAGAAGTTTCTGGACGCATCATCATATTTATTTACATACACAGGGTTGTAGGCATTCTCTACTCTGGGTGCACCAGCACCACATCGATCGCCTTTCAGTACCAAGGCAGGATAGCCGCCGCTCTGCAACTGACAGGTTGGTAATGTCCCGTTCCACACCCGGCCGTTGCAGAAGAGCACCGAGGAACCCCTTATCTCGTACCCAGACTGGCACTCGATCTTCAGCATTGCTCCTAAATGCTTGATGTTGATGATGCCGTTCTGAACAGCTGTAGTCCTCGGCACGCGACAACCCTGGCCTGGTTTGGGAAGAAAACAATGACTCTTCATTTCTGACTTAAGTCAACGAAAATTCATCTTTGAAGTATTTGTGCCAAGATGAATGACTTTGTGTCCTATACAGCGTAGTTTTCCACAGGTAAAATCTGTTAATTAACACAGGCAATTAAGAATGAGAGCTGAACCCGACAACAAAATCTTCGAATAAAGAGGCCATTTGGCTTTTTTCGGGTGGGGGGGGGGGCTGACAGAGAGGGGATAAGCTATTTCAGAATAATTTCAGTTTCTTTTTCCATTTTGACTTACGTATGCACACTGGAGGAGATCCGATCCACTGCCCATCCGCACCGCATCGTATGTTCTTAACACCAAGTCTCGCCTTGTAGCCCTCATGACACGTGTAGGTAACCAGTCCGCCTGCGCCTTGCGTCACTTGTGCGTTCTCGATCCGGGGTGCCTCCCCGCACGTCACCGCTCGCACGCATCGCGATAGCTGGTTGCGCCAGCGCGTACCGTCGCAGTAGGTCACCGTGGACCCGGGGTCCTGGGGCTCGAACCCGGCGTGGCAGCGGTGCCAACGGACCGTTCCTCCGTTGTATCGATTCACCGAGGAGAATGGTACGACGGGTGCGTCCTCTTCCGAGCATCCCCCAGCTGATAACCCAAAAAAAAAATTCATGTTGACTTTGTATTGTTATCAGTTTTTGTTAGTTTGGCAACAAAAATATGATGACAAAAAATCAATGAAGAGATACGAAAGGTTACGGATTGAAAATTTCTTTGTAAATTTTATCCCAAAAACTCGAGCGCCGGGTTAAAATAAACATAGGCCTACTGCTTAGCAATTTGTGCGATAAAACATGCATCAGCTGAGATTTTATAGTCACATCGTGTAACAATATTGAAAGGAATGGCTGGTATGGTAACCTGTTTCAGCTGAGCATAATTATATTCTGTGCTTCGCAATTTCTATGCTTAAGGCCTCCATGAAAGCTGCCCAAAGGCATAACTGAGGCCTATTGGCAAATATATTTTAGGTGGGAAAGTGGTTAATTTGACGAACAGTCAACAGCCCTGAGTGTGATCCATTCATGTCGCTTTCCTATTATGAGCACTTTACCACATTCCCGTGCAAAAAAGGTAACACCAGGAAGTAAAATGAAACCAACAGGCGTTTTTTTCACATTTCGAACTGGGTTTAGTTATCGCTCATCTCAAAACAAGATGTTAAACTTTGCATAAATTTATAATATTGATTTTTGTTTGGATGAAATAAATGCCAGCGAACTGATGATACAATGAAAGCAGGTGCACTCGCCAAAGTCCCATGTAAGATTCGTCCCTAAATATGGATCAGATTTGAAAGTGCACTCTTCTGGGTGAAATAAACAAACCATTTTTGGTGTCAAAATGACATTTTCTTTATCAAAAGGACAATTATCATGTCAAAATGACAACTTTTCCGGGTTGCGGTTAAATGGCAAGGAAAAGTGGCTTGGAGAAGTGTAACTTTTTAACATAAAGAAAATGTCAAGTCAATATCCAAACTTGACCCGAATCCGGATCGAATCTGTACGGGACCTTCTGAAAAATGGGACATGTTTTCACCGTGTAACCTATCTTTGACATTTCACTCATACTCGTGGTAATGACAAGATAATAGTCAAACTTACACCCAGCCGATTATATAGCTGAAGTTCCGGTGGCGGTCAAAAAAAATATTTTTTTTTAAGCATGTACCGACGCTGACGAGATTTCTTACCCGAGCAGACCGGTGTGCTGCCGTCCCATCTCCCATCCTCCCGGCAGTGCCTTTCACGACTACCGAACATGTAGATGTGGTACCCCTCGTCACACGAGTACGAGACGGACGCGCCGTGGTTGTAGGCCTCATAGCTGCCGTTCTCGATGCCGGGCGGCTGGCCGCATGGGGGTCTGTCATTCTCCCCAGAATCAATTGGGTCTGATGCGTAAAAACAAAAACAAATTATGCCACAAAATAAACCTTCTAAAAAACAAAAATTTTGCAGAAAAACATGTCTGCCCACGGCTAGTGATTGACGAAAATGTTTCAATGCTGATTCTATGTTTCAGTGCTGATTCTATTGAATTAAGATTTATAATTATAAATATGATCAGCCTCAGAGCCCCGTGGAAGACCACATTATATGTGAGCAGGCTACCTTGATAAAAAATCAGAAATAAATAAATAAATAAATAAATAAATAAATAAGATTAAGATTTCCAATAAAGTATTCGTGTATTCCTCATCATCTTTAACGCATACACCTTGAATACCATGGCCAGTATTATATGTGTGGGCATTCACTGGCAAAACATTCATACATGCAAGCAACAAAATAGACAACCGGTTAGACAGCTTCAGACACATGGATAGAGATGTTAAAAACATGGTTTGTTCAAGCAAAACGTCGAGCATTTTGCATGCGGGTGCATGCTGACATGATCGGAGAGATGAGTAGGTGTGTCCCTAGGAAAGTCACTTTGCTCCAATATACTTTTTTCCACCGATAAATTCGTACTCTGTTGTTGTTACATGTATAAATACTAATCGGGTGATCACATTAAGAAGACATTACCGCGAGGTACATGACATAGTAACCTCACTAATCTTGCGCGCAGGTCGCTTGTATACGGCAACCCTATCGGGTATACTAGAGGGACTAGAGGTAAAAGTGGGGACTAGAGGTAAAATTGTGGTATTAAATAATGTAAATATTTTATTACAGACTTCAAACTCGATAAGTCGGCATACTATATATAATAGCATATAATCATGGGCGTCGCCGGCATTTATTTTCTAGAGGGGGCAAAGCTCTCAAAACCCTTGTACTTTCTGTAGCATATTCTCAATTATCAATTTTGCGAGGGTGGGTGGGGGCACATTTGCCCACCCCATCCCCATCGACACCCCAGCAGACGCCCATGTTGTTAAATGTGCATTAGATTCACAGCAATATGACTTCGCACCTCTTCGCATAAAATAAGCGAAAAGTTGAGGAGCTGTAAAAGGCCTGCCCGTTACCAATTACACTATGCACACTGTGCCGGAGCACGAGATAGTCCGGATTTTTTTTTTTGGGGGGGGGGGGGGCTTACAGACAATTAAGCCTAATTAGGCAAAAAGCCAAATCCTTAAAGCTTATTAACAATGGTCAGATTCTTATAAGGGTGACTCAGTAATTAAAACCATAGATGATACAGGTTGGCAGCAAATACATCCTGCTGAAAAACATGTTCCTTAAAAGTTGAAGCAGCCCATCCCACCCCCCTCCATCCCACTTCCCGGCGCCACCCCTTAGATGTGCCACTGAGTCGAATACCACAAATAAAAATGTAGCGCATACACAATGCTTACAAGATAAGGGAAGAAGACAGTATGAGCCAACTGCTTACCGTTCTGTGCTGTGACCAATCGGAGCCGTGTTACGAGGCAGACAGCGACCAACATCACAAGACAACCCCGCCACGCCATCCTTAACCCTTAGTTCCACGAGTATCCACACAGTTTCGAAATATCCTCTCGTGAAAAACTCTCTCTCTAAACAGTTCTTCAGACTGGACTGGATCAGTATGCGACGCCACAAGCCAAGAGCACAAGCCTTACAGTGGTGACAAGGAGAAAATACCGAGAACACACCAGCTTTCACTTTGTGCATGCTATGGGCTGTTACGGTATGTTGGCAAAGTGACATGCCAGCAAACCCGGAACTTTACCAGAGTGAGAGACCACCGGAAACTAGGGATCACTACAAGGGCAGCAGCACGAGAGGCTCGTGTAGGCGTGCACAGACCGAGACCTTGATGAGAGGTTGGTCCACGAAGCACCAACCGTGCACGCCGGTCGCTTAGTAAACAGCTGGTATTTATACGGATGTTGAAGTTCTTCACCATACTTGCTTCTTATCGCTGGACTTAACATTTCTGAAAGAGAACATCAGCCCGAGATTGGTAGAGATAGCTAGTATTAGTTGGACAAAATACCCTGGTAAGTTCAATTTATTGGAACTTTGATCGGTAAGAATGTGCAAGGGTAAAATAATTTTAATGCGAAAAACACATAGGCCCTATGGTGCTAATAAGTGGGGTAAATATTAAGGAGAGGCTCGGGGGATCCCCTCCGCCCTCCCGTTTGCGGAACTTTGCCCGTTCCTGTGCCTTCACTCAGAATTTAGTTCCCTTTCCAGGAAATAAGGACCTCCTGAAGTACCTCCTTGCAAAATGGACCCTAATACGCCACTGGCGCATAATTATTGCTGTACTGGTAACTGCCTTTATAGCCTTAACAATAAACATCAAAAATATTGTTTGGTATAAGAAGAAATTAAAAATCGTTTTTCCTGTTATATGATCAACTTGCATATTTAGTCCATTATTATCAAATATCAGCTTCATATTATACGCAGAATTCTGTTTAATCAAATATAAATTATAATAGTCATCTGTGCCTTCGCTGATGTTGTTGCTGTTTATGTTGAAAGCAAGAAAAATACATAAACTGTTTTGTCTTCCCCCGTGCATGACACGGTTGTTCACTTTTAGTAGGAGCTCATTCATGTAGAGTCCATTACCATAAATGACACCTAGACCCCGCTTGTCAGTTTCATCTGTGTTTCTCTTTTCTCGGTCCAGACCATGGCAGCGCAGGTGGCTGTCATTCTAGCTTGCCTCCTGCTGGCTCCGCGTGCGTCCATGCAGCAGCAGGCTGGCATCTTGGAATCCGCCTTGAGCCGCGACTACCCGCACGGCAAGTCCGAGCTGGTCTTCCTGCTGGATCGCTCGGGCAGCATCGGCGCCGACGACTTCGGCGTGCAGTTGTTCTTCGTGGAGAGCCTGATGACGGAGTTCAGCATCGGCCCTGACGCCACCCGGGTGGCGATCGTCAGCTACAGCGACGATGTGGTGAGTTTTACCGCGCGTGTGTGGTGGGCTGGGGTGGGTCCAATGGCCCGCAGGGTTGGCCCGTATATACACAGCGAAAGGCTCGTGGTTATCCTCGCTGATGCGGTTGGCCGGCTGCTTTGCCAGTTGCCCCGCGGCCTGGTTCAACAAGTCGGTTGGCCAGTTAGTCGGTTAACTTTTGGCCGGTTGGCTGGTTGGCTGGGTTCGCTGCAGCTAACTTACTGGTTGGCTGCCTTGCCGGTTGTCCCGTCGGTTGGTTGGGAAGGTGGTTGGTAGGGGTTCAGCTGGTTTTCTCGCGTACAGGTCGATCGTCAAGTTGGTCGGTTTTCCGGTTGACCGGCGCGGTTGGCTGGTTGGCAGGTTGTTCAGGTGGTCAGTTCAATTATCCGGCTGGCCAGAAAGTTAGCAGATTGGCCAGCTGACGGCTAGCCATTTTAGTTAGCCAATTTTGTTCCCCTTGTTTGGTAGTAACAAAACATGTCTGCTAGGCCGGTTGGCCAGCTAAGTGGCCGGTAGCCCATTGATTGATCGGCTTTTTAATGTTTTGCTAGTTCCCCGACAGCAGGCCAGCTCGCCTGCCGACTGGCCGGTTTACCGGTTGGTTTGCCGGCAGGGCATGTTGACTACAAATGACTGGCTGCCTCCTCCCCACGGACTACGCGTCTTTAATGGCCAACTCATTTATACGACACTAATAGTTTACGGTCATTTTGATCTTAAATCGCGCATTGTTTTAATTGCAAAAATATCAAATAATACAGACACGATTGTGCACAACACAATACCGGATCTCATAATGATTTCAAAAATTAACTCATAAAATTAATGATATCAATACATGTACATGACATTTAAACCTCAATACCACAACATTCTGGACTGATATTACGACTGTACACAATGGTAAACCAGTTTAGCAATCAAGACATCAGGATTAGGCTATATTCGTAAAGAATCACCGCAATGATATATGTCAGTGGATGTTCGTACAATTGTGTTTGTTCGTTTGTTTTGCTTCCGACAGACTCGACACATCGACTACATTTCAGGCGAGTCGGGCAACAAATGCACTTTCCTGTCGGCCATGAAAGCCGTGAAGTACACCGACGGCAGCAGCACCGACACGGCCAAAGCCTTGCAGGAGGCCAGGGAGATACTCGTCCACAGCCGACCAGATGTTAAACCAGTGAGTGGTTGGCTTATACTTGGTTTTATTTTCCCAGAAACTAGTTAATTCCTTTATCAAAAAAATCAGTGGCGTTTCGGTTGTATATTTCCTGGCCCATGTTTTCATGGATCGACACATGGTTTGCAATTATTATTGGTATTAAATGGTTTGCCGTTGGATCGACAGATCGATGTATTTGTTCAGCATTAAAAGGTGCATGTTAATCATTACAAGCACTACATGTATAGTACAATTTAACAATCAACCAGTCAATACGTATATAGGCCTAACTATAAAAAGTCCGGATCCACAGGTCTGAATAATCTCAACCAAGAAGCAAATTTCATCTATCGATTTGCAGTCAACTGACGAACCCTTTAATGTATAAGTTTTGAATTTGTTGACTTGGGTTTTGTCAGCGTATGGTGACTTATGATTTGAGTCGTGAATGATGTGCGATTTGGCTAGAAATTAACTTATGATTCGACAAACGATCAAATTGTGACCGACTTGCATTGACGTGTGATTGATAATGATATTGATCGACAACACTTTTGCAATCAACACAATGTATCTTGTTTTCTCTCTCTCTCTCCCTTGTAGGTGGTGATCCTAATGAGTGACGGCATTTCCAACACGGGCGACAACCCGGTGACCGTAGCCAACCAGCTCAAGGCAGATGGGGTAGAAGTCTTCACCATCGGCGTGGGGCTCCTGGTTCGAACCCAGCTCGAACGGATCGCCTCGACCGGCGACCACTACTTCGCCTATCACAGCTTCGATGATTTCGAGAGGCTGGCTTTACGGGTTCGCGGTGGTTAGTTCCAGTGATTTTTTTTAATATCTTTGAAGTTCGCAACAACAAAAATTCAATCCAAGCGGTATAACGCCAGTTTGCTTAACAGTTCATTGGAATTACCAATTTCTAGATATAACACTTGCGAGTTCACAATATTAACTCTGGCTGTCTTGCATGAAAGTCCTGCATGAAATCTATCAAAATGGACCCTGCCAGAGCTTAAAATATGCGACGCCCAAAAATGCGACGCTGATGGCACATATGGAACACCATATTTCCGTTTTATAACTGGATTTATAGCGATTCGTGATAAATACCACGCGACTATAACATTACTGCACATATTTTTACTTCATTTACCAACTTTTGATAAACATCATTCCGAATTGTTACAAACAATATTTGTAAGTATTAAATTAATTTGTTTGCTTTGTCTTGAAATAACAATTTGGCAGTCATAATTTTATGGAAAACTTAGGGCGGGCTAATTTTCCGGGGACCGACCGACCGAACGACCACCAAGTGACATGTAGAAGCTCCTACCAGAGCTTAAAAACAACATTCTGTAAACTTTGTTGGGAGGAGGGAAATGCAGGTATTTTGCAAACGTAAGGGCAGATCCAGTATGCAGGGGAAGTCAGCACTTACTTTCAAACACTACAAAGAAACTGTTTTATTATCCCTAAACCATTGTGAAAATTTGTTGAAATTAGAGGATTCGGATTTTTAGTGTAATATTCTCCGAATTCTAAGTGGAATCTAACCGACTTGGTGTTTCCATGTTCCTTTAGACCCACATGAAACTATGTTCGACGACTCCGTGAACCAGACTCTGTGTGATAGTCTCTGCCACCAGCCGTTCCCCGAGGCCGGCTACGGCTGTTGCGATCTGACCGCCAAGTGCACGTGCTCGCTCGTCGGTGGACGTCACGCCTGCGTCTGCGGGCCCGGCACGTACGGACGCAACGGCTTCTTGTACCAATGCAAACGTAAGTGTATTCTATTGTCTTAATATGTTTTCAACTGTCAATCAGTGTCATATAATGATTCATGTTTTAATAAGGAAATAAATGTGTGCTTGGCCGGTTATCAACACTATGTATAAGACCGGTTTGGAGTCTGGACGCTGATAATAACCCGAGCCGGAAAAAAATACCTTTTCGGACAAAAAGTCAACACTTTTTGGTCCAACAGACAAAACAAATCAACAATTATAGATTTCCAACGATTTTGTTCAACAAGTTTACTTCATCTTTTTCGAAAACACCCCTCTAGCTAGCTATGTTATGGAATATGCCTCTAGCGATAAAGTTTGATAAAGACATTCATTTCCTTTTAGGCCTACTTGTGATAACGACTTGTGTCTTCACTAAAGACATGAGGTTGACTTGTGATCTTGAAATAAACCTAATCTTCTTCAAGGGCGCAAACTTAATATACAACTGCCTTATGCTGACTTTCGATGAGTTTGTGCGGAGAAATATCAGGATCGTCATCAAAGTTGGACGGCGTTCAAAGCACGTAGGACCGCGGAAGGACCCTGACACGGTGACCCAAACGGTCTGTTTTCTCAACCACCGGTGATAAGACCGAGATTATGAGGGGGTTTTCCCCGTAGCTTTAATCCCCACGGAACACGCTAGCTCCGGTTTCCGCTAACGAGTTTCCTGCGATAAACAAACATGATCAAACCTGCAGAATGTACAGTCGATCGATTTACCATGAAGTTGAGAACTCACAAGAGAATCACGCCATGTAAAGTTTTAGATGGCGAAAACATCTGGTGATTTTACTGCTGATATTAAAGGAAACAAGCATGTGTTTTTGATGGATGGATTATCGTATGCCGTCCAGGTACACAGGAACACTTTTATTTATTGTGATCAAAACCATGAACCCACTGAGAAAGTGCTTAGAAAAATAAAGGCTGTGTTTCCAGCATTGGATATTTGTTACTCATGAAAAAAATGGCATATTTACGAGATGGCACATTAAATTATCTTTACTTAAAATATTATCTAGTGTGATAATCGGGTAGTGGGTGCTTCAATGTGTGTTGTTGTTATTTGCTCAGTGCGTTTTTATTGAGAGAGAGAGGGAGAGAGTAGTATAGTGTGAGCCTTTCACACCCGAGTTTGCAAGGTACTGCCTTTGCAAAGCAATAAATCCTTCAAAAAAAACGTTGTAACTACATCTTTTCACTTATGTTTTTTTATGCAATAGAGTATAAACTCAGTTTTACTTCCTGAAAACCGTTAGCGGTAAAAAAAAATTAGAGTTTCTGTCGATTTCAATTTTGACAAGATTTGTTAAAGGTCTTGTCCCTGAAAAGTTGCTCTGGTGATGTGAAACGCATATTGATGGCAAGGTTGCATTTTTTGTCGTTTCTATACCATTTCAGTGTGCCCACGCGGAACTTACAAGTCCACCTACGAGCCCACGGACGGATGCACTCCGTGCCCACCTGACTCGACCACAGCCGCTGAGGGCAGCAAACTCCTAGGAGCGTGCTTCTGCAAGGAAGGCTACGAGGGGGATCCCATGCGTGAAGAGTCCTGCAGGCGTAAGTGGGAATTTTGAATTCCGGTGGTCGGGTTTTTTTTCAGGTGAAGTTGCCGCGTTCTCAAAGAGAGTATCAGGTTGAAGCTCTAAGATGCGGTGACGGACTAGGGAGAAGAGGCTCGTAAAATTCATGTCATGGTCTAATACAAACCAAACAGGTGCCGGTGTGTGGTACTCCCTCACCCTATCACAATGTTTCCGTAAAATGAAGACAAGGCAAGTCAAGCTTGTTCCAGAGCGAAACATTTCTGTTCAAACGATTCCGAATAGCTATTCACTTGAAGCCTCCCGTGCTTGAGGCCTACGCGATGGGCAGGATTTAATAATAATAATGTAAAGCTCATATAGCGCTTTATACTAAAGGTCTCAAAGCGCTTCACAATCATTATTACACCTGTTCATCAGGCCTTGGGACCATTTTTTGCAGCAGCTCGAGATCAGCGCATTCTGGTCTCTACCTTCACATGTACGCATTTATACTCCTGGGTGGAGAGAGGCAATTGTAGTAAAGTGTCTTGCCACAGAACACAAGCACCATGTTCCCCCCGTCAGGGTTCGAACCCACGTACCACGTCACGGGCAGCGCTCCACAGCGGCAATTTATTGGCGTTAAATTTGTACGGGGGTAACAGTGTTTCAAACTCTTGGGACGAGATGAGACCCCAGCTTGGCTAGTTCACAAGTGATAGCCAGTGGCTAAATCAGTATGGTACAACGAGGAGTATTAAATGGCCGAGCAAAAAATCATGAATGAAAAAACATGACTTATTAAATAGGTGTGCATGTTACTTCCAAAAGCTTATATTTTTAAGTTGAACAGTTATGTCGACGTTCACATTCCGTATGTCCTGCAGTAATTTTTCATTGGCAACTTTTTGTCAAAGTTTTTGCACCAAGGTCGTTTCATACTCCGCGCGACAGCGAACGCAAACACAATATTGACGCTGTGGTTAAGTTCAACACATTTTGAATTTCGTTATTTGAATTTTTCGTGGCGTCAAAGTCGCTTCGCACTCGCATTCCCGAGAAGTGACAGCAGGCCTTTATTGCGATTGTGGATGTGAAACTCACCCTTTTATTGTTGTGTCAACAATCTACAGTGGTGACCTGCCCGATTTTGACGTCTCCTAGAAACGGCCAGATTTTGCCCTCCCCTTGCAGCCACAAGTACCAATCAGTGTGCTCGTTTCAGTGTGACGTCGGCTACGAGCTGGAGGACGCCGCCTCGGCCAAACGCCGATGTCAGGCCAACGGCCACTGGACAGAAACAACACAACAGTGTCGAAGTAAGATTATCTTGTAATACCAACATCCAATCAAATTACTCGTTGTTTATAAAGCATACCATGATCCAGAGTCCCAAAGTCAGGGGTCTGAACGCTCCTGAAACCAAAGCCGAGACGAGGCCGATAATTCAAAATCCCGTACAATATTGCAGAGAATGTTATTTCATAAATCAGTGACGACAATTATTTTGTAAAACCTTTATAATTACCCAATCTTTCAAATGACTAACTGAAATTAAAGTTTGAATAAGCTTTCTAAGCAACAGCTTCTTCATCGGATGCAATGAAGAGGGGCATCATCATTCAATGCGATTGTTGAAAGGACATCTTAAGCGAAACCTAATGACTGAATGCATGAGACTCGGTTGTTCAGCATTGATATTGATACTTAAGCACTCTTGATGTTGGCGTTTTTGACTTGACAGAGGTACAGTGTGCGGCCCTATCCAAACCCTCCAACGGCTTGATATCTTGCCAGAACCAGGAGGCGGGCAATCTGAACGTCTACGGCACAATCTGCAGGTCAGTGGGGTGTTAAGATGGGTGTAGTTGCTACACCTACAGAAGCCCTCGAGTCCCGCTTCTTACACTCTTTCACAGTAAAAACAACGAGGCCACAGTTTGAAATTTTGTTTTCGGTATTGATGCAAGCACATAATATAGCCTACTGTTTCCAGCTTCATTTTGTGATTATCTTATGGCAATTCATTAATGGCTAATTACTAAAGTTTGTTTTGATGTATACTCTGCAATAATTATTACTATTCCCTTTTTGTTACAGTTTAGTAAAATATTTACTTCCTTGCTTATTCACATTCAATAGCATGTATATCTGAAAAACTCCAAAATTTATGAGTACTGTCTGTTTTTGCAGGTTTACTTGTATAAATGGGTACAACCCTGCTGGGAGCCGAGAGCGTGCATGCACAGCATCCGGAGAGTGGTCTGGAGACGACTTCACCTGCAGACGTACGTATGCCGTACGCAGTGCGTAATGGTCTGAACCCTCACGTACGGACCAATCACGACACCAAATCACTTTACAATCACAATACATTCGCCATTACTGGAAGCCCGTTCCGAGACTGGCTGACCGTATAGACTGGCTTCCAGAGCTACGGCTATGTCTATTGTCCGATTTCTCTAATGTGATGGTCATGGGCAAAGACCCAAACAGTGGCTCTTGACAAGCGATATGGACACGGCCTGCGGCTATTTGGGGTCGGGGTTCGTCTGTAATAAGCTCAAAGTGTCAGTGTCAGCAAGCTTTGGCATGGTTGTAAAAACTTATGTATTACTGATTTTCTCGAATTGACATGAATCGTGTTGAACAAATAGAACAGGGAGATCCACAGAACGTAAAATAGATGGCCAATTTATTGATGTCGATTATTTTATCTCATCATCTAGCCATCACCTGCCCCATACTGCCCCCGCTTCGCCATGGCTCCATTGAGCCCTCGCAGTGCGCCACCAAGCAACGGGTTAAGTCCATCTGCATCTTTAAGTGCAAGGAAGGATTCCGCCGGGTCGGCCCGACCTTCAAGATGTGCGAGGCCAGCGGCAGTTGGTCAAGCCCTGGGGAAGAGGTTGCCTGCGTGGGTAAGTCAAAGGTCTCTAAGTCAACCAAGTTCCTGTGGGCCTGTAGATAATTCACTCATTTGCTTGACAACACTGGGGCGAGATTGATAGCTAGCAGCCATTTTGATAAGGAGACTTCATGACCTCCGGTGCGGGCCAATGGTCATTCCCTTTACTTGTAAGCTCGACCAATCAGTATGAAGGATAGTCAAGGCACAGAACAACCAGCAACCAATTAAATCTCAGTTTATGGCAGGCTGATGCCCATTTTTGTGTGTGGGTGTCTGTGTGGGTTATCCATTCAGACTGAGGACTTGGGACAATGGGGTGTGTGCGATTTCAATGGGCCCAAGGACCTGGGCACTAGTCCTCGGGAGAATTTCGTGTACAAACCTTATGGGGGCTGTTGAGAAAAAGGCGAAGTACAAACAAAAGGGAACAAAAGAAGGAAAGGGGCAGGTCCTCATGAGTACAGTAAAAACGAGCTGGGTGTGTGTGCGTGAGTATGTATGTGTGTGTTTGTGATGACGTCGAAGACTTAGTTGCCTGGTAGCCGGCTGTTGTTCCGTTTTAGCACTCCTCACAATAAAGCTTGGAACCAGCTTATGCGGTTATATCCAATGCCTATAATAATCTGGTCGTGTCAAAGCGCAGGAGATTTCTTGATTCTAACCATGCAAACGATTCTCTCTCTGCGACATTATTATAACCCCATTCATTTAACCCTTGATTTTAGATGATGTCCCGCCGGAAATAACTTGTCCAGCCTCAGTGGTCAAGGAAGCCGATCCCGGTCTTTCCTCTGCCGAGGTGAGCTGGGACATGCCGATTATTCAAGACAACCAGGACGGTACGGATGACCTGACCCTCACGGTCAGTCCGTCCGGTATGAAGCCACCCCACCGCTTTGAGATTGGTTCGGTCGTCATCACTTACACCGTGACAGACAGCGCCGGCCTCAGCTCAGTTTGCCCCTTCAAAGTGGTAGTTCTTGGTAAGAATTTCTCCATGTTAGACAACGTATGCCTATTATGTTTCCTTCAAGAGTGGTGAAGAGTGAATCAGTTCCACAAAAGAGTAATTTGGTGTGAGACAATTAGGCCTTTGAGTCTCAGGAATAGATGCGAATTGAAGTTATGTGTTGCACTGGATCGTGGGGCAATTTAAGATGTACAGTTTTCATGCGATCCAAACTGTCTCAAATTTAGCTCGACATACACGTACCTTCACCGAGCATTTCGGGTGATGTATAGGGCGGTTGGTAGATCATCGGTCACGATCCCGGTCGACATGCTGAGCATTCGTACCTATCAAGGATGCGCAGCGTCACGGCTACATCAAGCTATTTTGATAAACGGATGCCTCACATAATTCTAAGAGAACCGATTTGATTTTTTTTTCGGAATGACTCTTACCCAACAGATACACAGCCGCCGACAGTGGACAGCTGTCCTGGGCCAATTATTGACATCACCTCGGCAGACAAGGTCAAAGCTGTGACGTGGGACGAGCCCCAATTTGCCGATAATTCCAAGCAAGATCTGCAAATTGTCAAGGTACGATCAACATTGACAAACATAAGATAACATTGACAAAACATCCCTTGCGAGACCTTACTATGGGCAACCATCGTTAAAGGTGTTTCGTGGTGATCAACAAGCAAGGCATATCTAGATTTGCAGTTGGCCCGGCCTCTGTTGGTGTTGCTCTTGTTCGATTCCCAATATAGCCACCATAGATGTGGGGTTGGGTGTGTACGCGTCTTCTGACACCGACGTTTTTTTCCAGAAATTTGATTCTGAAATCTCCCTACTCGTCTACTCTCATCCAGACGGTAACTGAGAGAGGAGAAAGTAATCAAGTGCTTTGAAGTCTTACGTTATGAAAGCCTGTTCTGGTTCCTATTTTTCAGTCGCATGAGCAAGGTGCAAAACTTAGCTGGGGGACGCACATTGTGACATACACGGCTACAGACTCGGCAAGACTGAGTGCCGAATGTCGGTTTACGATTCGCCTTGGACGTAAGTTTTTACCATCACTACGACCATTTCATCACTACCACCTCTATCTTGCTCCAAGAACCCTTAACTTGTTTTTTTTTTTCTCTTAGGGAAAAGTTTATTTTTATATCCACGTTCAAGGCTGCCGCTTTTATCAGTGCCAATATATTAAGTAATACTCATGTAACCATGCGCCAGGCCTTCAACCATAAATGCTGGCAAAACCTTCCAAACTTCCCGAGGAATGTAATTTATGTCAATGCCTCTGGTTCGTGTAATATTGAAACTAACCCAATCAAGATTATAGTAAGCATATTGGACAGTACTGCTTACGTATACTACTAATAAAAGTACGTCGGCTAAACGCCAAAGGCAAAACAAATCATGAAAAGCAATTAAATCCGTTCTCGTTTTAGCTTCCAGTTGTCCGAACTACCCTGAACCGCGTAACGGTGCTAGGGCTTGTGACCAGTGGCTGTTCGGCCAATTCTGCCGGGTGTACTGCAACCAGGACTTCGAATTCGCTGAGACACCGGCCATATGGTACATCTGCTCTGGCAGCACGTGGAGAACTCAACCATCTGGAAAGACCATGCCCTGGCCAGACTGCTCAGGTGAAATCCCTCTTGATTGTTGTTATAAGCCCTTCATTTATAAGGGATACGGATTGTGGGTGACCCTGGTCTCTAAACCACCTTAATAACTGAGAGTCGGAGATCAAACAGTGTGTCGTTGTGTTGATTTCTTCCCAAACTTTCAAATTAGGGGATACTTGACTACAAACTTTGACCTTGTTTTTGAAAGAGAAGGCATAATATGACACCTGAAAAAGATCTTAAGCGTTTCTCTTTCAATTTGGTTCTAGAACGAGCTCCAGCGCACGGATCTCGACGGGGCATGTCATCCCAGTACTACGCAGGAGACTGCATTAACTCGAAGACCCAGGTAGCCATCAAGGCAGCGTTCATCGAAGACTTCAAGGACAGCATCTTTGGGAAAAACGGTGGCTGCATCAAGGAAAACTCCTGCGAGTACGTTGCATCTTTTAGCTTGAAATCATGATACGTATTTTTGTGGGGGAAGAAGAGGTATAATCAAAACATAATGTGCTGATCATGCGCGTCCTTCGCCAGGTGGCTCTTCATTAAACACTATCTGTTATTGGGCCTTTTTTGGATGCTTCCAGATAAGGTAATGTATAGTGCGTAACTGTGGGGGGGGGGGGGGGTTTGGGGGTATAGGCTTACAGGGGAAGTGGCCTTTGTGTCCGTCTGTGCGTTCAGTAGCCCTTATAGTGGCTTTTATCCTTATGACGGTGACCTCCATGTGTGTACGTTGTCTCGTACTGTAGTGCAAGATGTCTCGATATGCATTTTTGGTAACATGCACTTCCAAAATCCGTATTTACTAAAGCACGGGGTGTATTCCACAGGGTCGAGTACGTGACCGTATATTGCGGGGAAATTGACGAGAACACACGGCGACGGAGGCGCCGTGCGGCCGGCCCGGGTGACGAGACAGACTTCGCTAACGTCGTCACCTTGGATTTCACCGTAACGACTCGAATACGATCTGTGGTAAGGTGCATTCCCGAACACAGGACCCCCTTTGCATTTGTGCAAAGTGTCTGCATCCATTTCTATCAATCTGTTTTCTTTTAAGGGAACTTCCTCCTAGTATTGTCACACTTCACTTCCTTCGGGATGCAATCTTGTAGCTTGCTCATGAGGCATGTTTTTACAATCCCTAGAGTGTAGGCATTCTTCTGAAGACGATAAGAGCTACCATACCGACCAAAACGTCGAGATACCTTCATGGTACTCTTTCTTGGCCATCTCTGTTGCGGGAGTTGTTGTGGTTAATACTTTAATTCCACCCCTTGCAACTTAGCTTACGCTCCACTTGAACCAAGTCATGTTAAAAGCAAATGGCAACATTACAGTAATGAATTAATTTATATTATGAAATTATGAGTTCAATGAGTCATTGTGGTTTCTCTTTTTTGTTCTAGGACAAAACGCAACTCGAGAATCAGTTGGCTAACGCCGTGCGGACCCTGGATGAAATCAGCAGGGATTATGAGCAACTAGCCCAGGCTGGTCAGCTGCAGCTGGTGGTTGATAACCAGATCCTGCCCGTTGTAGAGGACTCGGTCTTGGTCAACCAGAGTGTTCCCCTCTGTCAGAATGGGTCCGTCGCGTTGGACGGCACTGACTGCAGTAAGTGCGCACAAGTTATCCGTAACTCGAACATTTTTGGACTTCATTTTCAATACATACGGTGGCTATCTAAGTTTGACATGGTTTTTGATTTTAATATTGGGTCCTCCTTTTGCATCGGCCATCAACATGTGGGGTTTAACTCTTTCTGGCCAAGACATGACCTTCTCGTTCTTATGTGCGCAATTGTTACCCTTCCTCAGTCAGCTGCGCCGTGGGTTCTTACTTGGACAGCAACAGGCAGGCCTGTCGAGTTTGCGATGAAGGCACGTATCAAGACGAGGACGGCCAGGATCAGTGCAAGTCGTGCCCCTGGGGTACGTGGACTGAGGGGCCCCAGGCTAAGGATGTCAGCGAATGCCGCCGTAAGTTGAGTTTGTTGGTTTATGAAAGCCTTCTTCGACATTTCAAGCCCGTAATCTAATGACTGCTTGAGCCGAAGAGACCCCAAAGACTGGTAGGAGACGCAGAGACCTCCTGATCTAGCTCGAAATACACAAACCATACGCTGGAGCTTTTGGCAGGAAATTTCACCATCTCAATGCGCAGGAACTAACGAATGTGAAGTAAGTTCGGGCATTTACTTGGCTGGAGAACATTACAAACCTGAGGAATATTTTGAGTAAATTTGGCTTCGCGGAGGGTTGAAAGGGACATGATGCAAACGTGGTTAGATTTTGAATACACTGTGCTTTGCACTGCTAGCTCGCACAGTCATGTCGCACTTGCCTCCAGGTTAAGGAAACAAGGAATATGAGAGCAGAATTCCCGATTTAGTAAATACAAAATACAAAAAGACTTATTATGTGGCTTCTCCTCTGCCTTTTGACCCCTTGTAAACAACAAACAACCTGTAGGGCTAATTCAACAACGGGCGTTCGCTACTGAGGTGAGTGACGATTACACTGGCTTGTTTTCCTTTGCAATTTTCAGCGGAGTGCAAACCCGGTACCTACTCGCCGTCCGGGCTGGCTACGTGCCGGCCGTGCCCGCGAGGCTTCTTCCAGCCAGGCTTCAAGCAGACTGCCTGCCTGCCGTGCAGGGAGGGTACGACCACGCCGGCAAAGGGATCCAGATCAGCGAGCGACTGCCAAGGCAAGCCCAAATTGGCACAGCCAGTTGTGTTCGAGTCCCACACAAATTAGTCACAGGTCTGATATCACACGACAAGTATGCAATGGATGAACAATGACAAAGGAACGACTTTGTAATATTTCCTTATGACAGCTGGTTCGTGAATGGATGGCCTTTGACTTGCGTGATTGACTAGTGAATTGAGAAAACGTACTTTTATGAACTATATTGTAAAACATCACCGTAGAATTCTCAAAATCATTTATCTATTAAGGATGTGCTTTCTAAATGGATAAAACCTAAGCCAGGCATATAATTATCAAAATAGTAATGCAGCGTGATTTCATGTAATAACGCGAGACTGTGACGTCAACTACTGTGACGTTGCATTTTTATCCCATTAGTATGCTGCATATTAAAAGTAATCGCCGGTTGGCGCTGAACATTCAATTTCCAGAAACACAACATTATGAAGAGTTAAGTTTTTCACTCCACTGCAATAGTATAAATTCACAGTGATGCAAATGAGCAAAAGTGAAGTAAAAGTTTGTATTTACCGCTTACAATGGACACATCTGAGAAAAAAATAGGTTTTTCTTCATATGACATGACACATACCTTTGCTTCACAGCTGTGTGTGGCCCGGGAACATTCAGTGCGACCGGTCTGCGGCCGTGTCGGCCTTGCCCTCTGGGATCGTATCAGCCAGATGAGCAACAAACCCGCTGCGTGCCTTGTGCCGGCAGCGAGACGACGGCTGTTGACGGTGCGACATCTGAAGCGGAATGCAGAGGTAAGAAAAGGAACGTGAAAAATGACTTGATGCCGAATGCTGATCAATTTTCGTTGTGAATCTTGATGGGATGTTTCATTCCATTTCGGTTTACTCCCCAGCCAATGCTGGTCGAGGCTTACCCATTAGTAATTTCTAGGTGGAGAGGAGTAAGGTGAGGTAAAGTGGCTTGCCTGAGGACACAAAATACCAGTAGCTAGATTCGAGCCCTAACACACTACTATTTTTAATCCGCAGAGATCGATGCTTGTGAATCTGCCCCATGTGAGAATGGCGCGCAGTGCACCAGCCACAGGGGCGCATTCCACTGCCAGTGCGTGACGGGTTTCGCTGGTACTACGTGCGATACTGAAATAGACGAGTGCCGGTCTCAACCCTGCCTCTTCAATGCGACCTGCGTCGATCAAGGTAATGTTCAAAGTGCGTTTTAAAAAAATTTAATTCCTCTTCCCGAAGACCATTCGCTAGTTCTGTTTTTGTTTTTTTTTAGTTCATGTTCACGTTCCTTTGATTCTTCATTGTGTAATTTTGTTCCAGTTGGTGGATTTGATTGTCTCTGCATTGCCGGATACGAGGGCGCCCTCTGCGGATCGGAAATCAACGAGTGCTTATCAGACCCGTGTCAGAATGAAGCAAAGTGCCAAGATCAGGTATGGTATGCCGCCACCTACAAACGGAGAACAGCCTCAAACCAAAGTCAAACCATGCATGATCAAAACTTTGTTCTTTGCTGGGATAGATTATTACGTGATAGCCTAGCAACCTTTATGCCAACGACACAAAAGGGTGTTTTGTTCAGCTGGTACAGCCTCATTTTTGTTCCAATATGGTGCCTCCGTGCAAAAGTCTAATTTGAGTTTTCAACATTGATATCGATCATCATAATGATATGGGTTTTTTTTTCAATCACTGAAATATATTTTTGACGACTTATTTCGATTTTGGCGTAATCTTTGCAGGTTCTGCTAAAATCCAAACTAAGTTTGTTTGATTTGTAGGTCAATTCAGTCAGCAAGCAGTTTGCAGCTTCTTCTTTCTTTCTTTCTTTTTTTCATTTTTAAATTTAATTTCACTCCAGGTTGCCGGTTTTGACTGTGACTGCGTGGACGGGTTTTGGGGCCCGCTGTGCGAGAACCGGCCGGATCCCTGCGCCGGACAGGCCTGTCTGAACGAGGGGTTCTGCATCCCGACGACCGGCTCGTTCCAGTGCCTCTGCCAGTCTGGCTTCCAGGGACTCCGATGCGAGACAGATGTCAACGAATGCGACCTTCTACCTTGCCAAAATGGCGCAAGGTATTACCATGACAACCAAACAATTAGGATTTCCATAACTCCCACTGATTTGTTCATTATCTGGGATTGCCAGCTTATAATAAAATATGTTTTGGTAAGTTAATGCTTATACATGATAACATAAGATTTCGTTTCTCCTTAAGATGTGAGAACACGCCGGGGAGCTACCAGTGCGCATGCGTGCCTGGGTTTGAGGGGACTCACTGTGAGGTGAACATCGACGAGTGTGTACATCATTCCTGCGCCAATGGTTCTACCTGCAGTGACGTCATCGCTGGCTACCAATGCCTGTGCCCGCCGGGGGTCACGGGACACTACTGTGAGACAGGTGAGAAGTTTCCCGAAGCAAAGCAAACCGAGTCGACCCGAGTCGACCCGAACTAACTAAAGGAACTGAACCGAATCACACCGAACCTTGCCATGTAAGATTGCCGTCCTTGCATGCAGCATTTAATCCTGATCGGTTTAAGAGAACAGAACCGAACCGAACCTAACCGAACAAAACCAAAACGAACTCAACCAAACCGAATCCGATCAAATCGAATCGCACCGAACCATGCCATGTAGGATAACCGTCTATGTAGCATTTAATTATGATCAGTTTCAGAGAACCAAACCAAACCGAACCGAACCTAACCTACCAAAAACGAACTGAACCAAATCGAGCCTTTTCATGGACAACTGCTGACCTACCAGCATCTGTAAGTTTCAGTGATTTTAAATCTTGCAACCTCTTGCACCTGTACCAGGAACCTTTCCATCAACCGTGAACGATGAAACAACCAAGGATGAACTGTATTCATCTTTTAGGGAACTAACCCTTTCATCAGATCCTTCTTGTAGACCTGAACTTTTTCATTGCAGGACAGGGCACGTTCTATAGCTTGTTTCTCTCGCTGAATTCTTCGATTTCTGAACTCTCCATTCTCGTTCCATGTAGAAATGTCCCAGAATTTTCTGCTGAATTTCACCAGTTCCTTGACGTCCGACTTCTCCCTCATCCGGACCAGACACGTGGAGTTCCAAGAGATCACGCTGTCCGTGTGGCTCCGGACCACTGATACCACCAACATGGGAACACCCATCTCCTACGCCGCCATGAAACCAGCAAACAAGTAAGCAATGACCCAAGAGCGTCCTATATTAAAAGTCCCTACGCCGTCTGTCTGTCTGCCTGTCGTCTGTCGGTCTGGGTGTCTGTCAGTCTAATGTCTAATGTCTGTGTGTTAGTTTTTTGTTGTAAAAAGCCTAAAAGAGTGTGCGCAAGCACAAAATACAAAGGTTAATGGAGAGGCGTGGTTATTGTTTTTCATCGTCTCTGTTAAGTACATCATAGCATAGGGGTAAGGACTCGAATACCAAGAGAAAAACAGTGAGCCATTATGTCTCCAATAATTTAGTGCTGTTTGTACTTGCTTCGATTTGGAACGTTGATAACATACATTACCAACTTAGAAGGTGCTGATAATTGTGTTTATAATGAAAGCAAAGGCACACTTAATGGAGGTAACAGTAACATAAACTAATAGACACTAAATTAAAAGACACTTAAGTATATGAAGTCAGTAAAAGCTCAAAGAAAGGTCTGGGTAAATATCCCCCCCCCCCTGTAATTCAAAACTCAGATCCTCAAATCAAATTTTACCTTCACATTTCGGCTGTTCGAACTGATATTGTAAAAGGCTACGCGTCCTGTGTGCACTTCCCGTGCATCTCTCGTAAACAAAGACTGTTATTACGGGCACTAAGACTGTTATTTTACCCAGGTTTCTTTTCAGTTCGTCCGCAGGAGGAGGCGCCGGCACCGGCAGCCGCCTCGTCGACAACGCACTGACCGTGACGGACTGCTCCTCGCTCCGGGTCTACGTGAACGGACTGGTGATTTTCACCGAGGTGGCTGTCAACAACGGGCGGTGGAACAACCTGGCGTTTACCTGGCGCGGTGCAGGTGAGAACGCACGTAGTACACGTTGGATAAACACAATCAGCGAACGGCTTCCAATTTCATTTCTCTTATATTTCTGTTTTGCCGGTGACACGCTTGAGCTGCGACTGCCGCAGTTCGTGGGATGAGTTCTCAACCGAAAGAGGCTGCAATTTCAAGTCGGATTTTGTTGTTTGACTCAAAAGGCTAATGTGCTTAACTTGATTCATTCAGTCTTCAATTCATTGAACACAATCTTATTAATCTTTAACGTGATGTCACGTGGCCCATGATGACGTTATCATGACGTCAATCTTCGGGACACAACTATGCTATAAGGATTAAGGACTATGCCTATGCTTACTTTCAATGATCTATGACAAAGATTAAAGCCAAAAGTCGCGTGTAGAAAAAACGTGTACAAAGTCTAAGGGATTTTGAGGGAACAAAATGAAGAAGAAGAAGACAGAAAAATCCGAACAAAAAGAAAGGCTTTTGCGCGACTATGCAAGGAATACAATATCGTGAATTACGTCCGTGAGTTGTATTATGGTATTAAAGGGTATACGTAGAGAGAAATGAAACGGCACATGAACACCGAAACAACTGCAACAACATACTTTCAGTCTAGAATCTAGAGGCTATATGGATGTTTGTTTCGTAAACAGAATAGGACACGATCTTTAGAAATATGAAACAAGATTATATCTGTGCCATGTGCAGTTCTCGTTATTTTTCAACCGACGTGCACATTTCAAAGTTCCCATTTTTGTTAGTTCTTTCGGGGCCTTATTTTTCGGTTTGTTGGGGTGTTTGTTTTGTCATTCATTCTGTTTTCACTTCTGTTTACAGTCGGCGAGTGGCATTTGTATTTGAACGGCACGAAAGCAGCCAACGGGACCGGACTGAGCACAGACGCCATACCGGGCCAGGGCGCGTTCGTCCTGGGTCAGGAACAAGACGCGATCGGCGGAGCCTTCAGCTCTAGGGAGGCATATCTCGGAGAAATTTACAAGTAAGATGAGTGATCCCGAACTAGGGGCGATGGTGACGAATCCCCCTTCCCCTCCTCCCTCCACTTTCGAAATAAATATACACTTTCAGGTGGCATTCTTCCCTTTCCGAAAACTTATCTTGTACACATACAAAATACTTTTCCCACAATTTGTAACCAAATAAACATAAAACTGCGTATAACTTAAATAACAATCTACAATAGAAATTTAAAAAGAGATTCTAAAATTAAGTGGCATTTTATAAGTTCATTACATTTTTTGATTGTACACAACTGATATTTTATTTACGAAATTGTGACTCTATATTTATTTTTACATTGTAACTTATTGTAAGGTTTGTTTTGTTTTGGGATTTTATTTTTATTGAAGGTTGAATATCTGGGATCGTGTTTTGCCCGAGGACGACATCCAGAACTTATCCCACTTCTGCCACCAAGAGAAGGGCAACGTGGTGGCATGGTCTGACTTCCTTGCGGGACTGGAAGGAGGACTGGAGCCTAAACCCACAAACGCGACGGGGGAGGTGGGGAACTTGACCTAAACATATGCATGAATTAAAGTAGATCTGTTCAAAAGGCAACAATTTTAAAAGGTTTTTTTTTTGGCTTACCAACAAGAGGGTACCTGCCAAAATGTCATTTTATGATTTCCGCTTAGTGGGAAAATTTCCACTAGTTTCCGCTGAGCAGCTCCCTTGGGACATGTACGTAAATCACTGGTTTGCAGTGCGCACATCACAAACTGGATTTATTCACCTGTGTTTTTTGGGTGGGCTGCCTTCCGGTCTTATTGAGCGTTGAAATGGTTCAAAAAACAAAGACAGCCACAAAAGATTTTAACAGGCATCACTACCAAATATACTAATCTTTTTGGTCTAACATGTCCTGACCCCTGCTCAACAAATTCTGCTTGAAGACCGCCTGCTCGTGTCTTGATAAAACCCATCAGTGATGTTGTGATTTGACCCAATTGTCGTCAAGATAGCAAATACAGGATAACGTAAAAGCAAAGCCATGGATTTTATTCCATTTGACAGCCCTTAATGTATTAAATGATTATGTGCATCCTACTGGCCGGAATTGTTACTTCCGAGTAAGACTGTGTCCCTTTTACTTGGTCTACGACTTGAAATTACACGAATGTCTACGGTAGCTTCCCATAGACTCGTGTGTTATTTCAAGCCGTTGCCAAGTAATTCGGACACGGCCTTTAGCTGTACATGTGTCAAATGGGGCTTTAACATCTACGGCTACGTCTATGGTCAAATTGTTCCCACGTAGTTATAATGTGAGAAGACTATAGATCATAGCACTAGACACGAGATTCGGTCACGGTTTAATTTTGCTCCATTTGTTAAGTTGACAGTCCTAATTTTATTTACGATTACTCCCGATCTGTAGGTGCCCGGATGCGATTCCTACTGAGAAGATCCCCATGACTACCGAAAAAAGGCGGGAATAAAGCTCACCACATCAACTAGACTTCGTGCAGACTACAAGAAATATCTAAATGCGTCGTTTTCATTTCTATGGTTCTCATTTTTTTTCCCTTTGAAGTAGGGTCGGTCGATCGGCGAAAACAAAAATCTTATTTTACAGAAGTAAAAAAAAACCTGCAGTTGCACCCTTTAAGATGGCAAAATTGAATGATGCCAAATGTGTATCGTCTCTTGTTTCGTGTACTGTAATGAGTTTATCAGAGTTGATATCACTGAACAAAATAATAAAGCCATCTATGGCAAAATGTAGTTGACTAACAAATGCATAACAGTGAAGGTACACCATAAATCCCTGCTTTTTTGAGAGGCAATACCCTGGCATCGTCTGGGATTGCGTTGTTTGCTTTACGCCGTGCTTCGCGTAAAATTTAGTTTTATAATTACTTTCTATTGCTTTTTAAATTACCCGAATTTTTAAATTACATGAATTGTTTTCTGCATTTTCTGCATTTCTATATTCTTTGGGTTTTTTTTTTTGGGGGGGGGGTAGTTTAAGCTCAAGACAAGGTCGGCGGTAATAAAAAAAAAAGTTGCATGTTTATTGGGTTTGGAGCACAAAATAGGGTCGTTCGGAAATGAGAACAATCAATTAAAAAGGGATGCCCCGACGGACATTATGCAGTCAACTCCGTTTCATTTTTGTTCAGTGCATAGATTCGCATATAACTGATTATTTCAAGAATGTAGAAGAAAAAAATATGTTACACTATTATGAGATTTTTAAAAAACGGTTCTAAAACGGTACTTGCTTTAAACGAAAATCAACTCAAGATAATTATTATTCTGCTCTTGTAATATTGCAACTGTATTATTCATATGCTGCTAGATACAATTTTCCCTATTGTCATTTCAAGCGCTCTATCATCAATTCACAAGTTTCAATAGTTTTATCTCATCACCTGTTAAAATGTTGACAATTTCTTTTCATATGAGAGTTAATATGAATGTGAAATTGGGAATTACATGTATTTACAAACCAATTACGATAAGTACCAGATGTTTCAGCCACAACTATTTTTTTAAGAACCCAATTATAATTTCACTTTCGGTGGAACTCTGATATTTGTACATTAAACACACAAGCTCCGCTTGACATATTGGACGGATCTGTGTCCGTGACTACTTGTCAGTTTTTAGGTGGCGTTTAAAACTCGCTCTACTGTATAAATATGGGATCCCCCCCGTTAAAATACAGTTATTTACCTCAATGAACATTTCACAGTTTTTACCACTGTACCGAAACTGTAAAAATAACTGTTTTCCGAAGGCAGTACCTTAATTTTACAAAAGGGTTGTAAATCTAAATCATTCCCCATTCAAACCATCTCTTCCGTGTTATTAAGGCATTGTTTCCCGTTATTTACAACGTTTGGGGCCGTTATTTGACAACTTTATTTGGGTTTAAACCTTGGGCTTTTTACGGCTTCCTATCTTTTTTGCACGCACCATCCTTATTAAAGGGAGTGTACAACATTTGCTTTTGCTGCAATTTTCCGACATAAATGGATTTGAAGGATTATGTTAAAGAAAATATTGTTAATTGGACCTGTTTCACGTTATGGGCTTGTAGATCCTGGAAAAACCAAGAAAACCAATCATGTTTTTGTAGTCTGGTTCCCTGACCCCACTTAAGATGAAACGGAGCAATTTAGACTTTGGGGAATTGTAAGGTCATAGAATCAGTCTAGCAGGCTTGTACTCCTTCACAGGTGTGTAATCAATTGCAAAGAAAATGCGAAATAACTAAATATGAAAATTTGAAGCAGTTTTTGAAAAAAGCCAGTTTTCTCAAACGCTGGTCGGCCGACCAGCGTTGGAAAAGTTTTCTTGAAAATGTTAGCACATCAAGAGCTACGATTTTACAGGATGCTTAAGACTATCATTCTCTAACAATCAAGTAGGTCATTTCGTGATAATTTGGTCATTTCGGTTTTTGATATTTGTAAATGTTGTATCTTCCCTTTAAGCCTGGTTTCCACATCGACGTTCAGCTTTAATACGCAGACTGTGCAGACAGTACGCGGAACCGTCGGTGCTGTTTTTATCTGCAGAACACATCGTCAATGGATCGTGAATATTCAGCTATTTCGATGTTTATTCATAACTCGAAAATAACAATGACGTCACACCATTGCTATCACTCTGTCATGCATGTACATTAAAGCATGTCAAAGAACGGCTTTCGTCGAGCTGCCACAATGGCCTAGTGGATAGTGGAATGAACTATGGATCGCAATATCTGGGGTTCGAACCCATGTCCATTTTCATGAAATATTTTTGTTGGTTGGGATAAGTTTAATTGAAGGGAAAACACTACGAGAACCTAAGTGTCTTCCATCCACACAGCGTGATAAAATATTCATGTTAGGGTGCGTGATGTGATTAGTTAAAGTACGATATGCTGCACACAAATAATACGCGAACCGTCGACATAGTTTAACCGGTTAAACTTTGCCGATCGTTTGCGAGATGAGTTGTCGGTGACACTTCCTGATGAAATGTTTCCATATGTCTGCGTTGCAGTTTGAGTCATGTTTGCGTTTCACTTTGCGTTTCTTACGTCGATATGGAAACTAGGCTTAAGAATGGACGCGTTACGGAAAATTCCCGTAAAATGTGTTACCATGACGCATGGTGGGATTAACAATACGTAGGCCTGCAGACCATGCGTATACAGTTCTCATTACTCGTGCATACGTACAGCGCTTTTGGGCGTAACCCTTCCAGTCCCAGCTAAGTTCCTTTTCCCACCCTCACAACCACCGTTTTAAAGCTGTGATTCGCATACAAGTCTGATGCATGCATGGAAAGTTCGTTTTGCGTCCTATCCAGGTCCACCATGGTAATTCACTGAGCTGTTCCTTGATGTTTACCAATGCATTATGGGTGATCGGTACTGGGTCTCAGTAAATCCGAGGACCCGTTTACTACCTCCGTGGTAAACCCAATGCATCCCTGTCTCACAAAACCCTCTGTCCACCAGGCCGGATGCCCTGCCTGGCATCCTACCCTGTCTTCCCATTAAGCCAGTTGCCCTACCCATTCTATGCGCGCACCAGCCTTGATCCCATCCGTTTGCAGTGCCACCATCACACAAACCCCGTTTTTTTTATATTGCGTTCCAGTACAGCAAATTACGGAAAACTTGTTTGGGAATAACGGTCACCGTCATTTTAGGAACCCATTACTGACAATTATTCTACGGGTTTTTTTTTATTGGTAACACGTTTGACAGTGACCGCTTTTTTTGCACCCAAAAAAACAAGACAATCAAGCCAGGCCATCCTCAACCCTCAAGTCCACGGGTACCCACAGATTCGAAACTTTCACGCGTGAAAAAAAGATCTCCAACATACTGAAGTGGTTCAGTATACGACAATAAAATCCAACAGTAAGAACCTTACCGACAGTGTTGAAGAATATTTAGAACACACGAGCTGCACTTTGTGCATGCTACTGATATGGGCAGTTATGTTGGCCTTGTTTCCTTTCTTTATTTGTTGGCAAAGTGACATACCAGCAAACCCGGAACTTACCCAGAGTGAGAAACGGAAACCAGGGATCACTGCAGGGCAACATCACGAGCTCACGTAGGCTATGTACCATGTACGCGTACCGTGTACGCCGGTAGCTAGTACGAGTAAGCAAACATCTGGTCATTGCGGATGTTGAAGTTCTTCAACATACTTGCTTCCTATAGCTCTGGACTTAGCATTTCTGAAAGAGAAAAACAGCCCGAGATCGGTAGAGATAGCTTTTATATGGTCAGACAAAACACCCTGGTAAGTTCAATTTATTCAAACTTTGATCAGCAAGAATGTGCAATAATATAATATAGGCCATAAGTGGCATACGTGTTTCACTTTGCGTTTCTTACGTCGATATGGAAACTTAACTAGGCTTAAGGTGAGGCACGGGGATCCCCTCTGCCGCCCCGCCCGAGGACCTTGTTCCGTTCCTGCGCCTACATACACTCAGAATGTAGTTCCCATTCCATGAAATAAGGACCTCCTGAAGTACCTCACTGCAAAATGGACCCTAATTACGCCAATGGCGCATATTACTGTACTGGTAACTGTCTTAATAATCTTAACATTAAACATCAAAAATAATGTTTGGTACTATAGTAAACATCATTTTGCCTCTTACATGGCCAACTTACATAATAGTCCACTACATTATCAAATAGCAGCTTCATATTAAATGCATAATTGAAGCAAACAATTGTTTTGATTTACATTATTCTAATACATGTGCACAGTCATTCTAGTGCCTAAATGTTGATGAAACCAAGAAAAATACAGAAAATGTTTGCTTTTTTTCCGCCCATGCATGGGACGGTTGTTCCCCTGGAGCTCCTGCAAAGTAGAGTCCATTACTATAAATTACATCAAAACGCCGCTTGTCAGCGTCATCTGTGTTTCTCTTTTCTCGGTCCAGACCATGACAACGCAGGTGGCTGTCATTCTAGCTTGCCTCCTGCTGGCACCGCATGCATCCATGCAGCAGCAGGCTGGCATCTTGGACTCCGCATTCAGGAGAGTCTTTCCGCACGGCAAGTCCGAGCTGGTCTTCCTGCTGGATAGCTCGGACAGCATCGGCGCCGACGACTTCGGCGTGGAGCTGTTCTTTGTGGAAAGCCTGATGACGGAGTTCAGCATCGGCTGGAACGCCACCCAGGTAGCGATCGTCAGCTACAGCGAGAATGTGGTGAGTTTTATTGTGTGTGGTGGGCTGAAGGGTGAGACCAATGGCCGGCCCGCCGGAATGGCACATCGAGTGGCTCGAGGTCGGTTGGCCGGCTGCTTTGCAGGTTGCCCCGTTGGTTGGTACGCGTTCGATTGGCAGGTTGGTTGGCCAGTTTGCTTGGTTTATTAAACGTTTGGCTGGTTGGTTGTTTGGACGGTTGGCTGGCTATCTTACTGGATGGCTGATTTTTGTTTTCGGGTTGCCCGTCAATTGGTTCGATGGTTGGTAGGGTTAAGCTGGTTTTCTCATTAGGTCGGTTGTCCAGTTGGTCGGTTTCCCGGTTTGCCGGTTGGCCCGTGCGATTTGCCAGTTGGCCAGTTGGCCGGTTGACCACTTCCAACTGTCCATCTGGCCAGAAAGCCGACTGGTTAGCAGATAGCAAGCTTACGCTGGGATTTTGGTTCGTCCATCGATTTGCTTGCTAGGTAGTAACTAAACATGCCTACTTGGCCAGTTGGCTAGCTAAGTGGCCGGTATAGCCATTGATTGCTCGGTTTGTTTTGCTAGTTCACCAAAAGGTCGGTTCGCCAGTCGACTGGCCGGTGTACCGGTTGGTTTGCCGGCTGGGCATGTTGACTACAAATGACTGGCTGCCTTCTCCCACGGACTACGCGTCTTAGCTGGCCAACTCATTGTACGACACTACGGTCATTTGATCTGTGATATTGCACTCTGTTTTAATTACAAAAGAGTAAAAGGGTACATGAATCAAGTAAAATTTTAATAAGAACATATTTTGTGCAGCTTTCCACTTCTCTCAAATGTATAAAAGATATTTGACATCCCTTTTTTTGGTTGTTCGTATTGAACAGTGGACTTGTTTAAACATTAACATTTAGGGCGCTGTTGTTGTGATGTGATTTCAGGAAGACACTGTTCAAATTAGAGGTCATCTGTACAAATTGTGGAACCAAAAATTTACTTATTTTAAATATTTGTGAGAAAAGTTTGCTCATTAGCTTCCTGCCAAGTATTGACACAACAAGGAATCAACACAAAAGGAAAATTTACGACAGCGATATATCCAAAATTCTGGCAACTTTTGATGCTGAAATAGCTGTAACATTGAGTCTTATGCCTGAAATGACATCACACTTTTGCTCATAAATATGGACATCGGCATTAGCATAAAAACCAAAAAGCACCAAAATACCCTTGAAAATGGCAAAAACGATAACTGAAAATAATTTTCAATGGGACACTCAATGCGCTTCCTAGAATTACATCAAAACAATAACACTACATGGGCCCTTGAAATGGTATAGAAACAATTGTCCAAAACACAATACAGGATCTCATTATGAAACAACCGAGACTTTAAACGATAAAAGTGTACTTAAACGTTTCTGATAATTTCGAAAAGTCACCCACCACATTAATGATATAAATACATTACATTAAACTTCAATAGCAAAATATCATGAACTGATATTACAACTAAGCATAATTATGGCACAACATGCAGTTTTGCAATCAAGATATCAGGAGTTATTCTTAACTAATCATCGCAATTGATATTTTGTCGGTGGATGCTCATACATTTTTGTTTGTTCATTTGTTTTGTTTGCTTCCAACAGACTCGACACATCGATTACATTTCAGGCGAGTCGGGCAACAAATGCACTTTCCTGTCGGCCATGAAAGCCGTGAACTACACGGGTGGCAGCAGCACCGACACGGCCAAAGCCTTGCAGGAGGCCCGAGAGATACTCGTCCACAGCCGGCCAGATGTTAAACGAGTAAGTGGATTGCTCGTCCTGGTTTGGTTTTCAGAAACTAGTTAATTCCTGTGTCAAAAAATATTAGCGTTTATCTTTTATGTTTCCTGGCCCATTCTTGCAGAATAATGTTTTCTTGGATTGACATAATGGTTTGCAGTTATTGGTATTAAATAGTTTGCCGTGGGATGACAGATTGATGTAGAGGGTGAGTCAAAAAAGCGGAACCCAAAAACAAAGAAGTATATTAATTATTACTTCGCAGCTCATTTATTAAACTACTTTTAAGTGAGAAAATTATTTCAATTGCTCTACACGTTATTATGTTATCACTATTTGAACAAAGTAACCCTAAAATGAAATTCGTCCCCCCCCCAAAAAAAAAAAAATTATTGTTTGCTCTGACTGTTTGGAACAACCAAAAAAATGACACAGTTCACCAACTGTAGTACACAATATCTTTATTAACAACCCTGCTTTGGCTAACAACTGATTTATAAAATCCACTTATTTTTAAAGGCGGTCCTTCAAAAGGACTGTGTCGAATATTTTTAACTTTTAAACTGATGTTTTATCGCTATTAATGTTGAAGACAATAGTAACGACAATTCTTGAGATCGCATTTTTGGACAAAACCGATTTGAGGGTCATTTCGTTTAAATGGTGATATAATTTGAACGGATTGAGCAATTGAAGTATTTTTTTCATCGAAAAGTGGTTTATTACATTGGCTTATCAGTCATAATTATTTTTGCTGTTAAATCTTTTTTTAAATATCGAAATATATTTCTTTGGGTTTGGGTTTATTTTTACTCACCCTGTACTGGTTGGTCGACCGATAGAAAAATCGACCGATAGAACAATCGGTCCATCACTAATTGGCTCGCATTAACCAGTGAATACGGACAAAAATATGTCCGGAGCCACAGTTCTGAATGATCTCAACTAAGAAGTAAAGTCCATCCATCGACTTGGGATTTGTTAGCGTATGATGACTTGTGATTTGACTCTGTAGGTGGTCATCCTACTGAGTGACGGCGTTTCCAACACGGGCGACGACCCGGTGACCGTGGCCAACCTGCTGAAGGCGGGCGGGGTAGAAATATTCACCATCAGCGTCAAAACGCAGCTGGAACGGATCGCCTCGACCGGTGACCACTACTTCGCCTATCACAGTTTCGATGATTTTGAGAGGCTGGCTTTGCGGGCTCGCCGTGGTCAGTTCCAGTGATTTTTTGTTTTGTTGTGGGGGGGATGTCTTTGAAGTTCGCAATGGCAAAAATTCAATTCAAGCGGTATAACGCCAATATGCCTTGTAGTTCACTGGAATAACCAAATTCTACATATAGAAATAATGGTGTTATTACCGTCAAATCATATTTTGAAGAATAAATCACTCTTCGACATATGTATTCTGTAAACATGGTTGGTATTCTGTACACATAGCTAGGCTTAGTCTACGCAATCAAAGGACTAAACGGGAAACAAGGGCAGAAAAAAGCGCTACAAGATCCAAAAGCCTGATGCTCCAAAATCATGCGTCTGGAAACTATGCTAAATCTGTAACACCGACGGACCCGGAGCCTGCCTGCTCTGGCCGTAAGGCATCCTGCCCCCGCATCTGTGACCATTAGAAAATGTAATGCTCGAACTCTCATCACGAAAGACCATCGTCTATATGAGCCTCATTGGGATCCAGGAACACTGTAGGGTATTGCACACACCTACCACATGCCTTGACGTCGGAGATGGTTGGAAGGCACACCTTGCTACCCCGGGGGTATGGGTTTCCTGATTTCACCCAGAGCCTACACCACATTGCTAAATATGGAACCACTGCACCATCGAAAAATAGCAATGACCGTCCAACTGCATAACCAACGGCTACACCAGGCGCAGTTTTACGGGGGCTAAGCCCCCCCCCCCCCAAAAAAAACCCCATTGGTTTAGGGCCCCCCCCCCCCCATTAGTAGCCATTAGTGAGAAGGGGGCATTTGTTCACTATTAGGTAATATAGTGTGCATGATTTGACCAGTGCTCCCCATTGATGTGCACTTCCCGGAACGGCTATCCAACGTCGACTTGTACGCTTGTACATGCGTAGCACCTGCCACAACCACCCTGCTAAGAATTCGCCTTCGCTTAATTGGCCATGCATGCACAGTGAAGACTCGAGGTGCATCTGGCTGTCATCTTGAAACCACGAAACCAAACATCAGAATCCTTCCGACAGGGAGGAGGCCTGCACCTCACTATACCTTTCGCAGATCGTAGACGACCAGAACGCCATCGGCCTTTAACAGGATCGGGCTGTACGTGCTGCCCATGCAGGATCGAGCTGGATGGCTGAGACGAATCTCAAGCATTGGAAAAACCATTAGACACAACGTCTCGAGTTGAGTACGGCTCGAGTATTGTCAACTAGAGAGCGTTGGGAGGGGGGGGGAATGCGGGTATTTTTCAAGCACAAGGGCATACCCAACCCAGTATGTAGGGGCAATAGCAATTACTTTCAAACACTACAAAAAACTGTTTTTATTATCCCTAAACCATTGTGAACAAATATACATGTTAAAATTCGATGATTGGGATTGATTGTGGGGGCATATCCCGGTGTCCCATCCTACGTTTGGTCAATTTCCCTTCATCGTTCCAACTGGTTAATGCGGTGACGAGAAGTCTTATCTATTATCACACTGTGTTTCCATGTTTAGACCCACATGAAACTATGTACGACGACTCCGTGAACCAGACTCTGTGTGATAGTCTCTGCCACCAGCCGTTCCCCGAGGCCGGCTACGGCTGTTGCGATCTGACCGCTAAGTGCACGTGCTCGCTCGACAGCGGACGTCACGCCTGCGTGTGCGGACCTGGCACGTACGGACGCAACGGCTTCTTGTTGCAATGCAAACGTAAGTGTATTTTATTGTCTATCAGGATCGTCTTCAAAGTTGGACGGCGTTCAAAGCACGAAGGACGGCGGAAGGACCCTGACACGGTGACCCTAAAGGCCGGGACCCGCAACCGGTTGGTTTGTTTTGTCAACCGGTGATTTTACTTGTGATATTACAGAAGACAAGTATGTTTTTTTATGGATGGAAGTACACAGAAACACTTTTTTGATATTGTGATCAGAACCATGAATCCACTAAGAAAGTGCTTAGAAAATTAAGGCTGTGTTTTCGAGCATTTGTCATGAAGAAAGATGGCATATTCATGAGATGGCGTGTTCAAGTATCTTTACCCCAAAGAAGGGTACTGGGTATTCCAATGTGTGTTCGTGTTATTTCCTTTATTGAGAGAGTAGTACAATTGAAGTCTTTCACATCTGATTGTGCAAGGTACTGTTTTTGCGCAGCAATGCTTCTTCACGTAAAACATTTGTAACTGCATTTTACAAAATGCACACAAAGGGACATCTTTTCACTGATGTTTTTTTTATGCAATAGAATATAAACTCAGTTTGACTTCCCTTACAAATTTGGCGTACTGGTAAAAAATAAATTAAAATTACACTTTCTGTTGATTTCACTTTGGCAAGATATGTTGATTGGTCTTGTCCCTTAAATTTGCTGTCGTGATTTCAAATGCATATTGATTGTTAAGATAACATTTTTTCCTCCTTTGTTTTGCACGTAGTGTGCCCACGTGGAACTTACAAGTCCACCTACGAGCCCACAGACGGATGCACCCCGTGCCCGCCTGACTCGACCACAGCCGCTGAGGGCAGCAAACTCCTAGGAGCGTGCTTCTGCAAGGAAGGCTACGAGGGGGATCCCATGCGCGGAGAGTCCTGCAGATGTAAGGGGATTTCAATTTCCTTTTTTTTATCAAGAGAGGAAATTTTGTTTTTCACGTGAGGTAACGCATTCTTAAAGAGAACCGTTATGATGAATCACAGAAAGGTACTGATGGGAGTGAACGTGCGAGGATCTAGTAAGCTTGTGCCCAACCAGACCAAGTGATACGTCTGTGTGCTACTTCTCAAAACTTCTTTCTATTTTGAAAATTTATTTCAATGTCGATTCCGAATACCTTGCATTTTTCATCGGAATTCTTTTGGCAATTAGTAGTAATACGGCTCGTTCATACTCAGCCATGGGCGTCGCCAGGATTTTTTCTAGAGGGGGGCAAAAAAAAATTTTGCCAAAAAATGCTTGTATTTCTCAACACATTCTCGATTTATCAGTTTTAGAGGGGGCACGGACATTTTGCCCCCCCCCCCCCAACTCATTAAATTTACACCACTTTGTCTTCGCGCCTCTTTTTCTTTTCCTTTTTTTCTTCCTTTTTTTTTTTTTTTTAAACTTTTCCAGGGGGGGGGCAAGTGCCCCCCTTGCCCCCCCCCTTCGCGACGCCCATGTACTCAGCGCGAAAGCGAACGCAAACGCAATTGTGTGGCGTCATGATGGCAAATGTTCGCGCAACGAGTTGGCAAAAGTTGAACACATTCCAATACCTGTGAATATCACTGCCGATGCCTTGTGAAGTCAGATTCGCTTGGCGTTCGCATTCGCGTAATGAATGAACCGGCCATGAAAAGTTCGATAACAAACTCACCATCAAGGAATGCAACTGTACCATTTTGGATAGTGTCAAATGGTTACTTTATCCAAATACAGTATTGTGGCCATCTTGTATTTAAAACATGGCCGCCATTTAAAACCTAAATCTCCGAATACGTGTATTACATCTTTAAGCCACTAAGGATCTAAATATTGGTGTCTAACCATATATTTTCATAGTCATGGAACGCAACTAAACAATTTGGATTAGTACTACATGTATTTGGGATCGTGTCAAAATAGTCAGTTTATCTCTATAGATACTTAATACGGCGGCCATATGGTTTGCCGTAAAAGGACCAACACTGGCCCGATTCAGGCTATGTACCTTTTTGCTATTATGGTTTGACTTGAAAGGGCCGGCACCGGTCCCATTCAGGTTGTGAACTGTCTTGCCATTATGGTTTCCCAGAAAGGAACCAACACTGGCCCGATTCAGGCCTTTTTACCGTCTTTTCATCATGGTTTATCGTAAGAGGACCTGCAATGGCCGGTTCAGGCTGTGCGCCGTCTTGCTGTTATTGTTTGCCTTAAAAAGACCAACACTGGTCCGATGCAGGCTCTGAACGGTGTTACCATTACCGTTCGCCATTTAATGGGGCGAGCACTGGACCAATTCCGACTCTGTGGTGTCTGTACTGTCAATACGGAACCGTTTTGGCGCAATCGAGCCAGCATTAGCATTAGATGGTATCTTTCCAATACCGTCCTGTTTACTGGACCAATGCCATCTTTGAACCTAGGCAGGTAAAAAATCTCTGGTACTACAGGATGTGATACAACTCTGCCTATCCACAACTACATGCAGCTGAACCACTTTTGTAGCTCCATTTGATTAAGGCGGGTCTGTGATCGGCTAGTCCTGGTTCTCAAGCGGCTGATAGTTTTCCATTGAACCCATGTCGATGTAGCACCTGTTGGAAGGTTTTCCGCCGTTGTTATAGTCTAACCATGACAATCGGTGGGCGTTTGCTCCCAGTCGTTGCTTCCAGTGTTGGAGTCTTTCCACTTCCCTGGATGTTGTGAAGGAGTGGACATGGCTGAGGAAGCTTTTCTTGACTTCAGCCTTTTTATGCCGAAGCTTGCCGTCCCTGGAGGAGGCAACACTCGTCATTTATCAATATTTGGACATCTTAGCTCAGCTGACATCTTCCCTTCGGAAATCCGAAGAGGAAATGCCAGTAAGGAGGTGCAAATTACTTGTGTTGGCGGGTTTCAAGCATCCAGTGATGAAACTGCATGTTGTTTAAAGCTGGGACGGGTTTCATGGTATGGGCTGATCTCTCCCAGACGGGGCACGCATACTCTGCTGAAGAATGCATGGCGCGAAGCAAAAACGGTTCATCTTTGGGTGTGTGGTTTGGCTCCCATTTCGGAGGTTGTTCAATGTCTTCATGATGTTGTTACGGGGAACTAAATTTGAATGACTTGAATGACAGGATACGATGGAGGGTCACCCTAAGGTAGACAGGATGGCTACAAGGGACCAAGGGGCCAATGGTGTTCCGGACCATTTGATGTTAAGGGGTCGGTTGGCTTCGCGGTTAACGTTCCTGAGATGGAACGAGCAGACTTGGGTCTTAACGAGACTGGCACGGAGGTGATTGCGCTCATAGTATAGAGACGGCTAAGTGCTGAGGTAAGTTTTGCTTCTATGGCTTCGAACGGAATCTTTTGAGATGTAACCCAAAGATCGTCTGCGCAGATGAAACGCTCAGTGTCCTGGTCTAAATTAAACTGTGATTTTTTTTGTGTAGACGTTATACAGCAACGGAGCTAGCACAGTGCCTTGAGGTATGCCATTTTTTTTTGCCGTCGACAGCGTTTTTGTTTTGTTCTGAACAACAAAAAAGCATCTGTCTTTGAGAAGGGACCCGGTATGATCCGTAAATGCGAGGTATTGGGACAACTCCAAGATCTTTTTCATGGGGCGGCAGTGGTTTATAGTATTATGAATGTGACCGAAAGATCCACAAAAATAGCTCCACTAATTTGTCGTTTTGAAACCCATCCTGAGCGTGCTGTGCCAGATTAAGAGTTGGCTTGTTGTTGACTTGCAATGTCGCAATCCAGGTTGCTGAGGGATAAGGGATGTTTCAGCAATGGGAAAAGCCTGTTTAGGATCAGGCACTCGAACATGAACAAAAACAGTATGGTTCCTGTCTGGACCATGTTTACCTGTGGCGTCCAAAGCCTGCAGTGAACTAGAAAATGTGGCTTCAAGAATCAAAGTGTATGCGGTGCAAGACGTGCATGCAACACCTTGAGAATTAGGGCGAGCACTTTTAAACTGTAAACTTTTGTGAGTGCATGATGACATTTATTCTTACATAATGTTGTTTTACTTATACTTCATACAATATTTTCGGTGACTGCAGGATATATCAACGGTAATCTGTTAGAGATTTTATCTTCAGTTTGACTATTTTGAGTGTATAACTAAAATCATCTTTGTCTCTTCTGAATAAAAGAGTTGTATTTCCTGACCCTGAAAATGTATGTTTTGACACCTAGACTGTGATTTGATATGGTGTAGTAGCTGAGATATCAGTAAATGCAATTATTATCTGGCGGCCATCTTCAAAATCAAAGCTGGCCACAATAGTGTACAAACTGACCATTTGACAATGGTATAGAGTCATTCATTGACCCTGAAAATGTATGTTTGGACGCCAAAATTTTTATCCTAAGTGGCTTAGAAGAACGATATTGGTAGATATAGGTTTTAAAATCCAAGATGGCCACCGCAATGTATGTGGACAAATTAACCATTTGGCACTAACCCTAATGGTGCAGTTGCGTTCTTTGACCCAGAAAATATGTTTCGACACTAACATTTCAATGTTAAGTGGCTTAAAGATGCAATACATGTTATTTTCAGTGCTGGCGGCCATCTTCCAAAAATAAGATGGCAAAAATACTGTATCTGGACAAACAAACCATTTGATACTTTCCCAAATGGTACAGTTGCATTCCTTGACCCTGAAAATATATGTTTAGACACCAAAACTTTACTCCTAAGTGGCTTAGAAGATGAGATATGGGCAAAAATAGGTTTTCAATGGCAGCCATCTTTAAAATCCAAGATGACCGCCATATTGTTTTTGGATAAGTTGGTTCCTATCAAAAATTGAAGGCTAAGGCAATAAGGAGCATGTCTGGAAAATTTGGCGCTTTTGTCCGGAATGTCCACATCAATTCCAAAAGCTGGCATAAGCTGCCTGACTAACGTAAATCCGGTTGTGTCAAAGCGTGGGAGATTTCTTGATTTGAACCATGCAAATACTTACCTCTGTATGGGGTATTTTAATCCCCATCATTTAACATTTGATTTCAGATGATGTTCCGCCGGAAATAACTTGTCCATTCTCAGTGGTCACTGAAGCCGATCCCGGTCTTTCCTCTGCCGAGGTGAGCTGGGACATGCCGATTATTCAAGATAACCAGGACGGTACGGACGCCCTGACCCTCACGGTCAGTCCATCTGGTATGAAGCCACCCTACCGCTTTGAGATTGGCTGGGTCGTCATCACTTACACCGTGACAGACAGCGCCGGCCTCAGCTCAGTCTGCCCCTTCAAAGTGGTAGTTCTCGGTAAGAATTTCTCCATGTTAGACAACGTATGCCTATTATGTTTCCTTCAAGAGTGGTGAAGAGTGAATCAGTTCCACAAAATAGTAATCTCAGGGATAGATTGGGCGTGCGAATTGAAGTTATGTAATACACTGGATCGTGGGGCAACTTGAGATGCACAGTTTTCATGCGATCCAAACTGTCTCACATTTAGCTCGGTGTATACCTTCACCGAGCATTTCGGGTGATGTATAGGGCGGTCGGTAGATCATCGGTCACGATCCCGGTCGACATGCTGAGCATTCGTACCTATCAAGGATGCTCAGCGTCACGGCTATATCAAGCTATTTTGATAAACGGATGTCTCACATAATTCTAAGAGAACCGATCTGATTTTTTTTCGGAATGACTCTTACCCAACAGATACACAGCCGCCGACAGTGGAAAGCTGTCCTGGGCCAATTATTGACATCACCTCGGGGGAGAAGATCAAAGCCGTGACGTGGGACGAGCCCCAATTTGGCGATAATTCCATGCAAGATCTGCAAATTGTCAAGGTACGATCAACATTGACAAACATCAGATAACATTTGCAAAACAACCCTTGCGAGACCTTACTACTATGGGCAGCCATCGTTAAAGGTGTTTCGTGGCGATCAACAAGCAGGGCATATCTAGGTTTGCAGTTGGTCCAGCCTCTGTTGGTGTTGCTCTTGTTCGATTCCCAATACAGCTTCCATAAATGTGGGGTTGCCTGTGTACGTCTTATGACACCGATGTTTTCCAGAAAGCTGATTCTGAAATCTCCCTCTTACCCTCAAACGGTAACTGAGAGGAGAAATGTACTAAAGTGATTTGAAGACTTACAGACGAAAGCTTGACAATCAACAAGCAGGGCATATCTAGGTTTGCAGTTGGCCCGGCCTCTGTTGGTGTTGCTCTTGTTCGATTCCCAATAGAGCTACCATAAATGTGGGGTTGCCTGTGTACGTCTTATGACACTGATGTTTTCCAGAAATTTGATTCTGATATCTCCCTCTTACCCTCAAACGGTAACTGAGAGGAGAAATGTACTAAAGTGATTTGAAGACTTACAGACGAAAGCTTAACAATTAATGTTCTAGCTAATTTCTTGTTCCCAGTCGCATGAGCAAGGAGCAAATCTAAGCTGGGGGACGCACATTGTGACATACACGGCTACAGATTCGGCAAGACTGAGTGCCGAATGTCGGTTTACGATTCGCCTTGGACGTAAGTCTTCACCATCACTAAGACCATCTCATCACTACCTATACCACCTCTATCTTGCTCCAAGAACCCTTAACTTCTTAACGTTATGATGAATCACAGAAAGGTACTGATGGGAGTGAACGTGCGAGGATCTAGTAAGCTTGTGCACAACCAGACCAAGTGATATGTCTGTGTGCTACTTCTCAAAACTTCTTGTATTTTTAAAATTTATTTCAATGTCAATTCCAAATATCTTGCATTTTTCATCGGAATTCTTTTGGCAATAAGTAGTAATACTGTAACATATAGAATCGGGTATAGTCTTTGTGATGTTTGACTATGCTATATGTTAGGATACGGTAGCTGTGGCTGAGAGCAGGATAAACGATGACTACGAAGACTATACAAAGACACACGGGTAATGACTATGAGCTCGGCTATATGGAAAACTGGTTTATTTTCAAGAACTCAATATTCTACCGGTATTGTGTATGTACAGAACTAAAACCTCAGACCATACGGCTGAATCAGCTTATGGGTATGGCTGGGTACCAGAATACAGAAGTTGGAGACAGAATATCGTAGATGAAGACTGGCCAGAGCATAGGGCTGAATCAGCTTATGGCTATGCCTCTGGTTTCCCAGGGAGAAGAAGGAGAACTCAATGAAAGTAGGGAAATGGGGACATTTTATACAATTTCTGAGGGGTCAACTTTAGGTGAAAATAGGAGATGATGTCATATAAAGAAAACATAACTTATATGACATCATTTCTGAGTAAAGGTAGACTGACCATAGACTGACGTAATGGTCAGTCTGGGGGAGTACCCTTATGAGGTCACTTTCCCCTGTACAAGGGTTAAATCACAATCCTGGTTTGATGTGGGGGTATTGCTTGGAAAACAGTGACGTGAAGACCTTGGGTGTAATGTGGAACACCTGTTGTGAGAGTTGTATCAGGGATAGTACAAATTTCGGTCTTACAATACGGCCCGTTCATACTAAGCGCGAAAGCAATGCGAACGCAATTGTGTGACGTCATGATGGCAAATGTTCGCGCAACGAGTTGGCAAAAGTTGAACACATTCCAATACCTGTTAATATCACTGCCGATGCTTTGTGACGTCAGATTCGCTTGGCGTTCGCATTCGCGTAATGAATGAACCGGCCATGAAAAGTTCGATAACAAACTCACCATTTTATTATGTCATCGTCTACAGTGGTGACCTGCCCGATTTTGACGTCTCCTAGAAACGGCCAGATGTCGCCCTCCCCTTGCAGTAACCATTCCCAATCAGTGTGCTCGTTTCATTGTGACGTCGGCTACGAGCTTGAGGACGCGGCCTCGGCCGAACGCCGATGTCAGGCCAACGGCCACTGGACAGAAACAATACAGCAGTGTCGAAGTTAGATTATCTTAGAATTCCAACATCCAATCAAATTAATCGCCTATACACGACAACGGGGTGTTTGGAACCTTGGCTTCGTACCGGCTTCGGCTTTGTCCCTGCGCTTCAGAATCGTTCAAGTCCAAATTCAAATGGAATTAGTCTGAAAGCTGGCCTCTTGAATAGGATACGATGTTTATAAAGCACAACCTGAGTCAAGTGCCTGAACGTTCCTGAAGCCAAAGCTAACACGAGACCGATGTTTCAACATCCCATATAATAATGCAGAGAACGCCATATCATGAATCAGTGACGACATTCATTCTATTAAACCTTTATACTTACCTAATCTTTTGAGAATAAAATTAATCCCACAGTATGATAGTGTCAAGGAGCGATAGTTGAGAGGATATCTTAAGTGAAACCTAATTAATGAATGCATGAGACTCAGTTGTTCGGCATTGATATTGATTATACTGAGACCACTCTTGACGATGGTGTTGTTCACTTTGACAGAGGTACAGTGTGTGGCCCTGTCGAAGCCCTCCAACGGCTTGATATCTTGCCAGAACCAGGAGGCGGGCAATCTCAACGTCTACGGCACAATCTGCAGGTTAGTGGGGTGTTAAGATGGGTGTAGTTGCTACACATACATACAGAAGTCCTCGAGTCCCGCATCCTACACTCTTTCACAGTAAAAACAACAGTCACGGTTTCGATATTGATGCAAGCACATATTGTTTCCAGCTACATTTTCCAGGCTAAAATTTTATAGCAGATGGACATCTGAGAAAACTCGCACATTTCTTCTGGATTTTATGACTACTGTGTGTTGTTTACAAACTTGTTTACGTTTGTAGGTTTACATGTTCAAATGGGTACAACCCTGCCGGGAGCCGAGAGCGTGTATGCACAGCATCCGGAGAGTGGTCTGGAGACGACTTCACCTGCAGATGTACGTATGCCGTACGCAGTGCGTAAAAGGGTCTGAACCCTCACGTATGGACCAATCACGACACCAAATCACTTTACAATCACAATGCATTCGCCATTACTGGAAGCCCAATCTGAGATGAGAGGCAGACCGTATAGACGAAACTTGCTTCCAGAGCTACGGCTATGTCTATTGTCCAATTGCTCCCATGTGATGGTCATGGGCAAAAACCTAAACAGTAGCTCTTTACAAGCGATATGGATACGGTCTGCGGCTATTCAGGGCCAGGGCTCGTCTGTAATAGGCTCAAAGTGTCAGTGTCAACAAGCTAGTGCATGCACGGTTGTGAATATGACTGATTTTGTTGAATTGAAATAAATGGAGTTGAATTGCAAAAGAACGTAAATGGATGGCCAAATTGATGTCGATTGTTTTATCTCATCATCTAGCCATCACCTGCCCCATACTGCCCCCACTTCGCCATGGCTCCATTGAGCCCTCGCAGTGCGCCAACAAGCGACGGGTTAAGTTCATCTGCATCTTCAAGTGCAAGGAAGGATTCCGCCGGGTGGGCCCGACCTTCAAGATGTGCGAAGCCAGCGGCAGTTGGTCAAACCCTGGGGAAGAGGTTGCCTGCGTGGGTAAGTCAAAGGTCGCTAGGTCAACCTCGTTCCTATGAGCCTGTATATAATTTCACTCATTTCCTTGACAACACGGGGACGAGGTTAATCGTTAGCAGCCATTTTGATAAGAAGACTTGATGACCTCCGGTCCCGGCCAATGGTTAGGCCCAAAAAAAAAATAAGTCGGTCTCTGGTCAGCGCGCGCGTCGATTTTAATCATGCGCGTCGATCTTTTTTTTTTCCAAAATGTTCCGCGGTAGCTCCAAGAGCGCCCTCTATTTCCGCACCTCCTCAATTTTTTTTACCAAAGAACACCAAGGAATGGGAAATTGCACCAAGGCAAATGATCGAAAGCACCAAGGCAAATTATGGAGGACACCAATGTACATGAGGACACCAAAAAAGCAAAATAGTACCCACCTTGTTTGTACAATCCAAGCTTGAAGAAAAAAAAAAAAAGCCAAAAAAAAAAAAAAAGCCGCGTGGCCGCGTCAATTCCGGAACTTTGGTCTGACCAGAGACCGAATATTTTTTTTTTGGCCTTATTGCCTTTATTTGTATTACCTCAACCAATCAGACAGCAGGATGTGATATATAGTCAAGGCACAGAACAACTAGCAGCCAATTAAATCTCAAAGAGCAACAGGTTGATGCCCATTTGTGCATATATATGTGTGCTCTAACTTTACTTAGCAGGAGCTTGAACGCTTTGTGGACTTGCACACGTCCACACTAGGTTTCCCCCTCTCTGGAAAACAGTTTTACAGCCATTTCGGGGCCAGGTTTATTCGTCGCAAAACGAAAAGGAACACTCAATGAAAGCATGATAAAACAATTGGGTTGAAAGAGTGTTCACAGTGCAAGTACAATGAGGGTTTACAGGTATCATAAAAAAATGTAAAGATACACATATACATATTTTAAAATGCAATACCCATACGTAAATCCGGTCGTGTCAAAGCGGAGGAGATTTCTTGATTTGAACCATGCAAATAATTATCTCTGTATGGGGTATTTTAATCCCCTTCATTTAACATTTGATTTTAGATGATGTTCCGCCGGAAATAACTTGTCCATTCTCAGTGGTCAATGAGTACTGTAAAAACGAGCTGGGGGTGTCTGCGTGTGTGTGTGTGTGTGTGTGGGTATGGGTGAGCTTGTGTTACATACGCAGTGTGGACTTCCGAACAAAAGACGTCCACATAATGTAGGTAGCAGCGACGAAGTGTGGACTTGCCCACGTCCACACAGTGTTTCCCCATTTCTGGAAAACAGGTTTAGAGGCATTTTTGGGTTAGGTTTATCTGTAGCAGAATGAAGAGAAACACTAAAGAGAATCATTGAAAAAAAATGGGTTGTAAGAGTTTTCACAGTTTGAGAAAAATGAGTTTTTCCACTGGTGTTCCTTAACTACACGAAAAGAAAGGAAAGTCCACACTAGGTATGTGAAACAAGTCTGGGTGTGTTTGTGATGACGTCGAAGACTTAGTTGCCTGGTAGCCGGCTGTTGTTCCGTTTTAGCACTTCTCACAATAAAGCTTGGAACCAGCTTATGCGGTTAGATCCAATACCTATAATAATCTGGTCGTGTCAAAGCGCGGGAGATTTCTTGATTCTAACCATGCAAACGATTCTCTTTCTGCGACATATTATAACCCCAGTCATTTAACCCTTGATTTTAGATGATGTCCCGCCGGAAATAACGTGTCCAGCCTCAGTGGTCAAGGAAGCCGATCCCGGTCTTTCCTCTGCCGAGGTGAGCTGGGACATGCCGATTATTCAAGATAACCAGGACGGTACGGACGCCCTGACCCTCACGGTCAGTCCATCTGGTATGAAGCCACCCCACCGCTTTGAGATTGGCTCGGTCGTCATCACTTACACCGTGACAGACAGCGCCGGCCTCAGCTCAGTCTGCCCCTTCAAAGTGGTAGTTCTCGGTAAGAATTTCTCCATGTTAGACAACGTATGCCTATTATGTTTCCTTCAAGAGTGGTGAAGAGTGAATCAGTTCCACAAAATAGTAATTTGGTGTGAGACAATTAGGCCTCTGAGTCTCAGGGATAGATTTGGAGTGCGAATAAAAGTTATGTGTTGCACTGGATCGTGAGGCAACTTGAGATGCAAAGTTTTCATGCGATTTAAACTGTCTCACATTTAGCTCGACATACATGTACCTTCACCGAGCATTTCGGGTGATGTATAGGGCGGTCGGTAGATCATCGGTCACGATCCCGGTCGACATGCTGAGCATTCGTACCTATCAAGGATGTGCAGTGTCACGGCTGCATCAAGCTATTTTGATAAACGGATGTCTCACATAATTCTAAGAGAACCGATCTGATTTTTTTTTTCGGAATGACTTTTACCCAACAGATACACAGCCGCCGACAGTGGACAGCTGTCCTGTGCCAATCATTGACATCACCTCGGCAGACAAGGTCAAAGCCGTGACGTGGGACGAGCCCCAATTTGCCGATAATTCCAGGCACGATCTGCAAATTGTCAAGGTACGATCAACATTGACAAACATCAGATAGCATTGGCAAAACAACCCTTGCGAGACCTTACTATGGGCAGCCATTGTAAAAGGCGTTTCGTGGCGATCAACAAGCAAGTCACATCTAGGTTTGCAATTGGTCCGGCCTCTGTTGGTGTTGCTCTTGTTCGATTCCCAATACAGCTTCCATAAATGTGGGGTTGCCTGTGTACGTCTTATGACACTGATGTTTTCCAGAAAGCTGATTCTGAAATCTCCCTCTTACCCTCAAACGGTAACTGGAAGAGGAATGTACTAAAGTGATTTGAAGACTTACAGACGAAAGCTTAACAATTAATGTTATAGCTAATTTCTTTTTCCCAGTCGCATGAGCAAGGAGCAAATCTAAGCTGGGGAACGCACATTGTGACATACACGGCTACAGACTCGGCAAGACTGAGTGCCGAATGTCGGTTTACGATTCGCCTTGGACGTAAGTCTTCACCATCACTAAGACATCTCATCACTACCACCTCTATCTTGCTCCAAGAACCTCAACTTGTTTTCTTTTCTCTTAGGGAAAAGCATATTTTTTGTCCACGTTCAAGGCTGCCGCTGTTATCAGTGCCAACATAAGTAATACTCATGTAACCATGCCACAGGCCTTCAACCATAAATGCTGGCAAAACCTTCCAAACTTCCTGAGGAATGTCATTTATGTCAATGGATCATGTCAAAATCATGAAAACAATTAAATTCGTTCTCGTTTTAGCTTCCAGTTGTCCGAACTACCCGGACCCGCGTAACGGTGCTAGGGCCTGTGACCAGTGGCTGTTCGGCCAATTCTGTCGGGTGCACTGCAACCGGGCCTTCGAATTCACTGAGACACCGGCGATATGGTACATATGCTCTGGCAGCACGTGGAGAACTTTCCCAACTGGAAGGGCCATACCCTGGCCAGACTGCTCAGGTAAAATTGCCTTCCTCGTGATTGTTGTTATAAGTCCTTCGTTCATAAGGGAAACGGATTGTGGGTGACCCTGGTCTCTAAACCACCTTGAGAGTCGGAGATCAAACAGTGTGTCGTTGTGCACATTTATTCGCAAACTTTTAATTAGGGGATACTTAACTATAAACTTTGACCTTGTTTTTGAAAGAGAAGGTATAACATGACACCTTCAACAGATCTTCTAGGTTTCCCTTTCAATTTGTTTCTAGAACGAGCTCCAGCGCACGGATCCCGACGGGGCATGTCATCCCAGTACATGTACTACGTACGAGACTGCATTAACTCGGCAACCCAAGGAGCCATCAAGGCAGCTTTCGTCGAGGACTTCAAGGACAGCATCTTAGGGAAAAACGGTGGCTGCTTCGCGGAAAACTCCTGCGAGTACGTTGCATCTTTTAGCTTGAAATCATGATACGTATTTTTGTAGGGGAAGAAGAGGTATAATCAAAACATAATGTGCTGATCATGCGCGTCCTTCGCCAGGTGGCTCTTCATTAAACACTATCTGTTATTGGGCCTTTTTGGATGCTTTCAGATAAGGTCATGTATAGTGCGTACCTGTGGGGTTTTTTTCTGGGGGGGGTATAGGCTTACAGGGGTAGTGGCCTTTGTGTCCGTCTGTGCGTTCAGTAGCCCTTATAGTGGCTTTTACCCTTATGACGGTGACCTCCATGTGTGTACGTTGTCTCGTACTGTAGTGCAAGATGTCTCGATATGCATTTTTGGTAACATGCACTTCCAAAATCCGTATTTACTAAAGCACGGGGTGTATTCCACAGGGTCGAGTACGTGACCGTATATTGCGGGGAAATTGACGAGAACACACGGCGAAGGAGGCCCCGAGCGGCCGACCCGGGTGACGAGACAGACTTCGCTAACGTCGTCACTTTGGATTTCACCGTAACGACTCGAATACGATCTGTGGTAAGGTGCATTCCCGAACACAGGACCCCTTTGCATTTGTCCAAAGTGTCTGCATCCATTGCTATCAATCTGTTTTCTTTTAAGGGAACTTCCTCCTAGTATTGTCACACTTCACTTCCTTCGGGATGCAATCTTGTAGCTTGCTCATGAGGCATGTTTTTACAATCCCTAGAGTGTATAGGCATTCTTCTGAAGACGATAAGAGCTACCATACCGACCAAAATGTCGAGATACCTTCATGGTACTCTTTCTTGGCCATCTCTGTTGCGGGAGTTGTTGTGGTTAATACTTTAATTCCACCCCTTGCAACTTAGCTTACGCTCCACTTGAACCAAGTCCTGTTAAAAGCAATGGCAACAGTACAGTAATGAATTAATTTACATTATGAAATTATGAGTTCAATGAGTCATTGTGGTTCCTCTTTTTTGTTCTAGGACAAAACGCAACTCGAGAATCAGTTGGCTAACGCCGTGCGGACCCTGGATGAAATCAGCAGGGATTACGAGCGGCTAGCCCAGGCCGGTCAGCTGCAGCTGGTGGTTGATAACCAGATCCTGCCAGTTGTAGAGGACTCGGTCTTGGTCAACCAGAGTGTTCCCCTCTGTCAGAATGGGTCCGTCGCGTTGGACGGCACTGACTGCAGTAAGTGCGCACAAGTTATCCGTAACTCGAACATTTTTGGACTTCATTTTCAATACATACGGTGGCTATCTAAGTTTGACATGGTTTTTTATTTTAATATTGGGTCCTCCTTTTGCATCGGCCATCAACATGTAGGGTTTAACTCTTTCTGGCCAAGACATGACCTTCTTGTTCTTATGTGCGCAATTGTTACCCTTCCTCAGTCAGCTGCGCCGTGGGTTCTTACTTGGACAGCAACAGGCAGGCCTGTCGAGTTTGCGATGAAGGCACGTATCAAGACGAGGACGGCCAGGATCAGTGCAAGTCGTGCCCCTGGGGTACGTGGACTGAGGGGCCCCAGGCTAAGGATGTCAGCGAATGCCGCCGTAAGTTGATTTTTGGTTTATGACAGATTGAGCCAAAGATACCTCCAAAGAGTGGTGGGAGACGCAGAGACCTCCTTATCTAGCCCGTTATACACAAACCATACGCTGGAGCTTTTGGCAGGAAATTCCACCATCTCAATGCGCAGGAACTAACGGGAAGCAAGTTTGAGCATTTCTGGGCTGGAGAACATCACAAAAGCTAAGGAATATGTAGATTTGGTTTCGCGGAGGGTGAAAAGGGAAAAGATTGTCGATGCAAACTTGGTCAGATTTTGAATGCACTGTGCTTTGCACTGCTTATTAACACATGTCGCACTTGTCTCCAGTTTACGGAACAAGGAGTACGAGAGCAGAAATCTCGATTTAGTAAATACTAATTTCTAAAAGACATATTATGGGGCTTCTCCTCTGCCCTTTGACCCCGTGTAATCAAAAACCAAGCTATAGGGCGAATTCAACAACGAGCATTCGCTACTGAGGTGAGTGATGATTACACTGGCTTGTTTTGCTTTGCAATTTTCAGCGGAGTGCAAACCGGGTACCTACTCGCCGTCCGGGCTGGCTACGTGCTGGCCGTGCACGCGAGGCTTCTTCCAGCCAGGCTTCAAGCAGACTGCCTGCCTGCCGTGCAGGGAGGGTACGACCACGCCGGCAAAGGGATCCAGATCAGCGAGCGACTGCCAAGGCAAGTCCAAATTGGCAGAGCCAGTTGTGTTTGAGTCCCACACAAATTAGTCACAGATCTGATATCACACGACAAGTATGCAAAGGATGGACAATGACAAAGGAACGACTTTGTAATATTTCCTTATGACAGCTGGTTCGTGAATGGATGGCCTTTGACTTGCGTGATTGACTAGCGATGAATTGAGAAAACGTACTTTTATGAACTATATTGTAAAACATCACCGTAGAATTCTCAGAATCAATTACCTATTAAGGATGTGCTTTCTAAATGGATAAAACCTAAGCCAGGCATATAATTATCAAAATAGTAAAGCAGCGTGATTTCATGTAATAACGCGAGACTGTGACGTCAACCACTGTGACGTTGCATTTTTATCCCATAAGTATGCTGCATATTAAAAGTTTTCGCCGGTTGGCGCTGAACATTCAATTTCCAGAAACACAAAATTATGAAGAGTAAAGTATTTTCACTCCACTGCAATAGTATAAATTCACAGTGATGCAAATGAGAAAAAGTGAAGTAAAAGTTTGTATTTACCGCTTACAATGGATACATCTGAGAAAAATGAGGTTTTCCTTCATATGACATGACACATACCTTTGCTTCACAGCTGTGTGTGGCCCGGGAACATTCAGTGCGACCGGTCTGCAGCCGTGTCGGCCTTGCCCTCTGGGTTCGTATCAGCCAGATGAGCAACAAACCCACTGCGTGCCTTGTGCCGGCAGCGAGACGACGGCTGTTGACGGTGCGACATCTGAAGCGGAATGCAGAGGTAAGAAAAGGAACGTGAAAAATGACTTGATGCCGAATGCTGATCAATTTTCGTTGTGAATCTAGATGGGATGTTTCATTCCATTTCGGTTTACTCCCCAGCCAATGCTGGTCGAGGCTTTATACCCATTAGTATTTTCTAGGTGGAGAGGAGTAAGGTGAGGTAAAGTGGCTTGCCTGAGGACACAAAATACCAGTAGCTAGATTCGAGCCCCAACATACTACTATTTTTAATCCGCAGAGATCGATGCTTGTGAATCTGCCCCATGTGAGAATGGCGCGCAGTGCACCAGCCACAGGGGCGCATTCCACTGCCAGTGCGTGACGGGTTTCGCTGGTACTACGTGCGATACTGAAATAGACGAGTGCCGGTCTCAACCCTGCCTCTTCAATGCGACCTGCGTCGATCAAGGTAATGTTCAAAGTGGGATTTTAACAATTTTAAATTCCTCTTCCCGAAGACCATTCGCCAGTTCTGTTTTTTTTCCTCGTTCACGTTCACGTTCCTTTGATTCTTCATTGTGTAATTTTGTTCCAGTTGGTGGATTTGACTGTCTCTGCACGCCCGGATACGAGGGCGCCCTCTGCGGAACGGAAATCAACGAGTGCTTGTCAGACCCGTGTCAGAATGAAGCAAAGTGCCAAGATCAGGTATGGTATGCTGCCACCTACAAAGGATGACAAAGCCTGAAATCAAAGTCAAAACATGACAGATTTAAACTTTGTTCTTCGGCTGGGATAGATTATTACGTGCTAGTCTAGCGACCTATGGCAAGGAAACAAAAGGGGTTTGAATTCATCAAGTGCAGCCTCGCTTTTGTTCCAATATGGCGGCTCTGTGCAAAAGTCTAATTGAAGTTGTGAACATCGATATCGATGATCACTGATAATGATATGGTTTTTCTTCATTGAACACTGGAATATTTTTCAACAGTCTAACATTTCGGTTCTGGCATAATCTTTTCAGATTCTGCTAAAATCGAAACTAAGTTTGTTAGTGTATATCAGGGGAGTCAGGAAGCAGTTTGCAGCTTGATTTTTTTTATATTTTTCAAATTTAATTTTACTCCAGGTTGCCGGTTTTGACTGTGACTGCGTGGACGGGTTTTGGGGCCCGCTGTGTGAGAACCGGCCGGATCCCTGCGCCGGACAGGCCTGTCTGAACGAGGGGTTCTGCATCCCGACGCCCGGCTCGTTCCAGTGCCTCTGCCAGTCTGGCTTCAAGGGACTCCGATGCGAGACAGATGTCAACGAATGCGACCTTCTACCTTGCCAAAATGGCGCAAGGTATTACCATGACAACCAAACAAATAGGATTTCCATAACTCCCACTGATTTGTTCATTATCTGGGATTGCCAGCTTATAATAAAATATGTTTTGGTAAGTTAAATGCTTATACATGATAACATAAGATTTCGTTTCTCCTTAAGATGTGAGAACACGCCGGGGGGCTACCAGTGCGCATGCGTGCCTGGGTTTGAGGGGACTCACTGTGAGGTGAACATCGACGAGTGTGTACATCATTCCTGCGCTAACGGTTCTACCTGCAGTGACGTCATCGCTGGCTACCAATGCCTGTGCCCGCCGGGGGTCACGGGACAGTTCTGTGAGACAGGTGAGAATTTTCCGAACCGAACCGAAGCAAACTGAGTCGAACCGACCTGAACCAAAGGAACCGAACCATATCGAATCGAATCGAATTGCATCGAACTTTTCCACGTAGGATTGCCGTCCATGCTGCATTTAATCCTGATCGGTTTCAGAGAACCGAACCGAACCGAACAAAACCAAAATGAACTGAACCAAACCGAACCCAATCAAATCGCACAGAACCCTGCCTTTTAGGATTACCGTCTGTATACAGCATTTAATTCTGATCGGTTTCAGAGAGTCGAACCAAACCGAACGGAACCGAGCAAAACCAAAAAGGAACTGAACCAAACTGAGCCTTTCCATGGACTATTGGTGACCTACCAGCATCTCTTTAAGTTTCAGTGATTTGAAGTCTTGCAACCTCTTGCACCTGTTCCACAGAACCTTTCCATCAACCGTGTCATGAAAAAACCAAGGATGAACTGTATTCATCTTTTAGGGAACTAACCCTTTCATCAGATCCTTCTTGTACACCTGAACTTTTTCATTGCAGGACAGGGCACGTTCTATAGCTTGTTTCTCCCGCTAAATTCTTCGATTTCTGAACTCTCCATTCTCGTTCCATGTAGAAATGTCCCAGGATTTCCTGCTGAATTTCACCAGTTCCTTGACGTCCGACTTCTCCCTCATCCGAACCAGACACGCGGAGTTCCAAGAGATCACGCTGTCCGTGTGGCTCCGGACCACTGATACCACCAACATGGGAACACCCATCTCCTACGCCGCCACGAGACCAGCAAGCAAGTAAGCAATGACCCAAGAGCGTCCTATATTAAAAGATCCTATGCCGTCTGTCTGTCTGCCTGTCGTCTGTCGGTCTGGGTGTCTGTCAGTCTGATGTCTAATGTCTGTGTGTTACGGGTTTTGTGTAAAAAGCATAAAAGAGTGTGCACAAGCACAAAAATATAATGGTTAATGGAGAGGCGTGGTTATTGTTTTTCATCGTCTCTGTTAAGAACACCATAGCATAGGGGTAAGGACTCGAATACCAATTAAAAAACAGTGAGCCATTATATGTCTCCAATATTTTAGTGCTGTTTATTCATGCTTCTATTTTGCATTACATTACGAACGTAGAAGGTGAAGATAATTGTGTTTATAATGAAAGCAAATGCAAAGTTAATGGCGACACCGGTAACATAAACTAATGGACACCAAATGAAAAGACACAAAAGTAGATGAAGTCAGTAAAAGCTAAAATAAAGGTCTGGGTAAATATCACCCCCCCCCCCCCCCACCCCCTGTAATTCAAAACCTAAATCCTCAAATCAAATTTTACGTACACATTTCGGCTGTAGGAACTGATATCGTAAAAGGCTGCGCGTCCTGCGTACACTTCCGGTGCACTTCTTGTAAACAAAGAATGTTATTACGGGCACTAAGACTGTTATTTTACCCAGGTCGACAAAATTCAATTTTCTTTTCAGTTCGTCCGCGGGAGGAGGAGGCGCCGGTACCGGCAGCCGCCTCGTGGACAACGCGCTGACCGTGACGGACTGCTCCTCGCTCCGGGTCTACGTGAACGGACTGGTGATTTTCACCGAGGTGGCTGTCAACAACGGGCGGTGGCACAGCCTGGCGTTTACCTGGCGCAGAGCAGGTGAGAACGAGCGTAGTACACGTTGGATAAACATAATCAGCGAACGGTTTCCAATTTCAATTCCCTTCCCCCCTCTATCCGTTTTGCCGGTGACACGCATGAGCTGCGCCTGCCGTTGTTCGTGGGATGAATTCTCTTTTTTTCAGACTCAAAAAGTCGCTGTGGTTATCTTGATTCATTCAATATATTTCCCATTCCGATTTTGGATAATATAACAAATTGATCTTCTGTTGTCGTCTTTTAAATCTTCATCTTGACCAAAAAAAAATGGCAATTTATCAATACAAGTACATTTAATATCATTCTACGAATTCCTTTAGGAAAGATGATATAAAAAAATACCTGAAATTAAATGTTGAAACTGAACTGCAATGTAGCTAGCTACGAATACTTATTACAAAAAAACTGAAGGATATATTATTTTAAGCAGGCCTATGCATGAGGTAAAACAATCCATGGAGTTAATTGAAAAAACAAAAATCCGCTTCAATCTTCCCATTATAATGTATTCATCAAACTAGCCTAAATGTCAATTTGGCATATTTTCGAATGAGGGATTTCCCCCTTCGTACGTGATACGTGAGTCAGTATAGCATCATACCCGCGCAAATATATGTTATAATTTCGGCCCACGTTTAAACCATCTTTAAAGGTCAATTACAGCTATATACCATAAGGCTATACCATTGACATGTAAACCTTATATCACACTTTCAGTTTTTCCTAAAAAAAATACTGGCCTTATATCTTAGCCAGAGACGGGCACCATGCGAGGGGTATACGGACAGTGATCATTTTCCAATGATATCAAAGAAAGTAATAAAAGAATACTGATCCTAAAATAGCGACACTTAGACCTTTGTGCACTTTCGTGCACTTTCGCAGGCTGTTGAGTAAAATGCTATCCTTCTAAATACATTTGCATATCAATTGGGATATTTTTTTTAAATCACCTTTTAAATGAAAAGGTTTACATTAAAGCAAATTATTGACAGTAATCGTCTGAATGTTTCCAGTTATCAATGCAAACGTTTTCGTTCAGGCCATTATTTCGCTGTAATGATGACATTTTCCCTTTAAGTTCTAATTGCAATTTCTATCATCATGAATAAATTAAACACACTGAATCGTGTAAATTTAAAAGGGCGCCTATGCCATTTTACACACCAACATGCCATACAATCGAATTTCAGAGATACGGGTAGGTCAATGCGTAGATTGCACTGAGTGAACAATTCAGCTGATGAGGCTACAAAGGTCGCATCAGTATGGTTTCCACGAAGGGGGGAAGCTCCTAGAAATGTGGCGCGCACTCCTGCTATATACAGTTTTAAGCTCTTATTTTAACCTGTACGATCACTGGTATGGGTTGTCAAAACAAGACATAGGCTACACGCGAACGATATACAGCGAGTCATAAATAAGGAATGTAATTATATGCTCAATGGAATTGACCTATCCAATGGCCGTTTGCGAGTTAGCCACGCACCTTAGACAACGCAGCTTGTGGAATATTGTCCAATTATAATGATATACAAATGGACGCGGAACGCGCAAAATCTGAGACAAACGAAACTTAGTGTACAACAACTCCATAGGGTTGTCTAAGAGGCGTGGCTAACTTAATTCACAAACGGCGATAGGTCAATTATGCGCGACAAATACCAAGCCTGTCTGCATTACCTCGGAACAGTTGCGGCTCCGGCTTTAGTTTCTCTTTCAAGGATTTTAATGTCAAAACTACATTTTACGCCTATTATAGGATATTGGTATTCCGACAGCAAACCAAGAAATGCAAATGTTGAACCGGAGTTCCCTCCTCCAATGGGGAGGGGGGGGGGCAAAATTCTCCCCCAAGCCAAAGCCGCAACGAAGCTGCTGATTGAAAAATACCTGTATCTTTTGAATCACTTGTTGGCAGGATTGTTCTGTCCTCCACATTATCCAGTCGGAACCGCCCTTGACAGTATGACCTGACCTGAAACCACTTGGCCAATAATTGATTGGATTTGAAGAGTCCCCTGAATAATCAGACATTGGATATTTTGCCGTATGATCAGTGCCGCATGATTGATTTGTCTAAGTAAACCGGCAATATGGTCCAAAATAAAAATTAAAAAACCTGAACGGCATACTTCCACTATCTTGAGATTCAAACCACCGGTACCAATTGATGGAGAATCCTTTTAGAAGAATTATGATATCAAAATCTCCCGATTCGGTCCAGTGGTTTTTGCTGCAGAGCCTATTTTGTAAAGGGCACTTCTTTCATCAGTTATGTCAGTCAAATTCCCGGGCGCGGTTAGTAATTCATCATGACAAAAATGCCCCCCCCCCACCTCCTTGCTCCACAAACTAAGCTGTAGAACAAAAACTACCGGACCGAATCGGGTGAGCTCGGTTTCATTTTTCTTCTAAAAAAATTCTCCAAAAAAGTCTCAGGGTAGTGGAAGTATGCAATCCCCTTTGGGTTTTTTGTTCGACCACCCTGTATAATAAGAATTGGACCTTGACATGCTGTCATTAGACTAAATTATTAATAATTGTTTTCTGTTTTCACTTGTCGTCTGTTGATGATGAATGAGCAACGCATTAGCATAACATAACTGCAATGTAGACAGCATAATCATGTACGCATAATGTGTGCAGGAGACAAATTAGTATGGCCCTGTTGTATACCGCCTTTAACAAGTGAAAAGAAACTCGGAGGTTTACAACATTGCATTTCGGTTCAATGGGAAGATTTTTTTTAGCATGACTAAATACCTGATATAGTAAGACAGTGAAATCTCGACAAGTCAAACTCTGATAACTCAAAACAACTGTCAAACAGAGAATCCGTTGCCTTCAGTAGTATGACAATGATATACAACCCTGCTTAACTCAAAACTCTGTCAAATTTTTAACCTGTTCCCTTGAGGTTTGACTTATCAAGATTTCACTGTAGAACGGCAGATAGGTGATGGGATTGTGCCTTTGATGATACAAGCATGGCATTTGGCACACAGTAAGAGTATGTCATGAGAAAGATATTTGGCTATAGGGCCATCGCAAATTCATCCATATAGGTAGAATAATGAGCTATGGCAGTTATTTTGAAAATTTTGAAAATTGCTTGTTATTCTACCTATATTATTTCAAAGGACAAATCTACGATGGCCCTATAGCCAAATAGATTTCCTAAGACATACTCTGACTGTGCTCCAAATACCATAGTTGCATCGTCAAAGGCACAATTGCCCCACATATTTATTCTGCCCTACTATAATAACTATTTTTTTAAAAATGACCCCACATACCAAAAATCAATCAATGACTGATGAGCTAATTTTTCCACAAGCATTTTAATTTGGGTGGAAAATCGAAAGCTTTTTTAGTTTATTGCATTATTGCCGGCGGAAGAGGAGCCAGATATTGATTGTCTGAACGCTTTTGTTCTGCGCCAGCGGGTCCTCTGACCGCGAATCAACCAAAAATTCCCCCGGGAAATTACGGGCCGGAGATGATCTTTTCTCGCTTATTAACGCTCCGTTTGAAACGGCAATGAGTGTAATTGTTTCGGCTCTTCTCGAATTCTGTCTCTGTGTCTTTTGATCGTGTCCTTGGTCCTAATGACACAATAATCACTATGAAACGCTCGCTGAGCTCAGTCGAGCGTTCAATTTGCATTAATCATTATCCGATGGTTGAACGAATATTCTGTTCATCCTTTTGGGGCTCGATGGACTTGGACAAGTAGAAATACGAAAACGGACGCGTTTTTGATAAGAGAATGCAATTGCTGGGGAAAACGATTCACAGACTTATTACTGGAATTCTAATGACTTATCAACGGTATCAATAATCTCTTCAATTAGATCGATGTTTTGGGCTTTTTTTTCAAATGTAGAATCTAAAAAGGGAACTGTTTTCAGACGGAATGCAATATGGTAAAATATAATCAGATCAGCCTTTGAACGCAATACTGTTCCCATTTTTCGATAGAGAGGTTTTACAGAATGTTAGAATTTTCTAATTCGCAAGTGCCGGTGAAAATTACACTCAAAGAAATACCATGATTTAAAGAAAAAATCCCTTTGAGACCGACGTGCAAATTTTAAAGTTCCCATATTTGTTTGGTTTGTTGGGGTGTTTGTTTTATCATTCATTCTGTTTCAACTTTTGTTTACAGTCGGCGATTGGCATTTGTACGTGAACGGCACGCAAGCAGCCAACGGGACTACCGGACCGAGCACAGAAGCCATACCGGGCCAGGGCGCATTCGTCCTGGGTCAGGAACAAGACGCGATCGGCGGAGCCTTCAGCTCCAGGGAGGCTTATCTCGGTGAAATTTACAAGTAAGATGAGTGATCCCAACCATGGGGCGATGGCGACAGACCCTCCCCCCCCCCCCCCACCACTTTCGAAATAAAATATCACGTTTAAGTGATATTGTTTCCTTCCCTAAAACTTATCTTGTACACATGCTTGTGTACAAGATACCTTTCCTCACAATTTGTAACAAAATAGACATAAAACTGTGCAAAACTTGACTGACACTCAACTATAGAAATATTTACTAAAAAAAACCTAAAATTAATTGGTATTTTAAATATTGACACTCTTTGATTATATACAAACTGATCTTTTATTTACGAAATGGTGACTCAGAAAATAGTAAACGAACCAATTTTTCAAATTTCCTTAGTCGTTATTAATTCAAATTGGGAAAGCTGAAGGGTTGTCATTATGCGCTTGTCATCCATGTTTGCATTATTGTAAAGCACATTTACCCCCATTAATCGCACAACCGTGACTTTTCCTGCCATCCTGCTCTCTAAACACAAGAGAGCTACAGGCTACCTCTCGTAAATATAGCTTGAGATTGCTTTCCGGAATTGGCAATTACATGTACCAAGAAAATGGCCAGATCGTGCCGCGGGGATATGAATTTCATTATCGGCGAAGCAGGACTCATGCATCCAGAACCCATGCACGAACACATCCTGTTGTGCAGCAAATTGCTTTATTGTACCCCACTGTAGTTGATTGTATGTTTAAGCAAGCACTCGTCATATCTCCTTAGATTCTCTGTTATTTTAACATTGTAACTTATTGTAAGGTTTGGTTTGTTTTGGGATTTTTTTTACTGAAGGTTGAATATCTGGGATCGTGTTTTGCCCGAGGACGACATCCAGAACTTATCCCACTTCTGCCACCAAGAGAAGGGCAACGTGGTGGCATGGTCAGACTTCCTTGCGGGACTGGAAGGAGGACTGGAGCCTAAACCCACAAACGCGACGGGGGAGGTGAGGAACTAGACCTAAAAATATGCATAAATTAAAGTAAATCTGATTCCAAAGGCAACAAATTAAACCGGTTGAACGAAACCTTCAAGCAATGCCAAGTAGCTGCTTAGCACGTACATTTTCTAGCACCAAAAGTTTGGCTTACCACCACGAGGGTACCAGCCAAAAAAAGTAGTTTGATGTATGCTTGTAGCTGGTTCCCAGTTGATTTTCGCTTTCCGAAACAAATTTGCCAGGCAGTATTTTCTGATTTAGCAGCACCATATGAGATTCGGCTCCGTACCCAAATCACTTATTTATAGCGCGCACAGCGCACTCTGGATTTGTTTATTCACTTGTGTTATTTTGCTCGGCTTCCTGTCCCTTTGAGCGTTTAAGTGATTCAAAAACACGAACGCTTTTAACCGGCATCACTGACAAAACCAGTTTGGCGATCTTCTGATGGACGAGCTGTAGCTCAGCAAATGCTGCTCCTGTGATAAGGCCGACTGCTCTTGTTGTGTTCAAACCCATCAGTGATGTTGTGATTTTATCCAAGAGTCGTCAAGATAGCAATTACAGGATAACGTAAAAGCAAAGCCATGGATTTTATTCCATTTGACAGCCCTTAATGTATTAAATGATTATGTGCATCCTACTGGCCGGAATCGTTACTTCCGACTCAGGCTCTGTCCGAAAGTACACATATATCTGTTGTAGCGGCTACAGCCACTTGCCATAGACTCGTGTGTAATTTCAAGCCGTAGCCACTAATTCGGATACGGCCTTTGGCTGTGTCCAAAGGGGCTTTCAGAGCTACGACTACTCCTATTGTCAGCTTGTTCTCACGTGGTTATAATATGTGCGAAGACCAAGATAATAGCCAAAGACACCGTTTATACGGACGCGGTTTGAATGCTCCATTTGTTAACTTTTCTAGAGCGAAGACATGATGTATTCCTAATTTGATTTACCGTTGTTCTCCATTTTCAAATAGGTGCCCGGATGCGAATTCTACTGACTTCCGAGAAATAAAAAGAGGAAGAATGACAGCGTACTCCATCAACTAGACTTCGTGTAAAACTACTTACTAGTAATGGACATTACACAGTTCAACGGTCAATTTTCGTTCAGTGTTTGAACTCGCATAATGACCGAATATTTCAAGAATGTAGAAAAGAGGTAATATGCCACCAATGTTCTGTCATTATTATTTCGAGATTAAAAAAGTAATATGTATTTGTGAAACGAGACTTGCTTTTAAACAAAATTCAACTGGAGAAAATGCTAACATTTTGCTTTGGTAATTTTCGTTATGCTGCTAGATATAAAATTGTCTCTATTGTCATTTTAAACGTTCTATCATGAATTCCCGAGTTTAAATATTTTTTATTTAACACCTGTCAAAACGATGATAATTTCTGTTCACAAAGAGATCGAATTTTGATGAGAACGTGGGTACAGTATTTGAAAACCAATTCTGATAATTGCCCGGTGTTTAGTCAGAATTGTTTGTTTTGGAAAAGCAAACACGAAAATTATACATTCACTTTCAGCTGAATTTGAGTGGGGCACGCATGTTGAATACACAGGCTTTGATCGCTGGACATGATGGACGGTTCTGTTTTCGTGACTACATAATTATCACTTTTTTGTTGGTCTTTGAAACTCACTCTACTGTCGGTATTAAATGGAATATACAACATTTGCAAACATAAAAAAAATACCAAATTATTATGAAAAATCTTACTGGACTGTAAGTGAATGACAGTCTTAAGCATCCTGTAAAATCATGGCACCTGGTGTGCTGACAATTTCAATAAAAGTGATATTTTGAATCAATTTGTCGGTCGACCAGCGTTGGAAAAAAAAGTGGCTTTTCATATGCTGCCCCCTTTTTACCATATTTAGTTTGCCTGAATTTTGTTTGCAATCGATTACACACATATGAACGGGTACAAGCAAGCTAGACTGGTTCACTGACCTTACAACAACCCGACGTCTATAAATTGCTTCATTTCAATTTTAGTGATGTCAGGGAACCAGACTACAAGAACATGATTGTTGTTTTCTTGGGTTTTTTCCCAGCATCTACGAACACAAAACTTTAAACTACTCAGTGTAACAATATTTAGCTACAAAATACTATAACACCCAAGTCCATCAATTTCTGAACATTACAGCAAAAGCAAATGTATATTCCCTTTAAGCATGTAGGCCATACTCCCCATTAATATATAATCATAAATAAATTTACACTGATAAGTGAGGGTAAGGTTTATACTTAACAAAATAAGGCCAAAACTGTTGGGGGGTTTTATTATTGATGAGGCGAGATAATAAATAACGATTTTGTTTCATTCCATTGTAATCTGTTGTTATTGAGGAAATTTCGCAAACACTAAATTGGCGGTGGTGTTAAGAGTGTGACACCATGGTGAATGAGGATCGACTGATAAATTAGGGGAGTGCAATAACTGATATGGTTATTTGGTCGTAAACTTGTCAAAACCATCGATATTGACAAGGTAATGGGAAATATAAAAAAAACAAATATAAATACTGTCTTAACGGATCTGGTAGTTTCATAAAATATTGCAAAGCATTGCAGTCGTCAGATGATAAAACACATTTATTCAATGATATCAGAAAAGCATGAGATTCCATTTTTTTCTCATAATTCACCAATGTGCGCTGCAATTTTCAAAATGTATGAACGTTTTCAAAATTGTGCATCAAGATATCCAAAATCCCTCTGCCGATTTCAAAGCAAAAGTGACATTCCCATACAGTTTAATCCACTTGCCCTAGCTGCGTATACGTGTTGTACGTGTTTGGAGTTGAGTGCATAGAACGAAAACAGAAACGAAACACTCTTAATCCCGACCCATTCCGTCGTAATAAACGATCGTTGTTTTGATCATTTTTGTTTTTAAACAATTATTACAGGCTACAGCACACTTTATGAAGTTCACTCATACATTGTAATTGATCATCTTTATATAATGGCCCCCTTCAAAGTAATTTCACGCTAATTCGTGGATGATCTACAAAGGGTAAGAAACGAGACAACGGAGCGCGTTTGTTAATTGCCTTCAAAAAAGCTAGGAAACAAATTATTCAGTTTTCTGTCTTTAAATGGTCTGAATAATGCAACCGCTGATGGGACTTTCTAATTAATTATGCTTTTAAGGGACGCGGTGGAACGTGGCTCGGCAATCATCATTGGTTGACGTCTGGTTTCATGAATAATAATCCAATCAGCGTGGAGAGAAAGACGGAGGATGAGAAGTGGAGAGCAAAGGCGAGACGCTTCAAAATTAGCCGGGGATTAGAACACGAGTGACTAGACTTTAAAGGGGTGCACCATGTCAGTCTGGTGGACAAAGATGCGATCGCGATGGGATATGATGCATGTGGTGATTGAGGGCATACGACAGGGTGAACGGCGATGTCGACAGCGACGACTTGATTATAATGATGCTGTTGGCACGACGATGACAAAAAGAGATAAACGTTAAGAGACTACGGAGATCACTGGTGACAATTATGATCATTATGACAGTGACAAGCAAGAAACAGGAGGTTGGGTTTGCAACTATTTACGAGGTGACGACGGTGATGAGTGGTGGTGTGACAGTGGAGACGATTAGTGGTGATCGTTGTAATACTTGTAATAGACGTTAAGTTGGCGTTTACTGAGGCAGTATAAATGACTACGACACTGGTGTCAATGCAAATATTGTGACAATGGTGACAATGGTGGCGACAATAAAATTTTGAAGCAACAACCGTGATTGTAACACAATAACGGCCGAGGTACCAATGGAGATGGTAAAGGTGGTGACAATGGACAAGGTGGTAATATTTAATCGATAACATGGTGATGAGGTGGCATTGTTACCGATTATACCGATCTCTGGGATAACTGTAGATCCGGTATGGCAAAAGTAAAATCCCTTGTATTATTGCGAAAGCGAGCGAGTGCCCCTTTAAAGCGCACTTGACAGTGTGGGTACTTACATGCGTGTTGAACCGTGTTGGGCGGAACGTGACAGGAAGACCGTACGTCGTGCTCGTCATGTAGTCATCGTGTGGATCACGATGATACTACACGAGCTTCATCTCCGGTTCATCGGCACATCAGACTCAATCGAAACTAAGAGTGGTATCGAAAAGAGAACTGAGCATCACGAGGCATTCACAATGCACGTTGATGAGTCCTCATCGTGGTTTAGGTTGGGTGGGATCCTACCTGCATAGTCACAGCACACCAGAACCTGTGCAGGGTCATTTGAATGTCGAGGGCACGAGACTGAGGTCAGTTTGTCAGTTTTCTAATTCACAGAGAGGTTTGAGAACATGAGTGAGTCGGTTGTAGATCTGGTGTGCAACGACAGTAGCTCGGCATCCTCCAGCGATGACTACGGCGGGTGCGAGCCGGCGGATGACGGCTCACACCTCGCTCACACCCTGGTGGTGTGGCTCATCTACGGACCCATCGTCCTGGTGACAATCCTGGGCAACTTCATCGTCATCACGGCCTTCGTGCGCGAGCCGGCCATCCGCTGCCGGGTGGCCAACTGCTTCATCTTCAGCCTGTCCGTGGCCGACTTCCTGGTGGGGCTCTCCATGATCTTCAACTTCATCTGGCTGCTGACGGAGGACTGGGTGCTGGGCCAGGTGCCTTGCATGTTCTGGCTGAGCGTGGACTATTGCCTGTCCTACGCGTCCGTGCTGGCCATCATCTTGATCAGTCTGGACCGCTACCGGCTGGTCACTCTGAAACTCCGGTACGCGGTTGTCCAGACGCGGCGCCGGGCGATAACGACCATCTGCTGCTGCTGGGCGTTCTGCTTGGTCTTCTACCCGGCGCTAGTGATCCTCTGGGCGCCTTTGACGGGAGAGTACATCATTGACTACAGCGAGGACTGCGACTTAGAGTCCAGGGAAAACTTGTATCTGAATCTCTTCCTAATTGTCTTGGAGTTCGTCTTACCTTTGATCGTGCTGGTGTATCTGAACACCAGGTTGTACCTCGTGGTCAAGAGACGTGCCAAGGGACTCGTCATGACGGGTGAGCATTCCGTACCCACTGTCTCGAAGGCAGTATCGGCGTTATCTTTCAAGACAACGCGTCGGGACTCAGCGAGCGGTGTGTTCTACATTACGAACGGGATTCCGGGGAGGGTTTCGCTGACATCGCTGACAATATCCGTTCCCGACGACAACCAGACGAGTGCCTGTGCGAAGCCGGCCGGCACAGCTCGCTCGTCAACCGTGCCGCCCAAGGAGCCTAGAGCCTCGCGCCAGAGGCGGCTAACGGACAGCACCCGACCGTCAGTCGGTAGCTCCGCCTTCCGCCGATACAGAGAGTTCCACAAACACCGCAAGGCGGCCGTGACTCTCAGCCTGCTGGTCGGGATCTACATTCTCTGCTGGCTTCCGTTTTACATCAAAAACACCATCGTTGCTTTCTGTGACGACTGCATCAACTACTACATTTTGGAAGTGACCGATAACTTGCTGTGGTGTAACAGCACTATAAATCCTTTCCTGTACGCGCTGTTGAATATGCAATACAGGCGGTACATCGCTAGAGTTTTACGTCGATTTTGCTGCTGTCTGACCAACAAGTGTTTTAAAAGAACACACTGAAACTAGCGATTCGAAGAGTACAATCGGAAGAAGTTCAAAGCCTTCGAGGTAGTTAAATGCCTATTTCATTTGGCGTTGAAGAAATGTGTTTCATTAGAAAGTATACCAACTCTACAAGTGATTTAACAGAACACATTGAAACTAGTGATTCGAATAGAAATTTCACAATACAATCGGAATGCGAAGAAGACCACATCCGTCGTGGTACTTAAATGCCGATTTCATTTGGCATTTAAGATTAAGTTTTGGGGTCGAATCGATCAGCTCAATTTTGAAGAAATTCGTTTCATTAGAAAGTAAATATACCAACTCTAGAATATTTATATAGTCTGTTACTTAACTTGTTTAATGTTTTGTAAGTAAAACTAGTGCAAACTCCAGTTTTTTGTAACGAAGATGAAATTTCATTTTATGGTGTCAGTGCGAGAGTTTTCTGTGTGAGATCTATTTTCATTAAAAAGATTTTAAAGTACAAAAGTCTTACATCGAATCACGTTTTCGTTTGGCCGTTCCTCCTACATTATTCGGGGTTTTTTTCTGCAAGAGTCAAGAGTGAAAATTATGGCCGTCAGGTACAGTATTTATATCCTAAAATATCCACCACACGTGCAGAGCCTGATTAAATTCCTGTCTTAAAAGTCCACGGTGTCACCCCCGTGACACCAACAATCTGAATGCTTCATTCCAAAAGAAAATAGTATTTTGTAATAATTACTCAGGATAAACACAAGCTCGATCGGTTCTCCGGAGCTGCGGGCCAACAAATTCATGTTCACGTATGAGTCACGGGATTGTGCCGTGTAATTTAAGGAGTAGTGTTTTGAGTACAAAAATCAGAATTTTGACCCCAGTGAACCCATGATAACCTTTGACCACAGTGAACCCATGATGACCTTTGACCCCAGTTTGGTCATGTGACATGTTGAGGCTGGGCTACTGATACTTTTGACAAAGTTTGGTTGAAATCGGTCAAATTATGTAGGAGCAATAGACAATGTCAACGTTTGTTACTAACCAACTAACTAACTAACTAATGGACTAACAGAGAGACATGATGATTTTGTTGAGCTGTTATCCCGCAGCTAAAAATAGTATTTTGTAATAATTACTTCGGGGGAAAAAAATGCACACGTTTGCCATCGTTTCTAAACCCGGTATCCCAAAACAAGTTACTTTTCAGAACCCGGCAGCTACGGTTAGCCGGACATTCTGTTTAAAAAATATGGGTTTAAGATTCTGCCTGTTCAACTGGATTCGATCAACTCAAATTTAACAACAATCCTATTGAAACATGCACATACCACGACAAGTGGATGGTGTGTGCACATCATGCGGTACACACTGCTGTAAATAATGCGCGCCGTTAACTCGGGATGCCTCCCTCTACCGTTGAGTTCTAACCTCAAAATGTGATCGCAACCATTATTTTGGGGGTGTGGAAGTATTTTGGACGATTGGGACTACATTATGAGCAATGTCCTGATGGGTCTTTAAGCTAAACAATAAATTGGAATTCAACAAATAAAGTAGAGATGCAGAAAAAATAAACACACACCAACAGCAAAATATTAATATAGAAAGGAAAAGGAAAAGGAAAAATTTAAAATAACAGGGGCATTAAATATTAATTATACGAATCTTTTAGCTAATGTTACTAGAAAATTGTAAATTGGACACTACAGAAACACTTTGTTACAAAAACTGTGTGCTATCTGATCACGAAGGAAGGATTTGCTTTCGCGAAGTCGAACAAAACTGTGCATGTACCTTTGCGAGCGCGCCCTCTATTGCAGACATCTTCGGTAAAGTGTTCTTCATGTACATACATGTATGTACAAATTGTACATGTACATTATGCGATTGCCGGTCTGATGTCCGGCAAACACGAGGCCCATCGATGGAACTTTAAAAAAAAAATGAAAGCAAGATGGTTCATCTCGGCAGCTTTATTCACCAACAAAATTTAGAGTCTTAAACTTCATGAAATGTCCAAACGCAACACAAGATGGTATAACGTCTCACAGTAGGCCAAGAAAGAGAGCTGATGCCTTTACTAAGTTCTTAGTGAAGTTGGCCAAGCACACAACACGCAAGACGGCATCGTCAAGGCGTTTAACGAGTCCATGGGCCAGACCAGATCCTTGTACCACCCGTTCGGTGGCAAAACTTTAATGGTGTTAATTTCTTTGTTTCATCTCTATAAGTGAAAAAATATATATGATAGCCTTTCGTAATCAGTAGTTTTTAGGCTGGATCTTTTTGATGCAGGTACTCTTTTTAACGTAAATCCTATGGTATCAGGGGGCGGGGCCACAACCCCGCCCCCCCCCCAAGGAACCTTTAAAAACAATATTGAACCACCTGGTTTCAACTTTGCCGACGGTTCCGCGTGCTTTCTGCGCAGTTTGCGTATCATACCACTACACGAGAACACAATGATTTCATAATTACCAACATGACGTAGTGTGGCGCAGTTCACTGTGTTTCCTCTTCCCCGGTCGGCCTTGAAGTTATCCTTGGTGTGACTAATATAATGGCTAAACCAGATGGGTGCGACTAAAAACAATTTAAAAAAACAATAATAAAGTACAATAAAAAAATGAGTGAAACTTGCAGGTCATTTTACAAAACCAGTTGTAAGGCATCCGACAAGAGACAAGTGCCTAGGGTATCATTTGCACTGTTTTAATTTGAAGGGGATTTGGTTTTGTCTGACTTATAGAAAACGTATGGACGACTTGCTGCTATTATTAACCATGTACTACAAAATGGTAAGTTGTGCGCATGTCAGCATCATATTCATGAATCGGCCATATTCAATTGAAAGCGAAGTAAAAAAATTTCTTCATTTTTCGAACTTCATTTTTAGGACATGAAATTTATTTACAAATTAATACCAGTCTGCTCTTATGAATAATTTAAAATTTGTGATTAAACATACGCTAATGTTTTAAGCCACATTTTAACAAAAGAAAAGTGTGGCTTGGAACGCATAAATAGTCTGGCACCATCCCATTTAACAGTTTACAATTTATAAAATGCATTCAGGGAACACGACCAAAATGGTTTCCTGGTGGATAAAGTCTATACACATTTCACATCAATGTACCGCCGGGAACCCACAAACTACAGAACGAAACATTCCCTTTTGTCATACCGCACAAAAAAACCACTTTGCTTATATTATTACACCTTCAAGGGCTTATACAATACCTACTCCTTTCTCATCAACTTTCCTACACATTTTCCCCATGATACAGAGATTATGATAGACTGTCGTGACAATATTCGGTCGCTGACGTAAACTGCGTAAATGCGGTTTTAATACAGCGATTGCTCAAGGGTTTCTGTTTTGCGTGTACTTTTACTTTCGGGGCTGATGCTCAATACATTTACAGCATGTACTTGAAAGTATATGGACGGTTTCCCGTCACATACCATTCCCATTACAACCATTTCCCTTTCCGCGGTACAGCCAAACGTGACACTGAGAATAATTGAATGCCTCAGGAGTTGAACGGTATTTTTCAGATTAAAAGTCAGATGAAAGTAATGATTGTAAAAGAAGCAAGTATTTTTTTTGTAATCAACAAAGCCAGTGTGTGACCCTCTGGAAATTAGTTGAAATTCATCATAATGGGTGTGACCGCGGTGTGACACAGCCGCATTACGGTATTACAGCACGTTGCCCAGAGCATGCAGCTATGCTTACAACTTGCATTGGCGACTTCAAGGTCCTACTGTCAAGACGTATTTAGGTCATTTTTTTTTTCAAACAAGCAAAAAAGAAAGAGAGAGAGAGAGGTCGATACCAAAAAAAGTTGCATCAACTCGACAATTAAGTTTGATCCGTCTGAAAAAAAGTGTATCCTTTTCCTACAAAGCGTTTTTCTGTGGTTATATTTGGTAAAAGAAAAAAACAGGGGGTGAAACGTCGTGCTATGGTTACTAACGATATACAGATGATGCATGTTCATAAGGAACATAATGACTAATAACTTGCACATCAGATTTTAATCATACTTAAGACCATGCATCTTATGCCAAATCACATCATGATTTGTTAGGTTGTCAGACAACACACGCGCGCTTTGCTCGTTATTGCGCCATGCCACTCCGATTAGCAGCACCAATTAATGTTTTTACGTTATCGACAGTACGGTTCTGATTACCGTAATTGCAAGAAGAAACGGCCCGTGGAGCACGCGGCGTTTTTCGTTGCTCGTTTATTGTGTAATCACCCGAACGGCAGAGGCCACTGGAACTCTTCGCGACATCTGGAATTGTGATTGGTTTAGACTCGGTGCCCTTTTGGTATGGGCGCAGTAGTGGCGTACGAGTGTGCGTCGTGTACGTAGACGTACGGTAGAGGTACGCGAGGTCTGCATCGGTTATTAATAGACGTGGCGTGGCGTGGCGGGGGCTGCGTCATAAAACTCACTGGCTGAGTGCCGATGATGGACAGTCGGTGTTTAGAGGATTCGCGGTGCTGGACGTGCGCAGTCCGAGGTGTTAGGCTGTCAATCAGCGTGGCGGCGGTCATAAAGCAGGTTGCCCGTTCATATCCCCCTGCCGAGCAGTGACCACTGACGGGACTTTGCTCTTGTACTGTGGAACATTGAGGACTAGACAGAGGCGTTCATTCAGGCAAGGAGAGAGTTTCAGACTTGCAGACGCTGTGCGTCTTTTATCGGCATTGCATTTATGGGTAGTTGCTGGTTGAGCCGCGGCTAGGCGTTTGGTCGGCTCGATACCGACTTGCACCGCCGGTTATTGACTTCGTGAATTGCATTTCCATCCTGCTGAGTATTCTGACATACATGTACTGTACATTGTGTTTTCTGAGTAACTAGAAGAGTTGTTAAACCGTGAGGCTCTGGCTAAACGTGCATCGGATATTAAAAACTGTCTTGGATTGTTGATTTCAAAAGAGATTCACAGCCATGGATGGCAATGATACCATGTCTGAGACCACGGTCTTCAGATTCGACGACATGCGCCAGAGGATTGTCGTGGCCTGCCTCTTTGCCCTGATCTCTGTCCTGGGAACGGTGGGCAACAGCCTGGTCATCGTGGCCGTGTTCTTGTCTAGAAAGCTCCGCACGACCACCAACGTCTTCGTGGTCAACCTGAGTTTAGCTGACCTGTTCACCTGTCTGTTCCTGCCCTGGAACATCGTGGCCCTGCTCAGCCCGACCGGCTGGCCCATGGACGGCACGGTCTGCGCCATCGCTGCCGTGGTTCTCTTCACTTGTGTCAGCTGCAGCGTCTACACCTTAGCCGCTATCGCCATCAACCGCTTCGTCATCATCACCAGGCCCATGCGCAAGTACAAGACCTACTACAGCCGCTGGAAGCTGGTCCTGATGGTCGGGGTGACCTGGGGAGTCTCCCTCTTCATCGCCATCATCCCTCTGATCTTCGGACTCGGTGAGTTGGGGTACGACACCAAGTACAGTACCTGTACCCACAAGACCTCCCATCCCTTATCCGACTACTACAGCATGGCGCAAGCTATGCTCATCTACCCCATACCCATGGTCACCATCGTGGTCTGCTACGTGGCCGTCTTTCGCCACGTCCGTAACCACGCCAAGAGCATCACCGAGCAGTCCGAATCCTCCTCCACCCAGTCCCAGTTCGCCACCCAGCCCACGATGCGACGGGAGAGCAGCCACCACCAGAGCATCAGCCGCAGACAGGTGGAGATCACCAAGAACCTGTTCTACGTGGTGTGTGCTTTCATCCTCTGCATCACGCCGTACTGCGCGGCTCTGGTCATACCGAGGAGCGAGCCGTTCATCCCGTGGGCTGGGGCGGTCATCCTGGCCAACAGCTGTATCAACCCGGCCATCTACGCCACCAAACACCCGTACTTCAAGCAGGTGATCAGGGCCATACTCTGCTGCAGACTGTCCACCATCCCTGAACCAGCAAGCTGCTTGAGATCCTCTCAAACTCGATGGAAGCCGCGATGACTAGAGATGAAGAGAGTGGCTTCAAGTTCAAGCCTCAAAAGACAAACAATAACAACGGCTACGCAAACTGAGATTGAAAAGTGCCAGGGAAATGTTGCGCAGGCAGTGGACTTGAGTGAATATTATTGTGCTAGTTATACACAACAGTGACAACGACATTACTGCACCCATGGGGCCATATAAAGGATAGACCAAAGAGAGCTCAGTGACTGTGAGCGTGTGGAACAATGGAGAGGAATTCTTCCTACCTCCAGAATTGAAGTTGCAAAGGAAAAGGGCCCATATAAATAAGAAACATATTCAATATGCAATGAAAACTGAATATGGATAGAGACCTGCATCCGTTTTGTAGAGTTTTTTGTACTGATTTGTTAACGATCCTTGGGTTATGCTTTACTATCAAGAACCCAATTTTCTGGTGCAAACTTTTTTTTGATGAAAGCCCGCAGAAACAAAATGAGTCTTACGTTTTTGACATACGAGGAACCACCCGCATGATGACAAGTCAACGAATGTGGTACTCTATGTGGTACTAGTATGAGAAAACAATCTCCGCATTACCACTGCAGACATGACTCTGGGTTTCTACTTGAGTTTTAGAAATACCTATAGAGTATAGTGATGCTAATGTTTCTGTATATTTGTATAAAAATGTTTCTCGTCGTTTGCTGTACATCTTGCCACATCTTGCTGTCAATCACTCTGTGTGTTATTATTTTAATAGAGCAAAGTGCCTTGCGGTGTCAGGATTCAGGGAAATCAGGTGCTAATCGCCTTATCATCGGAAGTGCCCACAAGTTGTTGACTTAAAGCTCGGACCCATCCACACTTCTCCTAAAATACTCCAAATCGTTCAGCAGTATGTAAGTTGTTGATTCAACCCGTATGGCCAGCTGCCCGCTCGTGTATACTGACATGCGTGACGCGTGTGTGTCTTATCGTAGACAAACACACACACACACGGTAGTTTCTTCAATCGCCCCTCTTATCTGAAAATACCGGCTATGCAATTCTTTATAACGCAAAGGACTAAAAGCTGATAACGGAGAATACTTTTCATATGTCCGGGGGCAAAACAAAAGTGATAACGGTGCTGCCTTATACAAATTCAGCCACACTTGCCTTAATATAGACAGATCAAGGATTTGCACGCCCGCCCCGCGAAGGACAGGAAGTGTGACTCGCGCACTCCTCTGTCTCTGATAAATTTACGTTTACAACTGATCCAATTCAGGAAGAAAAACAAAAGAAAAGAGTATTCTTAATTCCGAAACCACCCGCCTCGTCTTGCCAGATGCCATTTTGTTGGGGTTATGTAGATTGCTTTTTCTAGCAACAATCCGAATATTATTAATTTGACTGTGTCCAAAAAGGAAACATTAAGAACTCGAGTTGTCGTGGGTTAAAATCACGGTGAACCACATGATTGTTTTTGATGGTAATAATGAACAATAGTTAATGCACCATCTACACGGTAAAAGAGGGGTGGAAGTGGGTGTCTTAAGATTAATCAGATTCATATTGTAGACCATTTCCAACCACCGCGTCTCCTCTTTAAACCATAGAGCAAGTCTAAACCAATTAAAACAACATAAAGCCGTGACACAAAATACTGTTTTAATAATATAGTGCCGGCCTAGCGTGCCAACACGCACCGCTGGCTCACCAAGAATGACACCTGCAGAGAAACAGAGAAATGATACTGGTAGATAACTGAGTTACACTCAGTACCGTCATCTGAGCAACTGTATCTTTAATATGAACTGAACAGTGCACTCCATGCCACAGTTTCTATTCTAGGGCATCTGTCTACATGTACTCACAAGAGTTGGTGAACCCGACGCATATTGCACGCCGAAGACGAGGCAAACGTGGCAGTAATTGAATCCGGGTTAAATTGTACACTGAAAAATTGTCTGGGTTAATTTTACCCAAACAAGGGTGAAAACTGCAACTACCCAACATTTGGTTGTCCTTTACCCAATTGTTTAGGTTAGAATTCTGTTAAATTCAACCAAAACTTGTGGTCAACCAAACTAAATTTAATTTGGTCTTGTAGTGTACGACCACAAGTTTTGGTTGGATTTAGCAGAATTCTAACCCAAAGGTAAAGGACAACCCATTTTGGGTAGTTGCAGTTTTCAGTTTCGCCCTTGCTTGGGTAAAAGTAACCTGCAGGTAATTTTTCAGTGTAAGGGCAATTTTCACGGTTGGGTTGAAAACGAGGCTGTACTGGCATGAACTACAAGCTTCTCTCGGATGGGTTCTTCTACAAATTGTTATGTCAGCAGCTTATATAGAAGGGAAGAGTCTTTGTTTTGCAAGTTTAGTCTTTGTTTTTTTTACTCGGGATTCGTAATTCTATGCAAAAGGTGAATGTCATGTGAAGTATATCAAGAGGTAATCTCACCATTAATACTCTTATTTTTGTTTCATTATGGCAGACTTATCTCGCGATAGACTTTAGAAACACGGTTGTTTTTTAAGAACTTTGATATTAATTTGAACTTGCTAAAACTGCCCCTTCTTGTTTACTAAAACACTGTAAATAATGTTTGATAATGCTTGTTGTTGTTAATAAACTATTTGTATTAATTTATTGAATGCCAATTTTCGTACCTGTAGCTCTGTCTCCTTTTGTTGGACTGAGTGTGTAAGGAGGAGCATGACCGTAATGCATTGCAGGCATGCATTGTTCAATGCCAATTTCAAGCAACTTATACCATATGGGTTTTAATGCTTTATATTTTACACAGAACTCCTACTCGCACCGATATAATTTTTCTCCAAAATTGCAAAATGTAACAGGTTTTTATGTCAAATCTGACTGCTTTTGATAAAAAAATATCCAAAATTCGAACTGAGCTGCGACCCTGTGAATTTTTAAATTACAACCGAAGAGTGTATGAGTGTAGAAATTATAATTTCACAGAAGGTAAACCCATTTCTAAAAAAATAAGTTCGCTTGATGGTGGAACTTTATCAAGGGACGGTTTTCCGGGGACCGACCTTCGCTACCGCACTCTCCCGCCTGACCCGCTTATTAACCCCTTGGCAAGGCCGGGGATGTGTGTCGCTTCTTTGCATCATTTGCCGATGTATGGACTTTTTATAATAAAAAAAAAATAGAAAAACACCTGTGAATACGTTAAAAAATTATAGAGTAATTGGTGTACAGGTTGACAGTGCAAATTCTGACAAACTGTTCTTCATGGTGGGAAAATGCAGAGATTTTGTGCGTTAAAAACAGACATCATCCAGGATTTTTTTGCCATTAGCGTTATCTATGTTCGTTATCGGTAGGGGGGAGCACTGACTTCTGAACTAGAGGCCAAATTTCATAAACTAGCAGTGTCCCGGACTGTCCCCGTATAAATAAACCTAAATTTAATTTACATTTTTTAACAGGTCTAACACTGCTGACAAAAGAAACATGCTGAATACTAACTTTGTAATTGTTTCATTTGGTTTTCGGTGATGTATGCCACTCTCTAAATTTCAAAGAGTGTAAAATCACTCCATTCGAGTGAAGATTCACTCCCACAATCTAAAATAAAATGGACTAGGCGTTTTAGAGTAAAGTTCATTCAATCGTTAAGCTCGAGCTTTCACTCGAGCTTCGACTGAAGAGGTTGGGGTTTTTTTTCAGACTATTTCCAACTAAAATGAGAGCGATTTTCACTCTGAAACGTCTAATCTTTTGTTTCACTTTTTGGGATTTCACGCCTATACTGAACAGATACGCCCCAAAATATTACAATAAAACCATTCAAAACTCATGTAAACACTAGTTCAGTGTTGACGTGTCCTTTCTCTACGGGAGGAGGGTGCGCAAAGACTTGAAGAGCAAGAATACAGCGAGAACGCGGCAGCACCCTCAAAACTCCATATTTTCTTCTAATAATTGTTATTGATGAGGTAACGTACGCAATCCGGTTTTACCGTCAACAAGGGAAGGGCTAATTACCCCCAATCAACGAAGGTCACCCAACACATTTTCTCATTTTCCCCTCTCATCCTTCCTTTCCCTAAGGCCGTCCATTGTGCGTGTTGTTTTGATTTATCATTATTGTCTCCAAAAAATTGCATTACCGAGCATTTCCTGCTTGAGTTCGCATGCGTTGGTTGCTTTCATGAAAGCGGCGTGCAGGCCTACATTGAACGTGGAACGAGGTGAATCTGGACCAAGCTTGACCTGGCCGGTCAACGGGACGAATGAAGCGTTCGCCAGGCGTTGTTTTTGGCCGAGTCCAGGACCCTTGGACCGGAAACTTGAAAACAACACATTGGATAGACATCAGGTGAATGAAGGCCGGGAATATCACAGAAGTTTTCCACAGACGTCGACTCTGCTTTGACCTTCCGACGATTACAGAATTGTAAACAGTATCATTACAATCAGCCTTAAACAGTTATATTTATTTATTTCAATCAAAATGATTTCTCAGAGTAAAGTTTTCATTGCCACGAGGTTATGTGTCTGATTCTACTGGCTATCCATGACCTGCCCTACCCTATATCTCCTCCACATTCCCCCTCCCCGCAAGCCTGGCCCCACCCAACAACTCCTACGATGAGCATATTTTATGACACCTTTAATGTACACTGATAGAACGATTTTAAAATTGAATTTTAAACAGACGAAAGAATTAAGAATATTGAAGTATCTTCGACCGGTTTGTGTGCCTACTTGACGGAGGTCTACTTGCATGAAAATAAAGAGCTAATGAGGAAAACTTCGACATAAAATAACATCGAAATCGTTGATGTTTACATCCCTCTATAGACATTATTTTATGCATAGGCATTATGCTAACCAAAAAGTACGGTCAATACACCTTTATTTTTAGACGTTAATACGTTTTGCAGAATTCCCATTCCCAAATGAAGGCACCCCAGTGCCCCCCCCCCCCCATTTAATTGTTTTAAAGGATAAATATTTAAAAATTGAGAAAAAAAATGAAACTGAAATCCATCAAAATTAAAATTAATGCTAATGATATGGCCTCACACATGGAAATTTAAGTTACATACAAATAGTTCATGTACATGTATATTATCAATAAAATGTAAACGAAAATGCACGTGTATGTACTTTTGTGTACATGTGTAGACATGTACAAAAAATACACAGTACGTGTACATGGTAACATGGGCATGTAATGTACATGTACATGTGACATAGCACGTACAATGTACATGTGCATGTACATTGTACATTGTGCATATAATACATGTGTTTGCACATGTACACTGTGTATGCGCAGCAACGCACAGCGGCTCGCGGGTGTTATATATGTCGGTTCAAAGGTCACAGTGAATGCACACGGTGACTACCGCACGCATTACAGACACGTAAAATATGTCCCCGTGAAAAATAAACCGAAGTCTTCAACATTGCACATGTAAATTTCAGTACAGATTTAGAAGAAAATATATATCCAACAATAAAAGGTGAAAAAAAGCATCTTAAACTGATGTGGTTGAGCATATTTCTGTTCGCTTACTGTGACTACAAATCGCGGCCGTTGGCGGTGAATATATAGCAAGTTGGGCATTATCATAAAGTGCCCGGATGAGCCTCACTGGTGTGGGGTGCAGACTTCAAATCTGTAGCCGATTAGCGTCGGAGTGGTTCAATTCCACCTTTCGGGCGATTTTTTATGGGATAATTGATCACGTTGGATGATCGATTTTTGATTGCGCCCCGTCGGGGGCACTTTTGATAGAATACAGTCCTAACATTATCAGGTGTTTTTATCAATCGGACATTTTAAAGTTGTTTTGTTTTTTTTTTCGAGTTTCATCCCGAAAAGGAGATTTTTTTTCAATTAAATTGAAATTTTTCTAACAATACAAAAATTTACATAAGTTTTGAATGAAACGTCATTGAAATTCGTAAGGAAAACAAATCGAATATGCGGAAGAGCACGGGATGAAGCAACCTTAAAGGAGATTTAATGTAAAAAATCAAAAATTACTGTTTCCCCCTTTTTTTTTTTTTTCATCTCCGTCTTTTGCAATTATCTCTGAAGTCCTTTTCAATTTGACTGAATTCAAATTTCTTCAGTGTCATCCCTGCGTTAATATATTGGCGACACATGCCTCGCACAAATGTAATTAGTACGCGGCGTGAATGGTTTAAAATTTCACCTGTCAATAAATATCTGATTTCAGACCTCACCCAGTAAAGTACAGCACGACTGGTAATCTATAATCTATTTCCCAAAGGTTGAAATCATAATTAGGACGTTCAGAGTCAAAGTGTTCAATGCGATATGTTTTAAAAACAACCCTTAATTTTTTTTCTTGCAACAAGAGGTTGTTTTATGATCATTTTCCCACCACCTTCCGTTTCTTCAAACCTTAAATGCTCTTGTATAATGCACACTATGTAGTTGTACATGTATCACGACCACTTCCAAGTCAAGACGGAAAGAAAATGTGTTGTCAGCATGCCAACCAACAAGGACATGTTGTGTTTGCCATCTGCACAACAGATACCCATTCATTATCGGGCCTAGCCTATAATATCCCCCGGACAATATTCCCATCTATTGCCTCCAAACCCAAACTCCCATGTGTCATATTTATATCCCGGCCATATGAAAACCACATAGTATTAAGAATCAACAACACAGAACATCTTCTATACTTCCGGATAAGAGAGAGATGTCTGTGTGGTGTTTTTGTTTTTTATAAAACCGAGATACTGGAGGTTGAGTACCGAGCGTCGACCGACCGCGACCCCGCCGGTTAGCGGACCGCGAGCCCCGGGGCTAATTCCCCCAAGCACGGCGTATACATTAAGCTGCCGATAATACGTTAATCTCCCTCGCCTCCGAGGGTGGCAACGTAACCGTGGATTTGCTGGCGCAGCATGCGGTGAAATGAGCGCGGTATCCGGCGGCCGATAATGCCAAAGTCGACGGTCGAGTGGTCGTGGTGTCGGTTTACGTGAAGACTTGGGCATTGACAATTTCTGGTGGTGAATGATGAAGGCAAGTTCAAGAGTACGCTGTTGCCATCACAAAATTACTCAGTCGTGGCGAATTAGGGGGATAATGAACTGGGACCTTTTGAAAGCTTTTTGTGATTTCAAACAGCCAATTAATGCATTTCCAGATGATCTGTGGTCAGCTTCAGAGGCCTGTTACAAGTACGTACAACGGATTCACGAAGTCTTAAAAAAACGAATAGAAGGGCTATAAAATGCAGTTCAAACCAAAACATAGTTGTTTTGAATCTGCAATTAAAAAAATGTATACTCAATTAATCGTTCGAGAATACGTTAGCCATGTTTTGCATTTTTTTTTTATATATGCTAATATTTGGATTAAAACACTACAATGATCGATTGATTACGTATAACATTACTAATTACAGTTATATTTAAATTCATTAGAACGTTTCAGAATGATGTAACGATCACGAGTTAATCGTTTAACCCAAGTTGGATTCATTTAGGAATCTATTCAATTTTAGGAAAAGCAAATACTTTAATAATGTGTCTATAATCAAGGAATAACGAGAACCTGGAACCGAACCCTAAAATTAAAGACAAACATGGTGAGGGCTTGGTTCATGACTGAAGTTATTTATACGCATGC